TGTAAGGTCCGACCGCTCAGAGGTTGCGTTTCTGACAGCTCGGGATCGAATGGACGATGTAACTTTGTACTGACGTACGTATATAGTTTTTAAAAGTCAAGCCACATCAAACTGCGCTGTTATTTAGTCATATCACTACAAAAACAAACAGTTGATATAATCTTGAAACAGTACAGTTTGATGTGGTTTCACTTTTAAAAACTATTGTTTTTAGAATGGCTCAAAATTAATACGTTTATTGTAAATTGGAATAATTATTAAATTTTTTATGTTATCGTCATGTTAGGTCGACCTCCACACGGTGCCCCCTGGAAACTATAGAGATAAATTCTTGTTGAATTTGTCACGATGGGCTAACTGGCTGACCAGATGCTCATCTTATCATCTTCCACTGGTGCTTCGCCAGCGTAGACCGTTAGCGCAGGCAGGTGCACCATTTCATTATCATCCTTAGAAATAAAAAAAAAACACCCATACCGATACGAACAATCATTCTCATCAATACACATTTGCGCCGTACGAGGAATCGAACCCGCGACCAATCAGAAGTAAGGCGCTGTGCTAAACCGCTAGACCACCGAGGTCTATAATGTAATAAACTTGTTACACAAGTAGTCCATACTTGTATACTCCACCAGCGAGCGTTGCGGTCGAACTTATGCGCGCACTTTAAGGAAAATCATTAAAAAAAATAACTTGTCATTCCACTGTGAATAATTATTGTTTATTTATAATATAGAAAAAGAATGTAAGGTATGTTTACAGTACGTATGGATATAAAGCAATGGAATGATGTACCCGTCTGCGCTGACGGTTTACGCTGGTGGGGCACCAGTGAGGATGATGATGATAAGATGAGCATGAAGTTAGGTCAGTTAGCTCATCATGGCACATTCTACTAAAATACAAATTTAAATTCAATACAAATTTAAATACAAATTCTGCTAAAAACACCCAGTTTTGTGGAGGATTTATTATTATATATTTTAGAAAATTTTCAATAAACAAAATCCGTCTGTTCAGCTTTTAAGTTAGTTTTTTACGAGCCGGTCACACATTGGCAACTGTGACAGGACAAATGACTTTTTAATCTGTATTTGAATTATATATGCCTAATAAAGTTCATAATCGCGTCTGGGATTTCCTTAGTGCAAGCTATCTTACTTAATAGAGTTGAAAAAAAAAACCCGTCTACTTCAAGTTAGACATGCTAACAATAGTAAAGTTCCGTGCTATTTTTTTATACCACAGTGATGGTAATCAAGCACACTGTACAGCTGGTGGTAAACGGCAACCGTATCTTTTCGACACGTGAAATATCGGGAGTAGCGATTGCTCGTTGCCGAATTTGAAATCTATGTATATCTCTATATATTTCATCATCATTGCCTTGCCTTTATCCCATTATTTGTGGTTGGCGCAGTATGTCATTCTCTTCCACTGCTCTCTATCGGTCGTCATATCTGAACATACTCTTCTTTTATTCAAATCATCTTTCACACAATCCATCCATCTTTTCTTAGGACGTCTTCCCTTTACATCCATCCACATTCATATTGTACACTTTCCATAAGACATGGTCCTCGTTCCCATAACATGCCCATACCAGCTCAATCTGTTACCTCGAAACTTTTCTATAACCGGCGCAATATATCTCTATATATTTATGGTCATTAAATGACAACAAGAAATAATGCATTTATACAATGCCATTTATTATTTAACAAATTATTAATTAATAATAGTTATCGAAATTCGACCCTAATTAATTTAACTGCAAAAGACATGGATGGACCGTATAAAAGATGATACAAGAAGAAGCAAGAATCGGAGTGAACAAGACTGCGAACAGGGATGAATGGAAAAGAAAAACATGACGCCGACCACAAATAAATGGGATAAGTCTGAAACTGATGATTATGATGATTCTGTTGTCGTAATATCGTATATCTAGCGGTTTAAGACACTTAATTTCGATGGTCGTGGGTTCGATACCTCGCTCGGTACAAACATTTGTATTAATGAGTATGATTATTTGTGTCGATCTGAGTGTTTCTATGTATAATATGTATCTATTTAAAAGAAATATATCTATTTATTTGTATCAGTTATCTAGTACCCTTAGCACAAGCTTTAGCTAGTTTGACTTGGGTCTGTGAATTGTCCTGAGATGATGATTATGATATAAAACAGTCTGTTTGTCTACGTATGTGTAAGAACCACTAATTATGATAACGACTTAGGCTTTGAAGCCGGCTACCAGAAGAGAAACCCCAAGTAGCGCCCGTGACTTGTGACACGGGTGTAGGTTTAAAAGGCCCTATTAGAATGCATTAACCCTCACCTTCACTACTTGTAGCATTCCCCTCAGGCCCAACTAAGACCCATTTTTCTAATACATTTCACTTTAGTATCCAAAACACAACCAGCATGCTCTGCGCTCGCCGACTGAATGAAACACCCAACGAAAAAGGATTATTCAACTACCGACCTCCGTATTTATAGACCGAAATCAGTGTAGTAGGTCGGTCAATAAATACTAGATGGCGCTATTTACAATATTTGTAATAATCTTTACATTGGGTACTTTATTAGTACTAAACACAAACTACCTTCTTTTAATTTCTTTTTAAAATATCGGATGTTTTACAATATTGATGTGAAGTGATGTCTATTTGATGTAATTTATGCGGAACTCTCTGAGAAATGAGAATGAGAGGCCGTCTCGCAAATTTAACAGTTTTATACCTTTCATTATAGAACCCTAATAAAAATAAACACTTACTATAAACATGAGACTATAACTTGTTATGGCCAGTGAGACTACACTCGTCCAGTGAGGCGATCGACCTTGTGGCGTTAAGGAAAATCTTATGAGATAAATTCATATATTTCAGTTAATAACCTCATATTTGTTTTGAGAGTGATTTTTAAACAAAGAAGGTGCGTATATTTTTTTTATGGATGATAATGAAATGGTGCACCCGTCTGTGCTAACAGTTTACGCTGGCGGGGCACCAGTGGAGGATAATAAGATGAGCATGGTCTTTTTTTTATGGATGATAATGGAATGATGCATCCAACTGCGCTAAAAGTGTACGCTGGCGGGGCACCAGTGGAGGATGATAAGATGAGTCCATCGTGACAAATTCACCAAGAATTTATCACGATGGTTTTCAGGGGGAACCGCGTGGAGGTCAACCTGACATGGTACATAGATAGCAATGTGGTCATGAGTCCACATTACTAACAATCATCGTCCCCCCGATGAGCATGGTCAGGTCAGTTTGCCCATCGTGATTAAATAACCAGGAAAAGTGCGTATATTAATTTTGTTTTAGATATTTTAAAACTTTTGTGTTTAATATATATTATTTTTCAGAGTTCAAAATATCTTTATTCACGTAGGTCTATTACAGACTCTCGAATCTATCGACAGTTCGGAATGATTTCGAGATGAATCCTTATTAACTTGTTTAATTAGGGAATCGTCTATAATAACAATGAAAACTGTAATCAATATAATTATTTATTTTGAAGCTTTAAATATACTTGTACTGTAGGTACTTCCAACCATTACATCACTTTAAAAAAACTTTTATAATGTATTTCAGTAATAAATATGACAATATACATATATATATATATATATATATATATATATATATATATATATATATATTCTCTACAGTTCCCTTCTGGACTCTATAATATTATATCCTTTTTATTTTATGTCAATATATTTTGCACCAAGTTATTTTACCTTTTTAAAAGCAACGGAACAAACCCAAACAGCTATAATAATGAGACAATATTCAAAGTGGGATATTTAACAAATCCTTATTTTGTAACAGGGATTATAATTTACATATAAGTTAAGAGTGTTAAGACCCGGTTAATAATATAAATAATATAATTTTATTTTGTTACTAGACAATAAGCTGATGGTGAATATAGTGTAAAGATGTTTTGATTAAATTTGATAACAGTAAAACCCTGGAAAATTAACACAGCGCTATCTAGTCCCATGTTAAGCAGAGCTTGTGTTATGGGTACTAGACAACTGATATAAATACCTATATATATATATTTTTAAATGCATAAAAATCATACTCATAAATACAAATGTTTGTATGCATGAGTATGATTCCGTGTCCGATTCCGTGCGAGGAATTGAACTCGCGACCATCAAATGCAAATTCAAAACTCATTTATTCATTTAGGACATTTTAGCAGCTTATGAAAGTCAATTTTTTTATATTATAGTTTTTTCCCTATCGTCCAGTTCAATTGAATTACTTTTCTTTTTTAAAAGCCATTTTATTTACAACTAGCTGTACTCGCGACTTAGTCCGCGTGGAATTTAACTTTATTTTTCTAAAATAAAGGAAAATAAATAGAATAGAAATAGATAGAAAAATAAATAAAAGTACCCTAAGTTACTCTTAATTACATCAGCTACCTGCCAATAAAAGTCCCGTCAAAATCGGTCCCGCCATTTCAGAGCCGGAACAAACAGACAGACAGACAGACAAAAATTGAAAAATGTTGTTTTAGTGTATGTGTAAAGTGCTTATTAAGTTTATTTATTTCTATGTACCGTATTTCTATTCATATGCATGTAGTAAAAACGGTTATTTCAATATTACAAACAGATTCCAATTTTAATTATATGTACGGACGGAAGTAAGTCTTATGGAAAGTGTATAATATGAATGTGGATGGATGTAAAGGGAGGGGACGCCCTAAGAAAAGATGGATGGATTGTGTGAAAGATGATTTGAATAAAAGAAGAGTATGTTCAGATATGACGACCGATAGAGAGCAGTGGAAGAGAATGACATACTGCGCCGACCACAAATAATGGGATAAAGGCAAGGCAATGATGATGTACGGGCGGAAGTAAAATAATTTAAAAAAATCGTAAGTAAAGTGGTGTGTTAAACCCCTGAACCACTGAAGCTGTCTACTACCTGATTTGTTTTGATTTACGGATCATGAGTTATTGATATTTTCTCTTCTCCTAGATGTACAAGCTTCTTGTAATGACTGTATTACTATCGACGGCCTATACCTATGCAAGCCCAACTAATCTTACATCTGCCGAAATTGATGCAATCACATCAGGTATATTTGATGAACCAAAAGGAAGCGGATCTGGTACCAGCTCCACGCCATTTGTGAAAAGAACCCCGAGACCAACACCTCCAACGACTACAAAGGCCCCAGAAGGTAGACCCCAAACGATTAACATATCTTTATAACTATTTTGACGACCTCGGTGGTCTAGTGGTTTAGCACACCGCTTTACGTCCGATGGTCGCGGGTTCGATTCCTCGCACGGCACATACATTTGTATTCATGAGTATGATTGTTTGTGTCGGTCTGGGTGTTATATATTATACATAGTATTATATGTATGTATTTACGAAAAAAAAATATATCTATGTATTTGTATCAGTTGTCTAGTACCCATAACACAAGCTTTATTTAGCTTAATTTGGGTCTAGATGGCGCTGTGTGAATTGTCTTGAGATTATTATTATTATTATGCTTAGTGAAGTATCTAGGAGCATTCATCATCATCATCATCATCGCAGCCCGGAAGACGTCCACTGCTGGACATAGGCCTCCCCCAAAGATCTCCACGACGATCGGTCCGCGCTGCTCGCATCCAATGTCTTCCAGCGATCTTGACCAGATCGTGGGTCCACCTTGCTGGAGGCCTTCCGTTCCGTGGTCGCCACTCGAGGACTTTACTGCCCCAACGGCATTAAAGTCCCATCTAGGAGCATTATCAACTATTAAACTAAAACGCAAAATGATTTATCAACGCCAACAAGCGCCATCTAGTTCCAAGTTAAGCTAGTTAAAGCTTGTGTTATGGGTACTAGATAACTGATGCAAATACATAGATTTTTATTTTCGTAAATACATACCTATTATACATACAAAACACCGATACAAACAATCATATACATAAATACAAATGTTTGTGACGTTCGGGGAATCGAAGCCGCGGCCATCGGGAGTAAGGCCGTGCGCTAAACCACTAGAAGCCTTGCCTTCCATAACTAATAAAATAAGAATATTTTTATCATCGTATAATTTTAAGTAGTATAAATAGTTTTTCGATATAAACGTGTTGGCAATTAGCTGTAAGTTTACATTGTGTTAATAAAATAAATCTTAAATATAAAATTCTCGTGTCACAGTTTTCGTTCCCATACTACTCCGAAATGGCTTGACCGATTCTCATGAAATTCTGTGAGCGTATTGAGTAGGTCTGAGAATCGGCCAACATCTATTTTTCATCCCCCTAAATGTTAGGGGTAGTCCACCCCTAATTTTTTTTTATTAAGGCAAAACAACGTTTACCGGGACAGCTAGTATAATAAAAAAAATCTCTGCACAACCTGCGACTGACTGGTAGAAAATGCCGTAAGGCGTTAAATTCGCCACTCTTTTACATTGTCATTTTAGCACGGAAGTAATATAAATATAGGTATAAATAAATAAATATTATTACCCCAATCCCTACCGTCCAGTTCGGCTAGCTATTCCAGTTGAGAAGAACTGACAAAAGACTCAACCGGTGCATTTTTTAAATGTTATTTTGTTTTAATCTGTTCCAATATTTAAAAGGATATAATACGCAATTCAAAAAATCGCCGACTCTCAAATTTTTTTATAAATTAATTTAGTTTATTAATATATATAAGAGATTGCTTGTTGTTGTCAAATTGCCTGTTGTCTGTAAGAGATTGCTTTAAGCGATAAGGCCGCCTTTTGTTTGCATATCCTTCTTTTTTTTTATTTCCTTTTTGTAATTATTTGTTTATTTTATGCACAATGAAGAGTTTTATTATTATTATATAAATTAAAACCTAAATTTATTTTGGGGTATTTGCTTTCAGACATGTCAACCCCATTATTGCAAACTAATCGGAACAATTCATAAAAATAGTAAACATTAAAAAATAATTGCCAACTGCGAGGGATCTATTTATTAAGTTGCTTTTATGAGCGCACACAAACGCAGATAATATCCGTAGCATGTAGTATGCTCTGAATAGTACCCACATCAAATTTATTGATTTTAAAATCTTTAATAAATAGTTCCCTCTCTACTCTATTCCTATCACATTCCATCAAGAGGTGCTGGACATCTTCGACTTTTTGACACACAACACAATCTCTGGGTGAATTCTCCTTTTTCATTAAATATTTATTTATTTAAACTTTAATGCACAAATACAATATATAAGTGTACATATGGCGAACTTAACACCTAAGGGCGTTTTATACCAGTCAACCATAAGGCAAACAGAGAAGTTAGTAAGCGGCGCATTATGGTTTATAAACATTTACGTAATAACTTTAAAATAATACATATTATAAAATATCCGTACTTTCTTGATGGATAGTGACCGGATCGGATTCTAAATAATAATTTCAATTTTCATCCGTTCAATTTTGCATTTTTATAAATTAAAAAACTAAATTACGTACCATTTTTTACATATTTTTTTTTTATTTTAAAAATAATCCCGGTGCTTTATCCGGCCATCCGTTTCAATATGCCGCGCCCTACTCTATCCCATTGATAACCATAAAAACTTATTTTCCAATGCATTTAAAGGAAAAATCAACCAAAAATAAAGAACTTAAAAAATTTATTAACTTTACCGTCTATTTATATATTGGAGATTTAAAGGTAAAAATCATGCGCGAAATGTTTATAACAAAATATATAATAAAATCAGTAAAATTAATTTATTTAAAAAAAGGCTTAAACAACTTTTTAACAGTAAAAGAATTTTTAACAGACGTACTATAGGAGCTAACTGGACACTACAACAGATCTAAATTTTAAATTTTATTATTGGAATGAGTCATCTACGAAATTGCCATACTCTTTAAACAGAGTCCATGTGTATTGTTAATTTATCATATGTAAATTTATGTATACGCATGTGCAATTATAAATAAATAAATAAATCTGTCGTTCCATCAAATAAGATAATCTATTTCTAAATATTTTTTTAATTTTGACTTTGATTTTAAATTTGTAACCCACAACTTCGCCCGTGTGGAATTTAACTTCTAAAATGAAAATAGCTTAAGTTACTCCTTATAACATTAGCTTGTCATCTGCTAGTGATGGTCCCGTCAAAATAGGTGCAGCCGTTTCAGAGATTAGCAAGAACATATAGACGGATAGGTGCTTTTTTTTTTTAATTTACATACCATATATACTTACATATGCATTACATACATCAAATAATTAATGTATTGACAGAACACAAGGCGTGCACGATCCAAGGCAATCCGGGGACCTGCGAACATTACTACAAATGCAATTATCCCGCCGAAGTCTACGAGGCACAGATAGACATACAGTGAGTCGACTAAAACTCCTTTTTATAATAATATTTTTTTGTACTACTGTAATTTTTTTTTCGGACTACTCTAATGCTGTTGGTCGCAGCTGGCCTTTACAGCTTCACCGGACAATAGGCGGCGAGTACAGATGGTACTCCAAACCAAAGTAACTACTTATGGAGCGGTCTCTGACTCAGTCCGTCGTAATTTCGATCCCCGTTTGCATTGGACAGGGGATCAATCGGAAGGTGGCAAACAAGCATACGGCCCGTCTGATGGTAAACGGTTACCGTAGCCTATGGACGCCTGAAACACCAGGGGTGTCGTTGCCGACCCTTATGAAACCTTAGTATACCCTTCTTGAAAGTTCCATGCTGTAGTCTCTCGAGAAAACTTCACCAATAATAGCTGACCCAGCAAACGTTGTTTTGCCATAAAAGTTTTAGTACTAAAATCGCTATAAAAACAGGGGCTCATCGCAAAAGGGTGAAAATTTGAAGTTACATTAATTTTTCAATGATATATTTAAATTATAAAATAACTAAAAATTCATTTTGTTCAATAAAATTTTAAACAATAATCAGGGGTGGGCCACCCTTATCATTAAGGGGTATGAAAAATGTTGGCCAATTCTCAGACCTATCCGATGCATACAATTTTATTAGTTTTATATTACAAATGTGGCAATTAAGTATACGACCCATCTGATGGTGTTACATGTTTTATAATTACGGTATCCAGTTGTGACAGAAGGGGCAGAGGAGGCCCTCTTCCTCTGCCCCTTCTGTGACAGCTGGTCACAATCGCACCGGTCACAAACTAAGTTCAGCGTAAACTAGTTCGATCGAAGTTGATCTCGTTTTACTGTAAATGGAATTCACCAGCATTATATAGATCGCGTTTACCAAAACCAATTTTTTTTTTATTCGTTCAGTGTTGCACGTTCTTAAATTAATAATTGATGCAATTGGTAATTTAATTAAACAAATTTTAAGAAATATTTGAAATTCAAGGATTTTATTTGGATAAGTTATTTAGTTTTTAATTTAATGAGTACTGTTGACTACAAAATATATAAAAACAACCTTTACCTATAAACAATTTATTTTATTGAGGATATTTTTACACTACTGTTAATTATATTGTCAAACATTTCAGTGATGACTATTCGATAAGTGATAGCTGGTTTAAACTCTTTTAAGAAAAATCGGGCGTTCAGAATTTGTAAAAAAATTTTGCGAAAACTAAGGTCAGATTGTAAAAATAAAGCTTTAAGCTCGTTTAAACGTTTGAACTGAGTTTAGTTCGATCTAAACGCAATTAGTTTCTTTGGTGAAATTGGGTTGTAGTAGTTGTAATTTCAGGACTTGGACGAGGGTACTTGTGACATATTTGTAACATATAATATTCTTTTATAGTGTACCTGATGATGAGTGTGAGTCATACTTAGATGTTTGCTGCGAGCCCGCCAATTTGTTACCAGATCCCGTCACAGCGGCGCCTGTCAAAAAGGAACAGTAAACTTATATATTTATCACCTACTTAAGAAAATATAATAATCTATTCAACTTTAGTATATAAAGACCTAATATCATTTTTGTCTTAAATAATAAACTATTACAATTTCAACACTTAATATTTTTTACCACCTCCGATCGATCCACTAAATTTAATGTTATTTTTTTAATTTTTGTGGCTAAACAGAAGCAGATAATGAAAAAATGATAAGGACCTGTTTTGTGCAGAGTTTTATTCTCTACAACTTTTATTTAAAACATTTTTTCATATTTTATACCATTATCGAGTTATATTGAAAAAAAAGCGTTCTTCGATCCTTTTTTTAATTTTTCATTACTATCCCGTGAACTTGTATAAAGATGATGATTGTGGATAGAGCTGGACAGAACAGACCTGATATATCGACAATTGGAAACTGTGAAGTTGTATCAAGTTATGTATATCTCGGTTCCACAATCACTAATACAGGCGGATGTCAGGACGAGATAAGAAGGAGATGCGCTATCACGAGAACAGCCGTGACCAAGTTGCAGAAGATATGGAAAAACCGTAATATCACCAAGAACACTAAAATGCACTTAATGAAAACACTAGTTTTTCCAATTTTCCTTTATTGCAGAGACTTGGACAGTGAGGATGCAAGAACGCAGGAAAATTGATGCCCTCGAGATGTGGTGCTGGCGGCGATTTGCGTATACCTTGGACTGCTCGTCGAACCAATGTTTCCATCCTTAACGAACTCAATATCAGAGAGAGATTATCGTCGATATTTTTGGTCAAAAACGAACACTGTATGGAGCGGCTAATTATCCAAGTTCGGTTGAGGGCAGACGTTCTCGGGGTCGATCACCAACGAGATGGACTGACAGTATAAGAACGGCCACACAGCAGTCCATGGTAGAATGTTCTCGTGCAGCCAAAAACCGTACCAGGTGGAGACAAATTGTAAGGAGCTCTTTCGCCACAACGATACCATATCACAAAATATACCATCATGAAAGCCACGACCACTCTGCCAAGAGTGAACGACTGAAGAAGATCCCGTGAACTTAATGTGAACTTAAATGAAAATTTCTTTTTGAATATTATTACTCATTTATTTGGGGACTTAATTTTTATATTGCGCAAAAACTCATGTCAAATCATGTTTTATTTAAAATTTTAGTGGACTATTAATCAACTTTCTCAACCAATAGTATATAATATATAATCAATAGTAATCAGCTTTTTATATTTAGTCATTCTTTTTTTATTATACGCTTTCATATCTAAGGTCAATTACTTGTCAATATATCAGTTGTATTACGTCTATCTATTGTAATTTTATATCGATTTGTATAAAATACAATAAATTAATGTTCAGCTCTACTTCTCTAGACAAAGCAATATCATATAGAAATAGAAATAGAAATAATCTTTATTCAAATAAACTCATTACAAGCACTTTTGAATAGTCATATTTTGATTCTACCACTTCGGAAATGCCGATTCATCACAAGAAGAATGAGCAAGAAACTTGTGTGTTGCTCTTTTTAATAGATGTTTTTTATATAAATAATTACAGTATAACAAGTAAGAGGCATGCGATAATCAACATAGAAATCGCTACGCACTCATTATTTGTGTAATCAGATAATATTGTCAGTGCTATGGATTTAAAAAACATTATTATCGTTATTCTTCAATTTTATAGTAAGCTTTTTCGCAAAGGAATTGTTTTATTTGACATTTAAATCTTTTTTCTGGCAGATTTATAACAGACTCAGGTATTTTATTGTAAAACCTTACGCAATTGCCATAAAACGAATTACTAACTTTAGCCAAACGACATTTAGATAAAATCAGTTTGTTATTGTTACGTCAGTTTTTATTGGTGCAATCACTAACTCTTTTGAAACTGTCTATATTCTTCCTGGCATAGATGATATTTTCATAAATGTATTGAGAAGCAACGGTGAGGATATTGATTCCTTAAAACACTCTCGCAATGACTCCTATAAATTTCCTTTAGTAAACTCTGATAAACGTCGTTTGGTAATACTTTTAAAAATATCTAACCTAATCACACAGTTACCCCGGTTTTTCATTTCTTCAAGGCGGGGCACAAATAGAAAATTCCACCCCCTAAATAGCGGCTAACATTTTTAATATATACCTACATATTAACATACAATTTGTTCAATTAGTATTGTTGTTAATTATTGTGGCATTTTCAAATACATTGAACATAAACAATTTTCTTGACGTCCCAGTGGTCAAGTTGTCAGAGACGCGTTAATGATGAGTTTATTCATCTGCCAAATTCGGATTAATCGAACCAGAATTGCCACCCGGGCACCGGTCCTAGTCTAGGGGTAATTAGGTGCCCGGGGCTGCTCATATTGTACATAATAATATTGTATTACTGTTTGTTAGTCCTAATAAAATAATAAATAAAACCTTCTCTATAATTGCTTCCTATTGGATCAACTTTGGTATGCAACTGAAATGTATTTACAAAAGAAAATGTAAGTGTTTATATCAGTTATCTAGTACCCATAACACAAGCTTTAACTAGCTTAACTTGGGTCTAGATGTGCTGTGTGAATTGTTCTGAGATTATTATTACATTATTCACACAAAATCCTAAATATGTAATGCTGAGCAACATTTATTTAAAAGAGCAACATGCAATGAAATTTTTTGCTCGTTCTTGTGATGAGATTGCTCTCCAAATGAGCGGTAGAATAAATAAATTTTATATTACTATTCAGAAGTACTTGAATTAAACATTTAAATTTGCACGCCTACTCATGGGCAGAATAATAAAAAACTGTTAAACTTACCAAGGGTGGGAACCCTCGTGTACCTTTATTCAGCGAGATTAAGTTATTCGTTGTTAGCTTTTTATCTATGTATATTATATATATATTTACAAAAAAAACTATGTCAGAACCTAGTACCCGCAATACAAGCTCTGCTTATCGTGGGACTAGCAGGCTCTGTGTTAATTGTCCAGGGTTATTTATTTATTGAAGTTTATTTGAATAAAGATTATTTCTTCTCTTTCGTGTTTAATATACATTTTTTATATTAAAAAATAAAGTGTTCCTTATATTATTTCCCTTTTATTATAACACATATGTGTTAGAATAAAAGAATACTATTATGTAGAATACAGGAGAAATATTATATTTTATATATATATATATATATATATATATATATATATATTTATGTATGTATATAACTCAAAGGTGACTGACATAGTTTGTATCTATCAAAAAAAAATATCTATGTATTTGTATCGCACAGCCCAAACCTCTGGACGGATCGGGATGAATATTTGGCATGCAGACAGATGTTATGACGTAGACATCCGCTAAGAAAGGATTTTGATTAATTATACCCCCAAGGGGATAAAATAGGGGATGAAAGTTTGTATGAAACTTTGTCAATTTTAAACCGATCGGGCTAAGACTTTGCATGCATAAAGCTAGTATTGTATATATATTAATAACCGGGTCTTAACACGAATAATTGCCATAAAAAGATTCGTATTAAGACCCGGTTAATAATATGAATAATATTTCTTCTTTATTCTACTTTATATAGCTATTTGAATAGTACTCTCTTATTCTAACTCAAATAGGGAACGCCTTATTTTTTAAAAAGGTTAACAGGCAATTTTCTTGCCTGCATGCCTCTTGATCTGTTCACTCTTTAAACCGAATCGTATATACAACGCAAATTATTTGGCAGCAGAAATAAGTATAATGATCTACCTCGCTAATAATGTCCCATTCGATCAATGCCCCGTCCAATTCAAACGGGGATCGGTGGGACCCCTAGCGGTGCCCACACACTAAAGTCGTATCCGTCAGGCTGGAGTTGGTCTCCAGCCGATCCATAAGTCTTTCCTTTGGTTTGGAGTGCATCTGCACTCGCTCCTATCGTTCGGTGAAGCTGTAAAGGCCAGCTGCGGGCCAGTATACGAATAGTTAAAAAAAAACAAAGTGCGCATTTTTTAAACACTTGCAAAGTAGTAAGAGAACTGGTTATATCTAAAGACGCGCTGGGAATAATTATGAACTGGATTCTTGAGGTAAATAAACAAGTCAGGCACTAATTTGCATAATACGGTGCTAATATATGACTTTAAATTCATTTTCCTCAAAGATATTGTATCAAATAAATCGATTTGCATAAACATATCGCAGATTAAATGCCAAAGGGCCACAACGCATAAAAAAACAAACTTATTTTTTTTTCCAAAAATAAGTTCTAAAAGTAAACAGGTAGATAAATCGGTATAATTTTTATATTAAAAAAAGACACCCATAATTCTAGAGCAAATATTCGTAAAAAAAGTAAAAATATCACAATGAACATTTTGATGAGCTCTCCTGTAATATTTACCGTTCGCGTAATATTATGTAATATATTGATTTGTATAAAATACAATGAATTATAGTTCAGCACTACTTCTCTATACAAAGTAATATTATATAACTTTCCTTTAGTAAACTCTGACATCTAAGTAAACGTCGTTTGGTAATACGTTTAAAAATATCTAACCTAATCAGTAATCACACAGTTACCCCGGATCCTCATTTCTTCTTCGTCATGTGGCTCTTTGGCATTTAATCAGCGATATATACGACTTTATTAAAATTCCTGGACAATTAACACAACGCCTCCAGTCCCAAGATAAGATGAGAATACCGAGGTACAACATCCAAACAATAAAAATAATAATACAACAAAAATTCTTCCTTTTTTAAAAATGTCAAAACGCGTAAAGTTTGTAAGTATGAATGTTTGTTACTCTTTCGCTCAAAAACTACTGAACGGATTTTGATGAAACTTTACAATAATATAGCTTATGCATCAGAATAATATATAGGCACTATAAATTTCACTCGGATGAAACCGGGGGCGCAGCTAGTTAATAATAATAATACCCAGGGACAATTCATACTACTTAACTCAGTACTAAGGTAAGCAGAGATTGCGTTATGGGTAAAAATGATATACATAGAAAACATCCAAACCGATACTGTTTGTACCGTGCGATGAATCGAACCCGCGACCGTTGGAAGTAAAGTGCAGTGCTACACTGGTAAACCACAGAGGCCGTCGAAATATGATTAAAGAAATCCTGATCTGTAGGTTTAGTAGGCAGACTTACATCTAAAAGGTAGGGAATTCAAATCTGGTTATTCAGCCGTTTAGTCGTAAACTATCAAACTAAAACATACAGATAGACATATTTTTACATTTCTTATATAGTATACTATAAAATAGATAAGTGAAAGTATGAAGTAAACGTTGTTTTGCCATATAAATTAATAACGGCATAAATAGGGGTTGGTGATAGAAGGGTGAAAATATAGGGTTGTATGTATAATGACATATATTAAAAAAATAAATATTAAAAATTTGGTCGAAAAATTTAAAAAATTTTTTTTAGGGTGAGACACCCTTAACACTTAGTGGTATAACAATTAGTTATAAACCTATTCTCAGACCAACGGAATATATATAAAATTTCATCAAAATCGGTCAAGCCGTTACGGAGAATTATAAACACAAAATCTGTGACACGAGAATTTTCTATGTGTACTAGCTACCCACCCCGGCTTCGCACGGGCGTGCATGTATTATATATATAAACCTTCCTCTTGAATCACTCTATCTACTAAAAAAAACTGCTTGAAAATCCGCTCTGTAATTTTAAAGATTTAAGCATAGGGACGGACAGACAGCGACAGTGACTTTGTTTTATTACTATGTAGTGATTAGATATGAAATTACCAATAATCCACAATCTATGATTGTAATGTTTTTTTTTTTTCTACAGGAACTGGAAACAAAGTGCGGCATGTACAACAAAGACGGTGTCGGATTCCGAATAACTTTGAATAGTAACCAGGAAGAAGCGCAGTTTGGCGAGTTTCCTTGGATGGTGGCTATAATCAAGTCTGTAAAAAATATTACATTTGAATTTAGAATATCACATTAGAATAGCATATTCTAAATTTAAATATACATAGTATCAGTAATATTATGTAATATCTTATCTGTGGCAATACCATAGTATTTTTTGGTTATTTTTTTCCCATCTCAGGGTAAGACAAAAGAACTCAGCCCATACAGCTATTGTCTTCATAATTAGTAATACCATATTTATACTATGCATATTTAAATTTAGAATACCACAAACACGGAACAGATAAGCATATAAGTCCACTCATTTACTTATTGTGGTAATAAGCATACAACTTAACTTAGATCTATGTATCCTGTGATATTGAAATATCAATTAAAAAAATAATAAAACAATGTTATATTCTAACTTACGCCTACATAAGAGGTTTCATCAAAATCCGTTCAGTAGTTTTCATCAAAATCCGCGTTCAGTGAAAGAGTAACAAACATGCACCCCTACTCACAATCTTTCGCATTTATAATATTAGTAAGATATAGGGCTACACTCAAAAATTACTATATCATCAGGATAGAGCCAGTAGACGAGAAGATTCCAGAAGGTCAAAAGAAAGAGACATACATAGAAGCTGGCTCTCTCATTCATCCTCAAGTTGTACTGACTGGGGCAAACTTCGTCGCGACTGATCAGAAACTGATCGTCAGGGCTGGTGAATGGGATACGCAGACCACTAAAGAAATATACCCTCACCAGGATCGGGACGTGGAGAAGGTGGAAATTCATAAAGATTATAACAAAAGTATGTCATTATTTGTTATTTTTTATTGCATGTTTATTTAAATAGACATTTTCATAATTCATTCATTCATTCATTCACAATTCATTTATTCTGGGTGTTTTCTATGTATGTTTATTTACAAAAAAAATTCAAATAGACATTTTCATAATTCATTCATTCATTCATTCACAATTCATTTATTCTGGGTGTTTTCTATGTATAATAAGTACGTATTTAATAATGTACGGCGGCTAAATGTACAAAACTACGCAACGGATTTTGAAGCGGTTTTTATAATAGGTAGCAAAAGGAAGGTATATATATAATACAATAGCAATGCAATGCAAATGAATGCAAAGTCTCAGCCACCGATCGGGCTGAGGCCAAAACTGACAAAGTTTCATATAAACTTTCATCCCCTATTTTATCCCTTTGGGGGTAGAATGAATCACAATCCTTTCTTAGCGGATGTCTACGTCATAACATCTACCTGCATGCCAAATTTCAGCCCGATCCGTCCAGTGGTTTGGGCTGTGCGTTGATAGATCACTGTCAGTCAGTCACCTTTGACTTATATACATATATTTAGATATGCTATTCGGATGTAAAAACTTTCATCCATTTTATTATCTACTAACTTTCATCCCCCTTAAGGGTAATTTTTTTAAAAACTTTGAACGTCATATTTATTCATATTTAATCAACAGTCCCAAAAATAAGATTCAAGCTTTTAGCTTCAAAAACGATTCTATCAAACCATCTTTCATCCCCACTTTCAACCTCTTACAACCCTTTTTTCGCATTCAAAAGTAGCCTATGTCCTTTCTCAGGGCCTAGACTATCTGTGTACCTAATTTCCGTTCGGTTCAGTAGTTTTGACGTGAAAGCGAGACAGACAGACCGAGTTACTTTCTCATTTATAATATTAATAAGAAATAATACCCGTGCTAAGTCGAGGCGAGTAGCAGTAGTATAGTAAGTTATAATTCATAGCGTCAGCGTTATGAATTATAACTTACTATACTACTTACGAGTTTTTTTCTACAAAAGCATTACTATCACTTACAAACTCTTCTATTTTATAATAAGCATTTTTACAGAGAAAGCATTTTATATGACATTTGAATTAATTAATTATTTCAGGCTGCTTTAGAACAGACGCTGGAAGTTTGCTAATCAATTTTGTATTTTTATTTTATACATTTTACGGCTCTAGCCCGAGCCCTTTTGATCCAAGTTAATATAAAACAAACGTCATTTACATTTTTTAAAATTTGTAGAGTCTCTATTCTACAACATCGCCGTGCTATTTCTGTCAGCACCAATGGAGTTAGTCCCAAATGTCGGTGTAGCATGTCTGCCACCAAGCAACCTTCGTGCTGAAGCCGGCACCAGGTGCTTGTCTGCAGGGTGGGGCAAGGACAAGTATGGGAAGGAGGGGACCTACCAGGTCATATTAAAGAAAGTCAGTATTACTTTATGAACTGTTTTTTTTTATTTATTTATTTCAGTCTACTAGTCCCGTATTTATTTTTATAGATGACTAGCTGTTCCCGCGACTTCGTCCGCGTGGAATTTTACTTTACTTCTCTAAAATAAAAGTAGCCTAAGTTACTCCTTATTACAAAAGCTACCTGCCAAAAAAAATCCCGTCAAAATCGGTCGGCTACTTTTATTTTAGAAAAATAAAGTTAAAATCCACGCGGGTACAGTTAGTAAATAATAAAATAAAATAATCAAGCAATCGACGACCTCGGCGATCTAGCGGTTTAGCACACTGCTTTACTTCCGATCATCGCGGGTTCGATTCCTCGCACGGTACATTGTAAAATTGTATTCATGAGAATGATTTTTTAAGTGGGTCCCCTTGGGGGTAGAATTAATGAAAATCCTTTCTCAGCGGATGCCTACGTCATAACATCTACCTGCATGCCAAATTTCAGCCCGATCCGTCCAGTGGTTTAGGCTGTGCGTTGATAGATCACTATGTCAGTCACCTTTGAGTTATATATATTTAGATATGTAACACCAAATATAAAAAACAACAATTACAATGTAGAGGTAACAATTGGCGGCCATATCGTTAAATAGCAATTTCTTCCAGGTAATGCATGATAATTATAATTATCAATAGAAACAATCAGGGCATTCTAATGGACCTCTAATAAGCTATATACCATGCCACTTTCTGGATAAGTAATTACATCCTTACATTCCCAGGTTCAAGTCCCAGTAGTTGACCATGACACGTGCCAGACACAGCTACGTAAGACCAGACTGGGTCGTAGGTTCATTCTTCATTCCTCATTCATGTGCGCCGGCGGTGAAGAACGTAGCACCTGCTCCCAAGACGCAGGAGCGCCTTTAGTTTGTCCAATACAGGTATTTTTCTTATGGTATATCATATCGCTTTACTATCCGATGGTCGCGGGTTCGATTCCTCGCACGATACAAACATTAGTATTCGTGAGTGCGATTGTTTGTAGATCTCAGAATAGTCCAAAATCCTATACAAGATAATTCAAGTTTGATCTTGCTCTAGGAGCTCTTGACAATAATAATGAAACTGATTATAATATCTATAATATTTACAATATATATATGTACTTATATCAGTTGTCCAGCATTCACAACACAAGCTTTACTTAGCTTGGGACTAGATGGCGCTGTGTGAATTGTCCTGAGATATTATTATTATACCTCACAGCTTTCTTATTATTATTAACACCTTAGGCGCCATGTGTATCTTTTTGTCACACAGTGTCTGGAACACTGTGTATTTTAAAGTATACCATACACATCTTTCTACTTAGTAAACGCGCACCCCTCCGATCGATCCCCCGTCCAATTCAAACGGGGATCGAAATTACGACGGCCTGAGCCGAGGTTCGAACCCCTAGCGGTGCCCTCAGACTAAAGTCGTATCCGTCAGGCAGGAGTTGGCCTTCAGCCACTACATAAGTCCTTCCGCGGGTTTGGAGTGCCATCTGTACTCGCCCCCTAACGTCCGGTGAAGCTGTAAAGGCCAGCTGCGGCCAACAGCATTAGAGTAGACCGAAAAAAATAAAAAAAAGTAAACGCGCTGTGTATCCTTTAGGAACACGTTCTCTATACATCTATTACACAAATAAAAGTCCTGGCCTATTGCATTTTTCCGATGTAAATCGTCTGGGAATTGGTGATTTCTACAAAAATTTGTGTTTTTTTTAAACGGTCACTTATGGTCAGGCGCTGAGGTTGTTAAAAACCAGAAAAATTACAAATTGTGTAGCATATCAATCATTAAAATATATTTTCAGCACGAAGAAGGTCGTTACATGCAGTTTGGCATCATGGCGTGGTCCATTACCTGTTCGTCAGACATTGCCCCTAGTGCCTACGTGGACGTCGCGAATCTCCGTGACTGGATTGACGACAAGGTCGTCGGTCGTGGGTTCGATCCCAGCGTTTACACCTATTGATACAGAAAAATTAGGTTATAATTTATTACTAAGAAACTCCTTTTTTTCTACAATAAGTACATGTATGTTTTGTTATATCTAAGTGTTCGTATCACATTCTGTAATAAAACTTTTATAAAACTGTTTTTCTTGTATGACGGCCACGGTGGTTTAGCGGTTTAGCACCGCTTTACTTCTGATGATCGCCGGTTCGATTCCTCGCACGGTGCAAACATTTGTATTCATGAGTATGATGTGTTTTCAATGTATGTTAATTACAGTTAATGTATGTTAATAATGTATGTATTTACAAAAAATCCCATAACACAAGTTCTGCTTGCCGTGGGACTAGATGGCGCTGTGTTAGTTGTCCCGGGTTATTTATTTCTATAAAAAATATATTATATAAAAACAGTATAATTAATTTCCATTAGTGTGACTCGAGTCAACAGATAATGCATACAGATAATAAATATAAAAGCTACAGATAAATCTGTAGTAATATTTATCTGTAACTTTATGCTGTCACATGAAACCACCGCTATTTCTTTTATACATGCATTTATTTTTTCTGTAAAAATAAATGCATGTATAAATGTCTCATGTATGTTATGTGTTTGTAACTGGTGAATAAAGGAATTATCTATCTATGTAATAATAAAATTTTAGTAAAAATTTAAACATCTTACCTGTTTTTTTTTATTTTCAATCTTGCATCAATCAATATTCAATTGCAATGATATCAATCACAACAATGATAGAACGGTATTCAATAGAGCTATTACTAAGGTGTTTCAGTACTCGATATTGCAGTTTTTTTTTGTTTTTCCTTGTCTTGCCAAATTGTCTTTTATCAGATTAATATTGTACATCCAGTTGTGTGGTCCTTCTTATAAACACACTACACTAGCTGTAGCAAGACTTCGTCTGCGTGAAATAGTGACCGTCACCAAATAAAGAAAAATATTTAGTAAAAAAATCCAACACGCAAAAGCAAAAAAAAAAGTTTCATCGTTCAAAAAAGACGAATTTCTATACAAACTTTCATCTACTATTTTATTTTACACACTTAAAGGTAAAATTTTTACTAACTTTAATTGTTATATGTTTATATTTAATCAACAGTCAAAAATAAGTTTCAAGCTCGTAGCTTAAAAAATTAGAAAACTTTCATACAACCTTTCATCTCCTTCAAGCCATTTTTGGCATTAAGAAATAACCTATGTCCTTTATCAGGGTCTAGACTAGCTGTGTACCAAACTTCATTCAAATCACTTCCGTACTTTTGGCGTAAAAGCCCGACAGACAGGAGTACCAAGTTTCATTCAAATCGGTTTAGTAGTTTTGGTGTGAAAGCGCGGCACACAGACAGAGTTACTTTCGAATATATAATATTAGTAAGGATGTGTTGTGTTAAATCGTAGCCAGATGTTACCTTTTCAGTTGGAATACGTAATCCCTGGAGTCCAAGATAGTTCTGGCTAAACGGTTGTTATACTGTTGAAGTGTTTGCTTGTAAGCCTTACAGAATGTTTTATTTTCTCGTGTACAGTTAGGATTTCCATATAAATGCTGCTGTCCCGGCAAATGTTGTTTTGCTATATAAATTAAAGTAGTCATTTAAAAAGTGTGCATGTATGGTGAAAGATGAGTGTCAATTGAGGGTTGTATGTATTTTTAATGCAACATTATAGAAGATAAAAAAAAATTGAGCCCAAAATAAAAATAAAACTTGGGGTGGACAAACCTTATCTCTTAGGGATATGAAAAATAGTAACCGATTCTCAGACCTACTCGATATGCCTATTTAATTAATTTCATAAAAATCGGTCAAGCCATTTTGGAGGAGTATGACTAATATTGTGACACGAGAATTATATATATATATATATATATAATAAAATACATATAAGATGTACCTCCTTATTCGTCCGGAATGCTTTGGGGAAGTTTAAAGAATATACTGGTTTAGAAAAGCTAGAAAATCATATATCTTGATCGTCAAATTAGTTGTGAAAAAGTTATACGCTTTCTTCAGATTTGAACTTTATACAGTTGTCAATGTAAACATTATTTTTAGTTAATTGATATGCTTGATCGATGGAAAAACGAGTTATTTTGTATAAATAATTTATTTTGTTAATATAATATTATGAACGTACAATATAGTTTTTTGACAATACATATTTTTCATATAAAAGCGGCGATCGAGTGAGTAGTGATGTGCCAGTGTCACCAACATTAATGAAGAAAAAATAAGTAATAATCATTTGATAATAGTGACAGTAATGAGAAATCAGACAGACAGATTCACTTCCCTACATTTATTAGTAAAAACTCTATGCATAGTAATGCACACAGAATTAATAAAACATAGTCCCTAAGTTTTTAGTCCACTATAATTGTATTTTTGTAATTTGACCCCAAATATAGCAATGATCTTATTATGAAATTCAAATTCTATATATAGATTAAACTAAGAATAAGTAAATAAGTGTAATGTATATAACATGTAAAGTATTATTATCAGATTGATCTTTTCCTTATTTAATAATAATTAACATATAAATAATTAATTATAAATTATGATATGTAATAAAAGTCAACACAATGTAAATTGTTATGAAGAAATAAAATGAATGAAACTAAAAGTACTGGCATGAAACGCAACTAGTACCCAGAGCCGTATAACATAATAAATAAAATTCTTGTTGTCAGCCATTTTGTTTAAATATAAGAAAATATTACTGAAGACAATGGCTGTATGGGCTGAGTCCTTTTGCCTTTCCCTGAAAAGGAAAAAACCGAACCAAAAAAAAGCCATTTTGTTTACTTACGTAGGTGTCAATGTCTAACATTAAATGAAAATATAAATAAAACTAAAAAAATGAATACCTATACCGAGCATGAACAACTACTGCACGCTCGTCAATCAAGTACCTAATCGTTTAGTGAGTAAATATGTTATAACACAAAGTTTAAATTGTAATTAAGTAAATATGTAAGTTGCCCCGGCTTCGCCCGGGTGAACATCTAAATATATACAACTCAAAGGTGACTGACATTGTGATCTATCAACGCACAGCCCAAACCACTGGACGGATCGGGCTGAAATTTGGCATGCAGGTAGATGTTATGACGTAGGCATCCGCTAAGAAAGGATTTTGATTAATTCTACCCCCAAGGGGATAAAATAGGGGATGAAAGTTTGTATGAAACTTTGTCAATTTTAAACCCATCGGGAGACTGCGTGCATAAAGCTACTATGACGTAGGCATCCCCTAAGAAAATATTTTGATAAATTCCACCCCTAAGGAGATAAATTAACGCGAGCGAAGCCGCGGGCAAAAGCTAGTAATATTATAAACGCGAAAGTTTGTGAGTATGGATGGATATTTCGTTACTCTTTCATGCAATAACTACTGAACGGATTTTGATGAAACTTTACAGTAATGTAACTTATACATAAGAACACATAGGCTATAGGTAAATTTCACTGCTAGTACTAGTACTATATATGGTGGACATAATCACGGCAAAATCATCAGAAAATTACTACGATAGTTTTTCAGAGAGACCGCGTGGAGGTCGATCTGACATGACACGTTCCTAGCAATGGGGCATATTACCTATTACCAAAAATCCCCCCAACCCCTACCTTTGGAGGGTGTGAATAAATATATGACAGGTGATAAACATCACACGATCTTTTGCAATGACGAACGCACCTGTGGGTCACGAGTAGGATGGCCAACTCACATGAATATTATTTCGGGATTTAATGGATAAAAATCGGGATGAGTAAGAAATCTAATTTATATTATAAACGCGAAAGTTTATGAGTATGATATTTAGGATGTTTGTTACTCTTTCACTCGAAAACTACTGAACAGATTTTGATGAAACTTTACAGTAATATAACTTACAGGCTATAAATTTCACGCGAGTGATACCGCGAGCTCAGCTAGTGTTATCGTAATAGTATCTTAAACAGTAAATTTTGTTCTGTTAGCACGCATAATGCAAAAGATCAACTGAAGTGTTTATGGTTTATTGACCTCGGTGTTATATGACGGCCTCGGTGGTTGAGCGATGTAGCACACCGCCTTATTACCGATGGTCGTGGGTTCGATTCCTCGCACGGAACAAATACTTGTTCTTTCATGAGTATGACTGTTTGTATCGGTTTACGTGTTTTCTATGTATAATATATATGTACTAGCTGTTCCCGCGACTCGACCGCGTGGAATTTAAGTTTATTTTTCTAAAATATAATATTTTTTCTTAAATAGAAGTACCTGTCGAAAAAATCGGTCCAGCCATTTCAGAGATTAGCCGGAACAAACAGACAGACAGATAGGTAAAAAATGTTATTTTGGTGTATGTACCGTATTTATATTCATATGTATGTAATAAAAAACGGTTATTTCAATATTACAAACAGTCACTCCATTTTCATAACACAAACTTTAGCTTAACTTGGTTCTAGATGGCGCTGCGTGAATTGTCCTTAGATTATTATTATTTCACAACATATAGTTGGTTATTTTATATTGATGACAAGGACGGGCTATTATTATTCTTTATATATATATATATATATATATATATATATATTATATTTGATGGGGTGTTAAACTTGTCATTGCGGGTGAATATCACCAAACAATGACCATCATAAAAGAAATGATTATTATGACAAAAATTTGCGGACGAATTATTATTATTAATCTTATTATTATTTAATAATAATAATAATAATTCGTATTTAATATAAAACAATAATAATTTATTGTTTTATTTTCAATATAAACACTAATAAACCAAGTAATTTATTTTTTTTTGAGGGTTGATAATGGATTTGCGCTAACGGTTTTCGCTCGGGGGGCACCAGTGGAGGATGATGAACATGAGGCCAGGTCGGTTAGCCCATCGTGACAAATTCACCAGGAATTTATCTCGATGGTTTCCAAAAGGTCCACATGGTACATTGCTACAATGTGTGTATATATGTGTATATATGTAGTTATTGTGAGCCTTTTATTATTATTATTATTATTATGTTGAAAATCGGGACGTCCCAATGCAGTCAGGATAATTGGTCGCCCTAGTTGCAACCGCAGCTAATATTTAGATAATTGTAAAGTGAAGCGATGGGGTGTGGGTGACCTATAATTGGTTTGGTGTTTTGTATGTTTGTTTGTACGTTTATGTTTGTATACGATAGAAATAGAAATAGAAATAATCTTTATTCAAATAAACTCATTACAAACACTTTTGAATAGTCATATTTTGATTCTACCACTCATTCGGAATGCAGGTACATCACAAGAAGAATGAGCAAGAAACTTGTGTGTTGCTCTTTTTAATAGATGTTTTTTTTTTATATAAATAATTACATTATAACAAGTAAGAGGCATGCGATAATCAACATAGAAGTCGCTACGCACTCATTATTAATGTAATCAGATAATATTGTCAGTGCTATAGATTTAAAGTTTTTCTATAAAAACATTATTATCGTTAACGAATTCTTCAATTTTATAGTAAGATTTTTTGCAAAGGAACTGTTTTATTTGACATTTAATTTTTTTCTGGCAGATTTATAACAGACTCTGGTATTTTATTGTAAAACCTTACGCAATTGCCATAAAACGAATTACTAACTTTAGCCAAACGACATTTAGGTAAAATCAGTTTGTTATTGTTACGTAAGCTTTTATTAGTGCAATCACTAACTCTTTTAAAACTGTCTATATTCTTCTGGCATAGATGATATTTTCATAAATGTATTGAGAAGCAACGGTGAGGATATTTGATTACTTAAAACACTCTCGCAATGACTCCCTGGAACCCATACCATAAATGCCGCGAAAATCACAAAAACATCATGTGACGCATTTACTTTCTTCACGCGGCAACAGCGTTGCTCAGTGACTACGTTAAGTTAGGTGTAGGTGTGGATTTTGAACCAGCGACCATTGTAGCAAGACTGCTATACCACTAGACTACTGAGACAGAACATTCAAACTTGTAATAAAAAGAACATTACAGATAAATTTTGGTGGCTCAAATCCGCGACCGTCGGAAACAAAACTGTACTAAATCACTAGACCACAGAGGTACAACATCCAAAGATATAATAAAAAGATCATTATACAAAATTCTTGTTTTTATTACAGTACAAAATAATAAAAAACATAGTCGTACAACTGTTAGGTTAGTAAGTGTAGGTGCTGAGTTCGAATCAGCGACAATCTGAAGCAAAAATATCGTAAAACACTAGCGCTAGACCAATGAGGCACAACATTCAATGATGTAATAAAAAGAACACTATACAAAATTTTGCTGAATCAAACCCGCGACCATTGGAAGTCAAGATTCTACTAAACCGCTAGACCACCGATGCACAATACGAGAATATAGAATAAAACGACATAATAGAAAAAATCTTGTTTTTATTATAGTATAAAAAAAAATCAAATACATAGTCGCACAACTACGTTAGGTTAGTAAGTGTAGGTGCGGGGTTCGAACCCGCGACCGGCGACTTTGTCGTCGATCCAGTCGCGCAGGTTGCCGACGTCCACGTAGACGCCGGGGGTGCCGTCCTCGCCGCAGCCGATGCCCCACGCCACTATACCAGACTGTATATAGCGGTCTTGTTCATACTGAAACCATATAATATCAAATTCAAATACAAATTCATGTACACATTTAAATTAAAATTCAGATTCATATTTAAATACAAATTCAAATTCAAATTCAAACTCAAACTCAAACTCAAACACAAACACAAACACAAACACAAATACAAATACAAATACAAATACAAATACAAATACAAATTCAGATTCAGATACAAATTCAAATTCAGATACAAATTCAAATTCAAATTCAAATTCAAATATGGCGGACATTACACCATGAGGCATTTTCTCCCAGCTAACCATTGGGCAAACAGAGATTTATGTGTGCAGTGCATTTAAAAATAAATAAAAAATATGTAGGTATACAATATAAAATAACAATGTCAAAAAACTATAATTCAGTCTGTATATATCAGTCTTGCTCATACTCAAACCATATATCATATACAGGGTGAGTCTGAAAATATACCACGCATGCATATGGCGGACTTAACACCTCGAGGTATTTTCTCCCAGTCAAATGTCAATAAATCAAATATGTATATTATTAATATTATAAATGCGAAAGTTTGTAAGTTTGGATGTTTGTTACTATTTCACGCAAAAATTACTGAACGGATTTTGATGAAACTTTACAGTAATATGGCTTATTCATCAGAATAACACATATTTTATATTGAAATATGGTTCAGTCTTGTTCATACTGAAACCATATATCATATACAAGCTGAGTCGAAAAATATACCCAACTTTATAGCCATATCATATACAGGTGAGTCGGTACGGTAACCATTTACCATCAGATGGGCCGTATGCTTGTTTGTCACCGTAGTAGTATAAAAAAAATCTACTCAACTATATATGTTACAGTATTGTTCATATTAAAACCATATATCATATTTTTTACACAAAACACTCTATCTCATACAAACAATCATACTCATTTCGAGGAATCGAACCCGCGACAATCGGATGTAAGGCGGTATACCAAACCGCTAGACCACCGAGGTCGCCTTATGTGTATATATATGATATATTACTATTATTATTTATGTTTATTTCATTCCATCATGCGCCATCCACCACCTTCTGTAGTCTGTACCTACTATACATATAAGTATATATTCCAATTTTTTTTAAATATGCAATAAAGAGTAATAAAAAGATTACCTGTATAGGACAGACTAACGGCGAGCCCCCATCTCCCCTGCAGGTGTCATGCTCGGCCTCCCCCCCGGCGCACATGAAGGACGAATGCAGCATGAAGTGCTTCCCAAGTCTGGTCTTCCGGAGCTGGCTCTGGCAAGTATTACGGTCCACCACGGGCACCTCCACCTGGGGAATATTATAATTTTTTATACAACGATTTTGGCAAACAAGCTTATGGCCTGTATGATGGTAAACGGTTACCGTAGAAAATAATAATTACCCAGGACATTTCACATAGCGCCATCTAGTCCCAACTGATATAAATACATAGATACAGTTTTATTGTGAATATATATATATATCTTACTAATATTATAAACGCGGAAGTTTGTGAGTATGGATGGATGTTTGTTACTCTTTCACGCAAAAACTACACAACGGATTTTGATGAAAATTTACGCTGATATACATAACTTATACATCAGAATAACACAAGTGCTATAATTTTCACGAAGGTGAAACACGGGCACACCTTATATGTAATATACGAATAAATAAATTCCTGGAGAGTTTGCCAAGATTGGGCAATCTTGAGCAGAATTCACTACTAACCTTCTTCAATATGACCTGGTAGCGCCCCTCCTTGCCGAACTTGTCCTTCCCCCACCCGGAGGCCAAGCACCTAGTGCCTGCATCGATCCTCTCCCGAGGGGGCGGAAGGCAGACCACACCTACGTTGGGGGTGAGTTCCATAGGCTCCGACAAGAACAGTAATGCGATGTCGTAGAATAGGTTCCCTGCAACCAATAATCCATTTCCATGTTGAATACTTCGTACCTAGTGCTGAACTACACCGGATTTACATCCACGAGGTCGTGAGTTCAATTCTGCCTGATCCCAAAAAAACTTTTTGGTCAAACAGTGAAGGAATTCGGTAACAAACCAAAAATTAATGTGAGATACTATATATTTGGTTTGTAATAGGATTACTGTATTCTTTTCGAACTATTCTAATGCTGTTAGCCGTAGCTGGACTTTACAGTTTTACCGAACGATAGAGGACGAATGACATTCCAAACCCGCCGACTTATGGAGCGGCTGAAGGCCATCTCCCGCCTGATGGATACGACTTTAGTCTGAGGGCACGGCTAGAGGTTCAAACCTTGACTTAGGCCGTCGTAATTTCTATGCCCGTTTGATTTGGACGGGGGATCGATCGGAGTGGATTAAAGACCGCGTTAGGATTACCCCATGGGATGTGCCAAGGGGTAATTCAACTCAACTCAACACTTCAATTCAACGCGGTTCCCCCTGGAAACCATCGTGATACATTCCGGTGAATTTGTCACGTTGGGCTAACAGACCTGACCTCATGTTCATCTTATCATCCTTCACTGATGCCCCGCCAGCGTAAACAGTTATCGTAGGGGACACCATTCTATTATCATCCTTTAAAAAAAGAAATATCCTAACGCGGATAGAGTCAAATATAATGAGTAAAATGTGGGCATGTCGAGTGTTGGCGACAACATCCATCGTTGATAATGCCTCTGACTATTGGGTGAAGGGGATTGTAAGATGAATTAATAACCTCATTGCTACCCATGTGCTATGTCAGGGTGACGCCACGAGGTTCCCCCTGGAAACAATCAAGTCAAGTTCCTGGTGAACTTACCATGATGACCTGACCTCATGCTCATCCTATAATTCACTGGTGGCCCGCCAGCGAACACTGATAACGCAGTCCAACTTTTATCATCCCTTACAAAACCCATATGGAATAAGGGACTAATTAACTCCATAAATGAAATGAAATTAATGAATTAATGAAATGATATGAATTTTATTATAAAAATGTAGTGGTACATGAATGCGATTTTCTTACATCATTATTAGTTATTTCGGACATGTTACAAACACACAATTTTAAATATTATAATATAATATATATATATATATATATATATAGTGTATTATGAAGGGGTCATATAAAGTACTAGTAAGTAGCGGATAGAGTTATAATGAGTAAAATGTGGGCATGTCAAGTTTTGGCGACAACATCCATCGTAAAATGTCCAGACTTGTGGCGGCGTGGTGGGCCGGGTCATTGTAAAAATATGGTCGAGCGCAGTGATAGTTGACTCATCCGTCATACTCGTGAACGAGTGCTGCTTGTAGGGACTGGTCTGCTCTTATCACTACGACTGATTTCCTCTTTAGTTGTTTAACCAGTTGGTTATATATTCAATATTTTTTCTATTTGAGTATTTAATTGAATTAGTGCTAATTGGTGGTTTGTATTCACACACTTAAACTTAAAAATGTAAAATAATAATAAAATTATTTAAAAGAGCAACACGCAAGTTTCTTGCTCGTTCTTCCTGTGATGAGACAGCTATCCGAATGAGCGGTAGATTAAAAAAATGTAATGATTATTCAAAAGTGCTTCAATGTAAGTTTATTTGAATAAATGATTTTCTATTCTAAAAATGTATTTTACATGACTATGTTAGTCAGTTTTTTACATCATTATATAGTCTTATTAACAGCATTGACAAACACACAATTTTACGTGCCGCAACTCCGATTACAATATAATATATATATACCGCGCGTACACTACGCTACCAAGGAACAGGACATTATTGACTACATCCGGACCAAGTAACCTGACATTGAGGGTGACGCAGCTGGAATCGAGTCACAACGCGAGCTTCAAAGCGTTCGTGGCCCGGGTCAACACCAATATGCTGCCCACCTTCACGAAGGAGGACTGCTGGCCGAAGGGGGTGGTCTACCGGCTCTACCGTGGGAGATTACCTTCAACAGTGCCGTGACAATAGAGACAATTTAAAGTAATATTTTATTATTATTTCTTATGTATGTTAGTCTATAAGGTATTTATAATATGGGCCATGTAGCCTGAATTAAATAAATAAATAAATAAAATAGATCTTTTTTTCATAAATACATACATACATAATATTATACATAGAAAACACCCAGACCGACACAAACAGTATGACTGTTTCTATTCAATTTGAAAATATCTTATTCATGTAGGTCTATTACAGACTCTTATGATATGTCAAATCTATCTATGTAATCTATTTATTTATTTAATTCAGGCTACACCTGAATTAAATAAATAAATAAACAATAATATAATTACTATCTGACCCCTTCATAATACACTTATATAAACGTGAACATAGTTCAATATACTATAAACAAGGTTTTAGATTATATGATTTTTTTTATATTTAAAGTAAAATCGGTCGCTTTCTTTATGGCGACATCATTTTGGCATATGTCTATGTATATTATCTTGTATGTGTTCCTAATTCTTTTTTTTTATATTTCATGATGGAGAATAGTAATAGTTTAAAATTAAAACTGAAACGAGATGTCACAAAAACTAAGACCAATTCGTCGTGTGAGGGGTTTTATATTTTTTGACATCACATTTGAATTTCAGTTTTTAACTATAAAAATGTGACCACTTGTCACACCCCCTGTGTGACAAGTGGTCACATTTTATAGTGGTGGTGAAAGGTTAAGATGACTGAAGCTGATGTGACATATTTTACGCCCCTAACAGCCGTGTTACATATATTTGCAATTAAATTTATTTATTTAACTTCAATGCATACAATACAATATAGTAAAATATAGTAAAGTACATTTGGCGAACTTAACATCATGCTGCATTTTCTACTAGTCAACCATAGGTAGTGCAGATAATAATTTATTTTTTAGGAATAAATCCTGCGAAAGAAAAACTTGTGTTTCAGTATTTTGCCCCATACTCGGTTCGTGGGTAATTATAATTAGACAGTAGATCTTAGACTAGGATTAGAGAAATTTAGATTAGGTAAGAAAGCAGTATATGTGTGGATGTACATATATATATTCGTATGTATGTGTGTGTGTGCGTGTGTGTGTGTGTGTATATATGTGTGTGTGTGTGTGTGTATGTGTGTGTGCGTGTGTGTGTGTGTGTGTGTGTGTGTATCTAAGTACCTTTATTGAAATCCTTATGTATTTCTATATGAGACACGTTCCTGTCTTGATATGGGTATATCTCCTTTGTGGTCTGCGTGTCCCACTCGCCGGCCCTGACGCGCAGTGTCTTCGCGGTGGCGACGTAGTGCGCCGCCGTCAGTACCACCTGAGGATGGATGAGGGATCCACCACCCACGTACACGTTCAATTTCTGCCCTTCTGGGTCTTTGTCGTTTACTGGTTCAATCCTGTAAATATTGTTTATAAACATTATCAAATATATATTCATATATAAAACAAAGTCGCTGCAGCTGTTTGTTCGCTTATATCTTTTAAATTACGCAAAGGATTTTAATGCAGTTTCAGTAATAGATAGAATGATTCAAGAGGTTTTATATGTATAATATATGTGTGTTATAATAGAGAACAAGCCACAAAATTCAAAGATTTGTGATGCATTTGCGAAACCGAGACGGCCGAGACGGTGGGCGCCTAACGTTTTATCCACTTCTATATTTTTATATGTTTACAACTAGCTGTACCCGCGACTTCGTCCGCGTGGTATTTAACTATATTTTTCTAAAATAAAAGTAATCTAAGTTACTCCTTATTATATCAGCTACCTACCAAAAAAAGTCCCGTCAAAATCGGCCCAGCCATTTTAGAAATTACCCGGAACAAACACACAGGCAGACAGACAAAAATTGTAAAAAATGTTATTTTGGTGTATGCACCGTATTTATCTAAATATATATAACTCAAAGGTGACTGACATAGTGATCTATCAACGCAAAGCCCAAACCACTGAACTGATCGGGATGAAATTTGCCATGCAGGTAGATGTTATGACGTAGGCATCCGCTAGGAAAGGATTTTGATTAATTCTATCCCCAAGGGAATAAAATAGGGGATGAAAGTTTCTATGAAACTTTGTCAATTTTAAACCAATCAGGCTGAGACTTTGCATACATAAAGATACTATGACGTAGGCATCTCATAAGAAAGCATTTTGATAAATTCCACCCCTAAGGGATAAATTAACGCGTGCGAGCGAAACTACGGGAAAAAACTAGTATTTATATACATGTAGTAAAAAAACGGTTACTTCAATATTACAAACAGACACTCCATGTATATGTATGGATGATGATTCTAAGTGTTAACCTTCGTCTATATACAAGAACAGCACTCCGAACATCACGTTATCATATGACACCCGTGACCACTCATGTCTTCCCATTCCAGAGTACTAAGATGTCATGCCTCTTATCCTGTAATTTCACTGCCTAATCTGCACCTGTTAGGGTTCACATCAATATTGTAGGAAAATCCGATATTTTAAAAGATATTAGAAGAAGGTAGTTTATGTTTAGTACAAACATGTAAATAGCGCCATCTAGTATTTATACACCGAACTAAGTTGTTTGTCATACGATAACCGTTACCCCCTCATCTTTCCCTACTACCCGGATTTAGGTCTATAAATACGGAGGTCGGTAGTTGAATAATCCTCTTTCGTTGGGTGAGCCGCGGCATTCAGTCGACGAGCGCAGAGCGTGCCGGTTGTGTTTTGGATACTAAAGTGAATTGTATTAGAAATGGGTTTATCCCGGATTTAGTTGGGCTTGCGGAGAAGCTGCAAGTAGTGAAGGTGAGTGTTAATGCATTCTAAAGGGTCCTTTTAAAGCTACACTCGTGTCACAAATCACGGGCGCTACTTGGGGTTTCTCTTCCAGTATCCGCCTTCAAAGCCTAAGTCATGGTCATAATTAATTGGGGTCTTACACACCCTACAACCGAGACACAGCTTACAAAGCAAGCTGCTTGGCGAATGGAATAGGTGAGTCTGAGGTATCAGTAAACGTTTATATTGGTGTATACTGTTTATATATGTAATGTTTGTTATACATTATTATTAATTTGTCATTATTATTATGTTTTTATTTATCTTCTATTCTAGTGCCACATCCCCTTGTCTTTTCTCCTCTACCCAAAGGTTGTCTAGAAGAGATTGCGTAAGCGATAAGGTCTCCTTTTGTACCCTCTTAATTTTAATTACTCTATTCATGCAATTTACCTGGTGCAATAAAAAAAAAAAACGACTTTGTACAAAGTAAACTTACTTGAGGATAGCAACCATCCATGGGAACTCGCCGAATTTGGCCTCGCCGTCTTTATCGCCAGTAATACGGAACCCGACGCCGTTTTTGTTGCGCCAACCGCAGCCCACTTTCTGTAAAATGTTATATAAAGTCATATTCCAATCTTCATTTATATATGAGACAGTATATTTTTTTCTTAAATTATTTATTGTACAAAATTAAAAAAGTTTCAATATAGGGACAAATATGAGCTGAAATTACTCGGTTCAGCTAGTTAATAATATAAACAAACTTCAAAAACTAAAAATTAAGAAATTTCATTTAATTCAGTATGCCTATAGATTTTCGACTCGTGAACATATTTTAAATAAAAAGAAAAACAGCTTGCTTCGTAAGCTAGTTCGGTAGTAATAAATAAAAACAAAAGAAAATATGTGACTCTTCAAAAGAACTTATATTAAGATTATATTCTTTCTATTTATATATACATATGTTAGTCTGTAAGGTATATATCGTATTTTTTTAATGCATGATAATGGAATAGTCTGCGCTAACGATATACGCTGGCGTGGCACCAGTGGAGGATGATATCATGAGCATGAAGTTAGGTTTTAGGCTGTTAGATTTTACTAGAAATTAACCACAATGGTTTGCAATGGACCGCGTGGAAGTAGACCTAGCACATTAAATTGTTAGCACATGGTATAACTATTCCCCATTACTAACAATCCCTTCTTCCCCTTATATGGGGCATAAAGATGCTCGAAATGAAACTATGTTATCTTTACTAATATTATGAAGCTTAAGAGTTTGTTTGAACGCGTTAATCTCAGAACTACTGGTTCGAATTAAAAAATTCTTTCTGTGTTGGATAGTCCATTTATCGAGGAAGACTTTAAGCTATATAACATTACGCTACTACCAATAGGAGCGGAGCTGCAATGAAAAATATTGCAAATGGTGGGGAAACGATACGCAGACGAAGTTGCACGGGTCAGCTAGTCTATAATATTACTTACAATCTCCTTATTTTACTATGTTATATACATTCAAAAGGTCATTAGTTTTATATTTAAAATTCTCGTGTCACAATATTAGTTACCATCTCCAAGCGGCTTGACCGATTTTTATGAAATTTATGCATATTCAGTAGGTCTGAGAATACGACTACTCGTCTATTTTTCATACTCCGAAGTGATAAAGGTTGACCGTAACATTTTTTTTATTTGTTGGTCGATTTTTTTTTATAATGTGGCATTAAAATTACATACAACCCTAAATTTTCACCCTTCTATCACCAACCCCAATTTTTAATAGCCATTTTAATTTATGTGGCAAAACAACGTTTGCCTGGTCAGCTAGTAAATATATATAAACATCTTTTATGCATTACATAATATAGTTAAATTCTAGGAACCGCTCTAGGTCAAGCTACAAGATCTCTCCGATCATAATAAGGGGCCATTCGAAAATTACGTCACATGTGAAGTGTGACATTGACACAACAACGACGACCCCGATGGTCGCGGGTTCGATTCCTCGCACGGAAAACACGGCAATGTATCATGAGTATGATTGTTTGTATCGGTCTGGGTGTTTTCTATGTATATTATATATATAACAAATCTGCTTCCTGTAGATGGCGCTGTGTTATCTGTCCTGGTTATTTCTTTATTATTAATCTCGTTATTCTACTACGTTCATCAGTTCATCTATACTCTATACATATAAATAAAATTGGAGTGTCTGTTTGTAATATTAAAATAACTAAATTAAGTTTTTTACTACATCCATTTTTAATATAAATACGGTACATACAGCAAAATAACATTTTTTTTTTAATTTTAACTGTCTGTCTGTTTGTTCCGGCTAATCTCTGAAATGATTGGACCGATTTTGACGGGACTTTTTTTGGCAGGTAGCTGATGTAATAAGGTAACTTAGGCTAAGAAAAGTAAAGTTAAATTCCACGCGGACGAAGTCGCGGGAACAGCTAGTTAGTAAATATACATACAACAACACATCTTTTATGCATTACATAATATAGTTAAATTCTAGGAACCACTCTAGGTCAAGCTACAAGGTCTCCGATCATACTCGTGTAAGGGGCCCGTAATTTATGTCACATGTGAAGGGGGACGACAAAGTGTGACATTGACACAACAACGTCAACCTCTGTGGTCTAGCGGTTTAGCACACCGCTTTACATCCGATGGTCGCGGATTCGATTCCTCGCACGGTACGAACATTTTTATTCATGAATATATATAGATACATCAGAATAACATATATACTATAAATTTCCCACGGGTGAAACCGCGGGCACAGCTAGTAAATTATTTTTACTGCTGTATATATCCACTCATCTAGAAGTATCTCCCATCATCTAGGAGCCCCTCTTAGCCTTCTAGGAGCTATAAGTTCTTGTTATTTACATTTTAATTTGAGTATTAAAACACGAAATGTATCTATTAAAATGTGTCGTACTGTGACCGAAGGGGGTGTGGGCAAAAGTCACACAATTTGTGACAATTTATGGATGGCCGCTAATAAAATCGTGAAAGAACCGTGTCTGTACATCAAATATATTTTGAACTAGCTGTTCCCGCGACTCCGTCCGCGTGGAATTTAACTTTATTTTTCTGAAATAAAAGTAGCCTAAGTTACTGCTTATTACATTAGCTACCTGCCAAAAAGTCCCGTCAAAATCGGTCCAGCCATTTCAGAGATTAGCCGGAATAAACAGACAGACAGGCGGACAGACAAAAATTATAAAAAATGTTATTTTGGTATATGTACCGTATATAGTATAAGTCCCGTCAAAATCGGGCCAGCCATTTCAGAGATTAGCCGGAAGAAACATACAGACAGGCGGACAGACAAAAATTATAAAAAATGTTAATTTGGTATATGTACCGTATATAGTATATTCATATGCATGCAGTAAAAAACGGTTATTTCAATATTACAAACAGACACTCCAATTTTATTTATATGTATAGATGTATAAGTACCTAACGTGTCAGACGAATAAGTACAAATATATTTTGAATAAGACCACAAAAACCAGCCTTCAATAGCAACATACAGTATTACTAAAAAACTAGCGGTAAAACCTTGATCAAATTTATAAAGAACCATAAGAGAAACACTATCTTTCATATAATAATAATCTAAGGCCAATTCACACAGCGCCAAGTTAGCTAAAGCTTGTGTTATGGGTACTAGATAACTGATATATATATATACATAGATTATTTTTTCGTTATCCTATATATATTATTTAGGTAGTATGTTAAATTAAGATTAGGTATTATTACTATTATTTTATTTTTCTCTCTTGTTTCCTTGTGTAATTAGTGAATATGTATGTAATTAGTGTTTATAATTGTGTGTATTTATATGTGTGTATTTTTATATTATCTTCCTAAGTGGGGCATATTGGGAGATTGTAAAGTTCAGTATGACATAAATAAATAAATATATTATACATACACACTCAGACCGATACAGTCTGCGTTGCGAATGAGTGGTAGAAAAAATAATAATGAGCATTTAAAAATACTTGTATTGAGTTTATTTTAATAAAAAAATATTTGTTTGTTGTTTCACTGTTCATTCAACTTGAATGAACATTCAAGATGCAAGATTTTTATGAGCAACCTGCAGGTTTCAAAGCAAGGGTTGAAGTTCAATGGATATGTGATAGTTAAATTATAGAGTAGCTTAGTAATTCGGAATAGCAACGCAAGGGGGGTGGGGAGAAATGGGGTTGTTCGTAATGTGGACTGATGATCTTATTGCCAGCAATGTACCATATCAGGTTATTTGTATCCTTTTGTCCTTATGAAAATAAAACAAATATTTTGTACTAATACACGATTTGTATTTTCCCTTAATTGATAGCTCAGAATGACAAATTTAAAATTAGTGTTCTGATATTTTTTTTTAAGTTATATAATACAATGTGGCAAAATGAGGTTGCATACATTTATAAGTAACACCTAACATCTTAGTCATAGGTTGACCTCTACGTGGTTCCCCCTAGAAACCGTTGTGATAAATTCTTGGTGAATTTGTCACGATGGGCTAACTGACCTGACCTCATGCTCATCTTATCACCCTCCACTGGTGCCACGCCAGCGTAAACTGTTAGTGCAGGTTTTTATTGATGACAATGGAATGATACACATTATGTATACATCTGTACAATTCAATTTATTTACTAGAACGTGTGTACATAATGGCACATGTAAATAAAATTGAAGTGTCTGTTTGTAATATTGAAATAACCTTTTTTTACTACATGCATATGATTATAAATGCGGTACATACACCAAAATAACATTTTTTACAATTTTTGTCTGTCTGTCTGTCTGTCTGTTTGTTCCGGCTAATCTGATGTAATAAGGAGTAACTTAGGCTACTTTTATTTTAGAAAAATAAAGTTAAACTACACGCGGAAGAAGTCGCGGGAACAGCTAGTCATCCCTAAAATAAAACGCAAGGGGGGTCTATTTGCAGGCGACAGTTACCACTTTCCACCCGGCAGGACGGTAGGTTTTAAGTAATTTTTTTTTGTAAAAAACTTATTCATTAAGAATAAAGTATATTATATGTATTAGAGTCATCAGGGTTCATTAACCCGTATTGAAACATAATAAAAAAATCTTGTTTCTCAAAAGGACGCGATTCTGCGTTCCGAACTGGTTATTAGCGATTAAAACATAAAACCGTTATTTTATTTATTTTCACACAACGCAAAATGTCAGACCAGTTCACCACCTGGTGGAAAGTAGGTGCCTAGTAACAGTCATATATATATACACTAGCTGTATATATAAATATTGTCTTGTCACAGAAATTGAAATCGCTGTTAAAAATTAGGGGTTGGTTATAGAAGGGTGAAAATTTAGTTACCGTACTCCTCCGAACCGGCTTGACCGATTTTTATGATTTCATATGCAGTAGGTCTGACAATCGGCTACTATCTATTTTTCATACCCCTAAGTAATATGGGTTGACCACCCCCACTATGTAATATAAAATGTTAGGGTTGTTAATGAAAGTAGTTGTTAATTAATAATAATAATAATATTTCAGGTAATTCACACAGCACCATCTAGTCCCAAGCTAAGCAGTGTTTGTGTTATGGGTACGAGACAACTGATACAAAAACAGATTTTTTTCGGTAGGTAAATACAAACATAATATACATAGAAACCACCCAGACCTATACAAACAATCATACAAATGAATACAAAGGTTTGTGCCGTGCGAGGAATCGAACCCGGGACCTTCGAAGGTAAAGAGACCTACACTAGATCACTGAGGCCATCAAATTGTCATCCATTGTCAAGGTAATAATCAAACAGGAAGCACTGAATCACTGGCGGAATATGCCAGGATTAGTACAAAGCCCTAAGAACGAACTACTCGTATAACTCTAAAAGACTTTTACTATTGTAAAAACAATATATGCATCATGACTAGGGCCCTCACTGGACAGTGCAAGCTGAATAAGCAAAATTAGGCCTGCGCTCAACAAAAATCTGCAGAATTTTGCCAAATGGAAACTGAAATGCATCCTTTGTGGTTGTAGCCCACTCATGCATAAATGAAATATCTTCTTTGGAAACTATACATTATACCCTGAGGAGATAAAAACCAATTGCTCCTAAGAATATTCTTCAATTCTTGTTCCTGATGGGTCTAGGTAGCTTTGAAAAAAGGCGAGCACGATATGTAGGTCGCAGTGCTACAGGTCTAAGCACCTGACAATAGCCCAAACACCTCAAATAAAATAAATATATTATCTTCTTAATTAGTGACGGGGGGTGGCGACTCCCTTCCACTAATTACGCAAAATAAACACATGGCAAACTTAAGCCTGTGCTCAGAAATCTGCCGATTTTGCCAAGCGGAAACACCACTACACATCCTAAGTGGTTGTAGCCCAATCATGCATAAAGGAAATATCTTCTTTGGAAATATACACTCTATTCTGAGGACTACTATAATGCTGTTGGCGCAGCTGGTCTTTACAGCTTCACCAGACGATAGGGGGCCAGTGCAGACGGCACTCCAAACCAAAGGAAGGACTTATGGAGAGGCTAAAGGCCAACTCCCGCCTGACGTATTCGACTTTAGTCTGAGGGCACTGCTGAGGGTTCGAACCTTCGCTCAGGCCGTCGTAATTTCGATCCCTTAAGAATATTGTTCAATTCTTATGACGGGTCTAGACCCGTCAAGGATTATCCCTGACGGGTCTAGGTAGCTTTGAAAAAGAGCGAGCCTAATAAATCTATGTAGGTCGCAGTGCTACAGGCCTGAGCAACTGAGCTAAGCACCTGACAATAGCCTCCGACTCCCCCACTAATTAATATCATATTGACGATACACTGATGTCAAGGTCCGATGCATTGATGTCGCTCAACCAGTTTGGAACTGGGTTTACGTATTACTGCAAAACCAGTTCTCGTTTAATGTGACTGTGAAATTGTTAATGCCCATTTATTACCAAGTTTCTGACGGCTCGTTATATTAAACTGGTTTTTAATGTGAGCGTTAATTACTGAACTTATAATTGCCTCATCTATCGAGAATTTGGGGGGAAAGGGCTTGGTTGTAATGATTATAAACTGTCCGCTACCTAGCAATATCTCGGGTTGATGTTCAGATGGTTTTTTCTGCAAACAATCGTGGTTGAATTCTGGTGAATTGAACAACGGGTGGCCAAACTAACTTCGTCACTTCTATTTTTAACGATTAGGTTTCTTAACAACTGTATCATCTATAATTTTATATGAAGAGAATCTAAAGTCACTAAGAACAATATATGCATCACTAGGGCGCTCACTGGACACGGCAAATTGAATAAACACGTGACAAACGTAGGCCTGAGCTCAACAAAAATCTGTACATACGCGTAACGTAACCTAAAATACCCTTCTTGTAGAACCCCATGCTGTAGTCTCTTGAGAAAACCTCAGCAGGTAGGGGGAAAGGAGATTATTATCCTTGATTAAATAATCCCCTTTAAATATATAATATATCTGGTGCAATAGTATATAAATAAATCAAATAAACCTTACCTGTTCCTCCTTGGGTGGGGGTGGGGGCGTGATAGGCTCTTCAGGGGGCAGACGGTCCGGTGACAGGCAGCACGTGTCCATGTAGGAAGGACAAGGGCCGCTACCGCTGTAAGAACCACAATGTGAAGTGAAACTTCTCCGGCTGTATTAGGACTTGGGTGGACTAGCAGTTTAGCATACCGCTCTACTTCTGAGTATCGTCGCAAGTTTGATTCCTCGGACGGTGCAAACATTTGTATTTCATAAAAATGATTGTTTGTATCGGTCTGGGTGTTTTTCTATTTATATTATGTATGTATTTACAAAAAAAAAGTATTTATGTTTTGTAAGTGTCCTAGTACCCATAACACAAGCTCTGCTTAGCTTGTAACTAGATGGCGCTGTGTGAATTGTCCAGATTTATTTATTTACTATCTTTGGTCACGAAAAAGCGTTAGCGTCGTGTGAAGGGGATAGACGATATATCGCATTTGAGAGAAAGAGAAGAGTGGTGGAAGCGGGGACAGTACATTTTGGCAGCCGCGCGGAGAGCAGGGAGTCTGCTATCGCGTTGAGAGAGAAAGAAACTTGTCCCTTAAAGTTTCATACTGTAAGGGACAAGTTTCTTTCTCTCTCTACCGCAAATAAGATGATAATAATAAGAGATTTTTTTGGAAGTTAGGAATAATAATAAACTCTTTTTTGTACATATAGAAGAAACACAATAAGAAAAATTGTAAACAGATAATTTATAACAAAAGGCGGTCTTATCGCTATAAGAAATGTCTTACAAAAAACCTGGAAGATAGAACTAACGTACTCGGGAAATGTAGATGATAGATATTATTAAATAAATAAATAGACATACACATATAGGTATAAATATATAAAGTTACACATATACATACATATAAATACTGATTGAATAAAGATTAAGTGCGTAGCGGTTTCTATGATGATTGTCGCATACCACATCCTTGTTAATGTAAATCTACTTAAAACAACATTTATTTAAAAGAGTAACACACAAATTTCTTGCTTATTCTTCTTGTGATGAGTCTGCGTTCCGTTCCGAATGAGTGGTAGAATAAAAAAAATGTGACTATTCAAAAGTGCTTATATTAAGTTTATTTGAATAAAGATTATTTCTATTTCAATATACAATATATTGGTAAATTCCAAAGATAAATAAAAAAATGAGCTAGAATGAGATGATGAGATCTTAGTCTGTGTCGAATATAATACTACTAACTACTAATACTTACAGTCCGGCCGCTGAGAGTGCGTTTCGGACAGGTCGGGATCCAATGGACGATGTAACTTTGAACCGACGTACAATTTACGGAAAAATTCTATCTTCTATTTGCCTTATTAACAAGTCATATTTTAGTCATTATACCAATTTATAACAAACGTATTAATTAAGGCTATTCTAAATTCTAAAAACAATAGATTTTAAAAGTCAAACTACATCCAACTACGCTGTTTCAAGGTTATGTCAACTGGTTGTTTTTTGTAGTGATGTGACCAAATAACCTTGAAAAAACGCAGTTTGATGTGGTTTGACTTTTAAAAAGCATGTATGTACGTCAGTTCAAAGTTACGTCGCCCTTTCGATCCCGACCTGTCCGAAACGCAAACTCTGAGCGGCCGAACTGATTTTCTTTACTTGCCTTTTGTTTATAAGTAATTTATTACAACAAAGTGCGTCAGTTCAAAGTTACATCGCCCATTCGATCCCGACCTGTCCGAAACGCAAACTTTGTGCTGATTTTCTTTACTTATGTACATTATATCTATGAGTATCTTATACAACATCTCTGACTTACCGAATATCTATGAGACCAACTCCATCTTGGATGATCTTGTTGTTCTTAATATCGCAGAGATAGTACCGTACGCACTCTCCCGGCTCTCCGTTGTCAGTAGTACACGATGTATCATCTGTAACATATTTTATCAAATTATCGAATTGATTGTAACAAAAATAAATAAATAAATAATCCTGGACAATTAACACAGCGCCATCTAGTCTCACGCTAAGCCGAGCTTGTGTTATGACACTAGACAACTGACACAAATACATTTTTTTTCGTAAATACAATAAATATTATACATAGAAAACACCCAGACTGTTACAAACAATCATATTCATGAATACAAATGTTTGTGCCGTGTGAGTAGTCGAACCTGCACCATCGGAAGTAAGGCGATGTCCTAGACCGCTAAATTACCGAGGCCGTCATTATTAGTGAATAGATAGATAAGAGTTTTTACCTTTATCTTAATATAAGTTATTTTTTTTTATTAATAAATATATATAAATAGCTACTTTAACTTGGGTCTAGATGGCGCTGTATAAATTGTCCTGATTTTATTATTATTAAAAAATGTGTATACCGTCATTCCCAGTAACTACTCCAGGCACAAGGGTAGAAGACTCGCCCTTCTTATCTCCGAGGGTGGGCCCGGGTGTCGGTCTCGGCACTGGAGCTATCGTTGTCAGCAGACCACTATTGTCCCCTGGCTTGCCGAATATCTGCTGCAGAACAGACTCCAGGTCTCCACCGCCATTCTCCTGACCATTGACGGTCAGTAATACCACAATTATTGCTAATAATTTATACATCTGTAAAGAAAGAACTCCAATATAAACACGGTGAGAAGAAAGGGGATTGCTAAAATAAAAGTAGCCTAACTTACATCAGCTACCTGCCAATAAAAGTCCCATCAAAATCGGTCCAGCCATTACAGAGATTAGCCGGAACGAACAGGCAGACGGACAAAATTTTAAAAAATGTTATTTTGGTGTACATGTCGTATTATTCATATGCATGTACTAAAAACGGTTAATTCAATATTACAAACAGACACTCCAATTTTATTTATATGTATAGATAATGTTTACTATATAATTTAAAAGTTAAAACATGCTGGTAACCCTGAATGTGACTCCCACTCAGCATTTATACTGTAGTATAACTGAGTTATATAACAGCGCTGATATTCAACGTCGCTACCAGATATGATATTTGTGTTCCTTCCATGCAGTTGCACTTTTAACTTATATTAATTGCGAAGTTTGCAGCCCCTTTTGGTTTATACACTCTCCTTTTTATCGAATTATTCTAATGCTATTTGCCGCAGCTGGCCTTTACAGCTTCACTGAAAGATACGAGGCGGGTGCAGATGGCGCTCCAAACCAAGGAAGGACTTATGGAGCGGCTGAAGGCCAACTCCCGCCTGACGGATACGACTTTAGTAGGAGGGCAGCGCTAGGTGTTCGGGCCTCGGCTCAGGCCGTTTTAATTTCGATCCCCGTTTGAATTGGACGGGGGATCGATCGGAAGGTGGCAAACAAGCATTCGACCCATCTGATGGAAAACGATTACAGTGACCACTAGGGGTTCGGACCTCGGCTCAGGCCGTCTTAATTTCGATTCCCGTTTAAATTGGCCGGGGATCGATCAGAAGGTGGCAAACAACCATTCGGCCCATCTGATGGAAAACGATTACAGTGATCGCTAGGGGTTCGGACCTCGGCTCAGGCCGTCTTAATTTCGATCCGTTTAAATTGGACGAGGGGTCGATCAGAAGGTGGCAAAAAAGCATTCGACCCATCTGATGGAAAATGATTACAGTAACCGCTAGATCGGACCTCGGCTCAGGCCGAGGTACGCAGGTAATTTCGATCGATCGGAGGGGGTGTCCATGCTAACTAATGGCTAGTTGTATAATAACAAGTAATACAAAAATATAGCACATCCGGTGTTTTTAATAATACCACTAACCTGCCGGTTTCGGATTTTCCCTATGTCCATAATATATTTGTATAATAATATGTAATTTCGCGCCAATTTATGATCACCAGATTATAGCGGATTATTAACTTTAGATTTGTGTATATTCAGTTTTTTTTTTTTTAGATTATAAAAGTACTTTTTTGTCTATGATATATTATTTTTATTTTATGAAAACGGATGTAAATTAGTAATTAAATCAATTTATGTAGAAAACACTCCGGTTATTTCCCTGTACCCACAACATATTAGTAAATTTGTATTATGACGAGTGTGTAGACACGTAATTTGGCGGCAATTGTCATAGATTAAACCAATAACAGATTATTAAGTAATAATATGTGATTTTTATATACTTTTTCTAAATCATAGTTGGTCATTGTTTGTCTATGACACATTTATTTGTTTATGGCCTCGATGGTCCAGTGATTTAGCATACCGCTTTATTTCAGATGGCCGCGAGTTCGATTCCTCGTACGATGCATTTGTATCATGATTATTTTTATGGGTGTTTTCTATATAATGTATATATGTATTTATATTAATTGTCTAGTACCCATAACAAAAGCTCTGCTTAGCTTGGGACTAGTTGGCGCCGTGTTATTTCTCCATGGTTATTTATTTACTCAAATTGTCCTGGGGTTATTATTATTATTATTATTATTATACATCGTTCAACTATATATGAAACAAATTACAGTTAAATTACACTAAACGTAGTGATTATTTGTTAAGTGATAATCAATAACCCGATGTTTGTTACTCTTTAACGCAAAAACTACTAAACAGATTTTGACGTAACTACAATAATATCTGACTAATATTATAAGGTTTCTTAAGGGTCGGCAACGCGCACGTGGCACCCCTGGTGTTTCAAGCGTCCATAGGCTACAGTAACCGTTTACAATCAGATTGGCCGTATGCTTGTGTGCCACCTACGTGGTATAAAAAAAAATGCGAAAGTTTGTGATTATGGATGGATGTTTGTTACTCTTCCACGGTGAAACTGCTGAACGGATTTTGATGAAACTTTATAATAATATAGTTTATACATCAGAATAACATAGGTTAGCTACCAAGATACAAGTGCAATATAATTTTAATATATGAGGCCATTCAATATCTTCATTTATACAATATGATAACCTAAATGACCACTTAAATGTTAATAACAGTATTATCACAATGTCTGAACTTGTTATTTCCCCAACAAACATTCTGATTCGAATGTTTGTTGGGGAAATAACAAGTTTATATAGGTGATAGGTATTTATCCATATACATTAATTAGGCGCGGCTTTGTCTGCCTTTTTTATATAAAAGATTAGAATTTTTAGTATAATGTAGGTTTTATTCAAACATAATTTTGTATGGGCTCACTGATAATGAGTATCTAGTGGGATGAGAGTGATCCTTATTTCTTTCAAGTTAACGGTTGTTTAACTTGAAAGAAATAAGGATCACTCTCATAACCGCGCGGCCCAATTAGTATATATTAAACAATTAAAACCTGTATCGTTACATAGTATAAAACAAAGTCTCCGTCGCTGTCTGTCCGTCCCTATGTATGCTTAAATCTTTAAAACTACGCAACGGATTTTGAATTTTTTTTTTAGTAGATAGAGTGATTCAAGAGGAAACCTTATATATATATATAATACATGTACACCCGTGCGAAGCCGGGGGTAGTAGCTAGTAAATATATAAAATTAAAGTGTCTGTTTGTAATTTAAAATTAATAGCATTAGTGTAATTCTGTTATGCATGTAATAGCTAATGTTATATGGAGTAACTTAGGGTAGATACTCTTTAAGAATTTTTTAATAGGTATTTTAATAAAAAAAATTATTTCATATGGACGAAGTCGCGGATAATAAGTTAGTTAATAAATAAATATCGACAATTATATGAGTAGGTATAATATCTAGTTTAAATACAAATAATGAAATTTCGACGGTAGTCAGTCTTATCTTATAGGTTTTTAGCTATAAATAACTAATCTATGGTTTCTTACAATAATATTCTTATAAAATACCCAATAAATTAGACAATGAATTTTAAATACTTACTTTTAATTTAACCTACAAGATCTAACACACACATTCAATCATAAAGTACAAAAAACACAAATAATAATAAAAAAAGACACTTCAAACCAACCAAATCGTGTTTAATCACTTCAAAATTCTATGAAAAACACTCAATTCGTAAACTATGTACGAGGTCAGCACAGACTATAAAGGCGCGAAACGCATCGAGCCTTTTTTTTCTTAATTTATTTTTTTAACGTTTTCCTGTACGCGCAAGGTCGACCGTTTCGCGCGGTCGGTGCGGTCATACTAGTTCGCCACATCAAACTGGCCATTTGCGGCTTTGTAATGTTCATATTTAATTATGGTTTCGTAAGATTATTATCTACATATAATAACGAAGCTGTATATCGATATGTCTGTATAGTTGTCAATTTATATAAGGTTAATTGTAAACTGTACCAAACCCATAGCTATTGTTTTATTAAATACTAGCTGTGCCCGCGACTTCGTCCGCGTGGAATAGACGAATGACAAATTTCCATACAAACCATCATCTATTTTATTTTAACCTTTAAGGGAAAATTCTTTACAAACTTTAAATGTCATATTTGTTTCTATTTAAACAACAGCCTAAAAAATAAGTTTCAAGCTTCTAGATTTAAAAATGACGATTCTTCCATATACACTTTCATCTCTCCTTTCATAACCTTCCCCATTAAAAAGCCTATGTCAATTTTCAGGATATCTAGACTATCTGTGTATGTAATCACATTTAAATCGGTTCAGTAGTTTTAGCGTAAAAGCACGACAGACAGAGTTACTTTTGTTTATAATATTAGTAAGGATTATTTTTATACAATTATTTCGCATTTTTTTCGTTTTGCATGCTTGTTGTGACGTATCACAATTGTGCTCTATAAAAACGAAAATATCTATTTACAATTTTTGCTTGCAAATAAATTCATTAATCCATGAATCTGATTCAATTTCACAATTAAAAGATTAAAAAAAACATACAAACTTATGGTAACATGATAATTTTATGTTCTATTGTTTATTATAAAAACTATGTTTTTAACTGTCAGTACTAATAAATTAAAATAAGAATTTTATACTTCTGTACGCAGACAAACTCGGGTTAACATAATAGCTACAATTGAGGAAAACATGTAAATATACTTGTTTACACTAAAATGGTTGAATCACAGAACAACCGCTATGTTATACAGATAAAGATAAACCAAATGCCTAGTGGACGTAAATAAATAAAGGTTTAGTATTTGAATGTAAGCAAAGTGGACCGACGATATGGTCAAGATGGCTGGAAGGCGCTGGATGCGAGCAGCGCAAGACCGATCGTCGTGGAGATCTTTGGGGGAGGCCTTTGTTTAGCAGTGGACGTCTTCCAAGCCGAAATGATGATGATTTGTATATAATAATAATAATAATTTTTATTTCAGACAACATGATCCATTTTGTTAGTAACAGCTTAATGACATAACTTATCCTAAGTTAGTAATAAAATATAAAATAAAAATGTAACTTTTAACATATTACCTGCCCCACCCAGTATCTTAGAATGGGACAGTCTACTTTACATGCAATTGCCTTCAGGACACTGTTGGAACTCGCCCGCACTCTGCCGAATAGGGACGTTATTCGATTCCGCCGTATAGCATAGAAATCGTCTGTGCGCTCTTGCGCAAACATATGTGACGCGCTGCAGTGGCGGGGCAGCCCCAACAGTGCCCGAAAGGCATTGTTATATTGAACACGAAGAGCATTGTAGGTTTTTTGAGTATAGTTGACCCACAAGCCGCCAGTGTAGAAAACCTGACGAAATGCCTTAAAAAGTGTTATTTTGACTTGTTTTGTACACCGGGCAAACCTGCATGCCAACATATTACTTCTAACTGCCAATGCTCTTCTTTCAGGTTCTAGTCCATATCATCTTTTAATGTGGATGTAACAATATGTCCAAGATATTTAAAATTTGAAACAAGGTTCTATATATTCCCATTGTGTGATAGGAGGCAGGTGGAAACAGGGTAGAATATGGGGTCGTGTAAATGTGTAGGAGTGAGGAAAGGGGGTTATTTTAAATATAAGGTGGAATCAGGGTAAGATATGGGGTTGTGTAAATGTGTAGAAGTGGGGAAGGGGGTTGTTTTAATGTCACAGATAACATAATATTACATAGTAATGTGACTAATGAATTTATAAATGAATGAATACAAATTAGGAAAGAAAAAATATATAAAAAAAGAATACAAACAATGAGCAAGACAGGACACAGAAGAAAGATTTCAATTTCAGATAATATTCCCGTAATTTACGTTTGAAGGACTGGTGGCGACTTTGACAAGTCGTTCCAAAGTTTTATTGCCTTTTTTTTCTATAACACAGGGAGCATGCGGCTCACCTGATGGTAAGTGATTACCGCCGCCCATGAGCACCCGCAACACCAGGGGAATTGCAAGTACGTTGTCGGCCTTTTAAAAAGGAATAAGCTCTTTTCTTAAAGGTTTCAATATCGTATCGGTTCGGAAATACCATTGCTGGAAGATGATTCCACAATGTGGTTGTGCGAGGCAAAAAGTTTCTAGAAAACCGCACTGTGGAAGACCGCTATTCATCCAGATGATCAGGATGGAATGGACACCGGACAAATGCTGTCGGTAATATGCTGACGAAGCTAGTAGTAGTAGGACACAGCTAGTAAATAAATAAAAGCAACAATACTAATAGGATTTTAAATGAAATTTAAGCAATTTTTGAAATTACTTCATGTTAAGCGGTTGGTCAAAACAAACAGTGTCATAAATATACGGATTTCACTGTATTTGTTGCAGGCAAACATAATGAAGGATGATGGCTCGTTACAAGAAGCGATGACCTTAAAATGTGTTGTAAGAACTCAGGATCTTTTTTTATGTAATGGAACAAACAACTTGATGGTTAAACCAATGGTGAGTCTTTTTTTTTTATGGATGATAATGAAATGGTGCACCCGCCTGCGCTAACGGTTTACGCTGGCGGGGCACCAGTGGACGGTGATAAGATGAACATGAGGTCAGGTCAGTTAGCCCATCGTGACAAATTTAACAAGAATTTATTACGATGGTTTCCAGGGGAACCGCGTGGAGGTCAACCTGACATGTACATTGCTAGTAATGGGGTCATGAGTCCACATTACTAACAGTCCCTTTCCCCCGCCAATGGTGAGTGGTAACCGTGACATATATACATGAACAGGGTAATGGACGTCTCGTCGTCGTGTGACGCTCTGGTTCCAGTTCCCAGTATGAGGGGAAGGGAATTGTTAGCAATGTAGATTTCTTTTAATGGATGATAATGGAATGGTGTACCCGATTGACGCTGGCGGGACATCAGTGGAGGATGAAATGATAAGATGATAAGATGGGTATTCGTGATAAATTCAATATCAATTAGTCATAATGGTTTCCACGGTTAACCGCGTGGAGGTCAACCTGAAGTGTCCCTGGAAGACATTTTGATTAATTCCTGGTGAATTGATCACGATGGGTGACCTGACCTCCTTTTCGTATCATCCTCTACTGGTCCCGCGCCATTATAAACTGACAGCGTAGACGAGAGTTCCATTCCATTATGATATATCCATGACAGCCTCGGTGGTCTAGTGGTTTAGCACACCGCTTTACTATCCGATGGTCGTGGGTTCGATTCCTCGCACGGTACAAACATTTGTATTCATGAGTACGATTGTTTGTATCGGTCTGGGTATTTTCTATTGTATCTATTTACAAAAAAAAATGTATCCATGTATTTATATCAGTTGTCTAGTACCCATAACACAAGCTGTGCTTAGCTTGGGACTAGATGGCGCTGTGTGAATTGTCCTAAGATATTATTATTACTATTATTATTATTATCCATTAAAAAAAAGCAATAATGTAATAGTAGTCTTGAATATTACACAGAAAAATTATCCTTAAGGGCGTCAGGCGTCGTCGTTTACGATAGTACCTCTCATGCTTTGTGATGTTGGAGAACTAATATATCATGTACCTCACTTCAGGGGGAAAGGGGATTGTTAGTAACTTAAACTGATGATCCCATTGCTAGCAATGTACCATGTCAGGTTACCCTCCACGTGGTTCCCTGGAAACCATCGTGATAAATTCCCGGTGATATTATCACGTCGGGCTAAGTGATCTGACTTCATGTTCATCATCCTCCACTGGTGCCCTGCCAAAAACCGTTAGCGCAGGCGGGTGCACCATTCCATTATCCTCTAAAAAACAACACCCTTCAACCGAAATACAAAGCAAAGCAAGCTGCTTGGTAACAGAAATATGTTAAATAAGATGTACCCGACTACTTTGTACGAACTCTATCTAGGTAATACCCATCTTTATAAAACTTCGTAATTATCTGGCATGTCGAATGGGAATCCTTACATATAAATAATACCTAATTAAAGTGATTAACTGCATTGATACTATATGTTGAACAAGATGTAGAGTTGTGTAATTCGCAACACGAACTACGAGAACTAGTTCGTAGAACCACAGATAACATAATTGTTGGAAACTATTTTATATACATATATTTTTATAACATTATATTGTTTTTATATGACATAAGTCAATTTAATATAAAACATTCTACAACTACAACGTTTTAACTTTTTGCTCGTCATCTTGATCTCCATCCTTCACAATAATATCAAATATTATATAGAATTTTCATTTTTATTATACTAAGAAAAAATATATTTTTATTATGCGGAAAAAATATATAGAACCAAGAGGTTAATACTTACCATACCTCCTTTGGAAAATGCACACAGTATCCCTGAAATATTCAAAACAGCACCCGTCTTTAAACTTCTGTGAACTTGGCACACGGTATTTAAAAATCGAATTTTTTTTAACTCATTAGTTTTCAAGACTGAGTCTATAAGAGATAGTAGATTTTTTTTTACGAAGAAAAAAACTCGTACAAAATTTTTTCTCCTAAAGTCAGTCTTGAAAAGTTACAAGTGGCGATAGTTTGGAAAATAATTATTTCACAGGAAAAAGTTATTAGACTTTTCGATACGACTCAGATAGCGCTATCCAGAACTGCGATCAGATCGGCTAGAACTCGTAATATTTTTTTTTATATTTATATTTTGCAATAACTTGCAAAATAGTTATTTTCCAGGAAAAAGTTATGAAGCTTTTCTGTAGGACTCTGAGAACACTACCCAGAACTATTATTAGATCGGCTAGAACTCGCGTCGGAAATTGCTCTTTTCTTATATGAATTATAGTTTCGACTGCGCCTTCAAATATCGATGTTTTCGTTTTAATTGCTAGAATTATTGATATAACTGAAGCGAATGAACGCAAGACACCAGCGAACTAAATTTGTCGATCCAAGTCACGAACTATTACACGCAACACTAATAGGAATATGTATACATCTATACATTGTCTGTTTTATTTTCCTGTTGTTTTTATAATACTTGTTAGATGTATGTCTATGCCCTGTATATATAGGTTTTTTATGAATTAATGGCTGTGCCCGCATGAAATTTATAGCCTGTGTACATAATTCTAATGTATAACTTTATGGTAATGTAGCTTACATTACCATAAAGTTTCATCAAAATCCGTTGGGTAGTTTTTACGTGAAAGAATAACAAACATCCATCCATACTCAGAAATTATGAAATAGTAAAATGCTTAAACCCGAGTCGACACATTTTTTGTACTGAACTGTGTAATCACTTCCTTCCAGTACATTTGCTCATATTTAAGTTGAACCAACTAATCGGCCTTTGCTGGGAGAAATGGGATTGTCAGTAATGTGGACTAATGAACCTATTACTAGCAATGTACCATGTCAGGTTGACCTCCACGCGGTGCCTTCTGGAAACCATCGTGACAAATTCTTGGTGAATTTGTCACGATGGACTAACTAACCTGACCTCATGTTCATCCTCCACTGGTGCCCCGCCAGCGTAAACCATTAGCTCAGGCGGGTGCATCATTTCATTGTCATCCAGTAAAAAAAATCGGCCTTTGTTTTTCAATTGCTTTCGAGGTATGGTGTTAGCGCAAAATGTTAGGAATATCATGGATGGAGCGCCGCAATAATGCATATATTTTGGAAAAACTGGTTATCAGAACCCGACTCCCTACTGTGTGCTTCCAGCGTCTGCCAACTTTTTCGGCCACGTGGCCCGTCGAAATCAGATAATTTGGAAAAATGTATAATGGTAGGCCACGTGGACGGAAGGGGCACCTGCACGTTGTACTGACGAGAGGCCGTCAAACGAAATATATAGTCGGCGGTCCACTTAGCACAAGATAGAAATGCCTAGCGAGTTTTTATTGGAAGCATTCGTGGTGGTCACGACCCTCAGTCTTGAGGAATCGACAAAGAACTAATCGGCCATGTATAAAACAAATTGTTCTAAGCAATGTAACATTATAATAATATAAATCCACGGCAATTTACATGGCGTCATCTAGTCTGAAATTAAACAAAACTGGTATTATGGTTACTAGACAATTGATTGAAATACTTAAATACATTTTTCTTATAAATACATACACATAAAAAACACCTAGATTGTACAATTATTCATTCATACAAAATAATAATCAATAACAATTGTTTGCTTGCGAAGACATCGCTTAAGCGACAAGACCGCCTTTTGTGCCTTATAACTTACAATCTGTTTATGTTCTTTGTAATATACTTTTTGTGCAATAAAGAGTAAATAAATAAATAATACAGTGCTATCTAGTCCAAAACTAATCAAAGCTTCTACTACTATTAGTGTTCTGGTAATAAATAATTGCAGAAGAATTGTATTGTCTTTTCTTATAATATATTTTTTACAATAATGTCAATCAGTATTTGACAACTAAACTATTATTAAACCGTAATCTGTGAGGAGGCCGTATATACTCGTAATAATTAGCGTACTAAACAACTGATAAAGTACAGATATAAAATGTATTATATATGTACAATGGCTTTTGCCCGTGGCTTCGCTCGCGTTAATTTATCCCCTTAGGGGTGGAATTTAACAAAATCCTTTCTTAGGGGATGCCTACGTCATAGTAGATTTATGCATGCAGTCTCAGCCCGATCGGTTTAAAATTGACAGTTTCATATAAACTTTCATGCCCTATTTTATCCCTTTGGGGGTAGAATTAATCAAAATCCTTTCGTAGCGGATGCCTACGTCATAACATCTACCTGCATGCTAAATTTCAGCCCAATCCGTCCAGTGGTTTCGGCTGTGCGTTGATAGATCACTATGTCAGTCACCTTTTAGTTATATATATTTAGAAGATATAAAACAACCAAACCAATACAAACAATATTATGATTACAAATATCTGCATCATGCGAGGTATTTAATATATAGAAAACGCCTAGACCGATACAATCATCAGCTGCTTTTTCCTTATCCCATTTATTTGTTGTCAGCGTAATGTTATTCTCTTCCATTCATCTCTGTTCGCAGTCATCTCTTTATTTATTCCCTTTCTTACCATATCGTCTTTCACACAGTCCATCCATCTCTTTTTCGGTCTTCCTCTGCCCTTGTAACCATCCACATTCTTATGTAACACCTAACAGATACAAACAATCACAGTCATGAATACAAATATCTGCACCGTTCGAGGAATCAAACCCTGCGATCATCCCAAGTAAGGCAGTGTGATTAACCGCTGGACCACCAACGTAACGTAACTAGTGTATAAATCCAGGACGAGCTCCAAATAAAAACACAATTTACTTCAATAGTTTATATTATCACAGAACTCACTGTTCAACAAAAAGCCAGATGTTACAATAAATGGAACAATATTGTAGAACTAACTACTTACAAATGCGGGAACGTCTTCACCAGGCTACAAAATTAGATGAACACATAATATACCTTATGTCAATGACAATACAGTATAAATTAATACAACAAACAAACTGCGAGAATAACAATAGTCGATACGATATTGATACCTTCAAGAGCTTATTCCTTCTTAAACCGCCAACACACTTGCAATTCCCCTGTTGCTGCGGGAGCTCATGGGCGGCGGTAAAAAAATATTAACTATTTTTTATAGCATAGAGGACAAACTAACTTGCGGCTCACCTGATGGTAAGTGCGTAATAAGTAGGTATATATTATATATTCACCTATTCTTTACCTGATCTATTCAACTTTATAAATTTAGTTATTACATTAATTTCATAAACAATACGTTTACAAACTGTTAATATATTACATTCTTTTCAATTTAAATTAAATAATAAAGTTTCATATTTCTCTTCCCGCATCAAAATCTAACCAAAATCAGATATGGTGGATGCCGTGACATAATTACTAAATGCAAGCAAATTTCAGACCATATCTTCTGTTATTTTGACTGCATCTAATCTTCGTATCGACAAAAAAAACAAATTATAATATAATTATATATATATTTAGTGAAAAGAAATATTATTTGGTGTTTATCCAAAATAAAGCTACCTTCCTACTTGTTTTTACATGTACTTCGGATTACGCATACTCATCTGCGAAGGAGCCAACTATTGTACTCGGACACTATAGTCTCATCTGTGAGAAGTCCTGTAATTGGTCTCACAGACGAAATGTCATTTTGACAGCGAACAGTTGAAAGGTCATATTTCTGCTACAGACAATAAAGCAGCAGAATTAGAGCCTTCAACGCTTCTAGGTAAAAATATACCTTTTGTCATAGATAACATTATAGCTGCTATAATGTTGTCTATGACAAAAGGTGAAAATAAAAATTATGAAAAAATATTTATTTCCACCTCTTTAAAGTTCGTAACTGCGTAAATATGGTCAATGCAAAACATGCTAATCGTAGTACGTGCAAAACAATTACCCAAACACATTTTGAACCTTACTACATTTTGTGATGGCATAAATTTCAGTGACAACTGAATAATCTTGTATATACTGTTAAGTAAATTTATATTACTTCGATACGGAGAGTGGGTTTGTAAAGCTATCGGGCCACAAACAATATATCAGTAGAAGCCCGATTATCCTGAACTGTTTAATATTTTTGCCCCGCTTTTCATCCATATACGTAATAATTAATAAAAACATAACAACGCAATATACTTCTCAATGATACATCAACAAACATATACAGTAAGAGAATTAGCCACAATACATGGACTCAATACACACCACACTCATCTATTCCATCCGTCTCTTATCGCATACAGTTGGACAGGGACGGGACATTTCATTGAACCATTATTTTGAATATTAACATGTATGGGAAATTAATGATTTTGTTTATATTTTCGTTTTTGGCGACAATTAATACGATTTCATTTGGTCTTCTTAATAACATTAGTCCAAAAAATGTATGTTCATTTTTTGGACCAATATTCTTAAGATACATATGTTTTTAAAAATTATGAATATTACACACAAATATTTTCTGTCAAATATCTGAATATTGCCGAATTGGATATTATATATAATAATCGCCTTTAAATAGTTACCGACCTTTGTGACTAAAAGTGCATAAATCAATCAGTCATATGGATATAAATAAATAATGTATTCACTATAGTTTTTATCTAAATTCTATGAATATTCGTAGAGACGGATTTTATGCGAACATATCTAACACGATTCATTTTCTCTCAAAAATCTTAAGTAATAGAATTCGCCGTTAAATAGTTCCCGACCTTTGTGGCTAAAGGCAGATAAATCAATAATTTATAAGGATCTAAAGAAATAATCCACATATATTTTCCAAACTAATATATATACACCACATACACTCTCAAATCAGATTTTAAAGCAAAATCTAATCTACATACATTCACTCATTGTTTTTCGTTTTCTGCAGTGTAATATTGAAAATCAATAATTAACCAACATCCGGGTAAGACGAGACATCCGGCGTTTAATTATATAAAACTGTTGCTAACAATTCTCAAATGTTTGTTAGCAACCGATTAGATAATAGCCGGTTAATCAGCAACCAGATAATCGAGCCTCTACTGCCTAAAACTACAACTAAACAGATGACAAACTATTCTATATTGGATAGGGTTAGTCGTAAACGGTATGCCAAACCGAACAGCCAAATGAATACTCATGAAACTGAATAAATAAATAAATAACCCTGGACAATTAACACAGCGCCATCTAGTCCCACAGCAAGCGCTTGTGTTATCGGTATTAAACAACTCGCATAAATACTTAAATATTTTTTTCTTGTACATACATATTATACATAGAAAACCGATATAAACAGTCATACTCATGAATACAAATGTTTGCACTGTGCGAGGAATCGAACCCGCGACCGATTGAATTGTACTAAACCGCTAGACCTACGGGCCCGTATACGAATAAATTTCACCAGGGATTGACTTAGTACAAAGACGACTGCGCGTGGTAGATCAGCCTGTATATATTATGTCGGTCATAAATTTGTTTTGTATGGGATATTTAAAAGATTATTTACAATTTTGCACTTTACGTCTTTGGGATAGTGTTCAGTTTCGTGAATACAGGCTACCTATATATGTATTCTTATCAATAACATAATATAGCACTGGCTTTCGGCTCGCTTTCCCTTTACTACTCACCCTGTATACCATACACTGCCAAAGGTCCATCCATAAATTATACCACACCAGTAATTCTAACCATTTAACATTTTTTTAGGAGGGGGGGTGTTCTTACGGCTAATAATTTTAATAGTCAAATTTCGTGTTTAATAATTCTAAAATTGAAATGTCATGTCACATAATCTAAGATCCATGTCCTAGATTTTTAACGAACTTTGTGACGTCATATTATACAATGTCATTTGCCGACCTAACAACACCCCCTCCCCTAAAAGCGTGATATAATGTACGGATGGCGCCCTCAATAAGTCGGGTGACACTAGTCAACGTTTGCTAGTAATCTTGTATCTAATAATGTGCCTATGTCAAGAACACGGCTGTTTAGTTCTTATCCTCTTTCTTCTCCTCTTGACCTTCAGTCTGCGTCTGCTGTTGGCCACCCTCACGTTCTGCTGCCATCTGCGACAAGTATTATAAATGTTATATTTTATAGAATTATATGTTACTACCTGCAAATTTAGTTTTGCCATATAAATTTAAGCACTAATATCGCTGTTAAAAAATAGGGGTTGGTGATAGAAGGGTGATAATTTAGGGTTGCCACATTATAAAATTATCCAAAAAAAACATGTTAGAGGTGGACAACCATTACCACTTAAGGGTATGAAAAACAGATAGTAGCCGATTTTCAGACCTGCTGAATATGAATTTATAAAAATCGTTCAAGTCGTTTCGGAGGGGTATGGTAACTAGCATCGTGACACGAGAATATTATATATAAAATTTTAAATGTAGAAATCACAAATCGTCTGAGAATCCATAAAGATATCAGATGATAACTGGAATCCATTTCATCTAGCACAATTGCTTGACCGTCACACACACACAACTAGTGTGACGGCTCAAAAAAGTGCATATTATTGTTTCTATCTACACCAAGTTTAAATACCCCTAGTAATAATAACACATAGAAAACACCCAGATCGATACAATTAATCATACTGATAAATGTTTGTGCCGTGCTAGGAATCGAACCCGCGACCGTCGGAAGTAAAGCGGCGTGTTGAGCCGCTATACTAAGAACTAAGGACCATCCTGGTCAATTTTGTCACGATGGACTAACTGGCCTGATCTCATACTCATCTTACCAGCTTCCACAGGTGCGCCGCCAGTGCCGTTAGCGCAGGCGGGTGCACCATTCCATTATCATCCAAAACAGATAAACAACCAGACAATTTTCGCGTCATCACAATTTTACTATTCTATAACATGTAAAGATTTCTGTTGCCGATGGCAACCTTTTTGATAGTTTTTATGTTTTTTATATATATTTGAATTTTATATTTTGACGTTCTGTTTTTACATACCGTTTGTTTTCTTATGCCATATTGTCTTTATATTTTTGCTAGCGAGCTGATTACAGCTATTTTACCTCACCTAAGAACGTGTCTCATTTTTTACCAGTCCTTATACAGTCCTTCCTTCCGTAACAGATTTCCATAACATTGTAAAAATAATAATAATCTCAGGATAATTCACACAGCGCCATCTAGATCCAAGTTAAGCTAGCTAAAGCTTGTGTTATGGGTACTCGATAACTGACACAAATATATAGATGTATTTTTTTTCGTCACAACCAGATCGACACAAATATCACACTCATGTTTGTTCCGTGCGAGAAATTGAATCCACGACCATCGGAAGTTAGGCGGTGTGTTAAACCGCTAGACCACCGAGGTTGTCAAAATCTGAATTATTATTTAATTTTATGATCAGAAACACATACCTTTTTATACGCCTGCTCGAATAGCTTCAGGCTGGCCTGTTGCAGTTGACTGGTGGCCGTTCGGATCGCTTCAGGGTCCGCTGTGTCCTTCTGGGCGAGGAGGTCTCGTAATTTCGCAATCTCACCGCGCAACTTGTCGCACTGTTCACAAAAAAGTACATAAGTATCATTGAATATTTCAAACAAAATAACAGTTTATAGTGAAGTAATAACGACGAGTTTCGATTAATTGTAGTCTAATAATTTTTGTTTCGGTTGTAGTTGCACCCGTATGTTAGGTTACGATAAGAGTGATAGGATAGTGAAATCACTACATAGTAATAAAACAAAGTTGCCGTCCCTATGTATGCTTAAATCTTTAAAACAACGCAACGGATTTTGAAGCCGTTTTCTTATAGATAGAGTGATTCAAGAGGAAGGTTTATATGTATAATATATGCATAATATTGTAGAGAAACACTGATAAATTTAGAGGTTTCTAATGTGATGTCATAAATAAACACATTTTTTGAGCTTACATTGCAAACGCTGTCTGAACCCCACGAGATATATCAAAATAATGTACTACAGTATTGTACACCTTAAAAAGGTCAACAAAAAAGTCCGCGATTATATATGTCTATCTCTTAAGGACAACCGACAATAACCATTTTTTATCTTCTACATTTTACGGGAACTTCATTGACCATTTAATATAGATCAATATGGCCCTTTACAGCATGTAATTTAAAAGAATATTTCCGAAGATATTACAGATTTAAAGTGCAGGGATCGCAGGGTCAAACTTTCAACGTTGTGGGCTTAGATTCGAGCGCTGTGTTTTTCTCGTGATCAATACGTCGCTCTTTCAATAGTAACCTCTAAACAAAACATGTTTATATTGTCTAATGACAAAAGAGCTGTAAACCTTGTTTATAAGGACATTCTGTAGTAGGTATATTTAGTATCAGTATTGCACCCGTGCGAAGCCGGGGCGGTTCGCTAGTTACTGGATTAGAGGAATAAAATCTTGTCCATTCCAAAGATTTATTTATAAAGTAGCTGTCCCGGCAAACGTTGTCTTGCCATATAAAACCGACAGATCACCGAGACCGTCATCTATACATATAAATAAAATTGTAGTGTCTGTTTGTAATAGTGAAATAACTGTATTTTACTACATGCATATGAATATATATAGAGTACATATACCAAAATAACATTTTTTACAATTTTTGTCTGTCTATCTGTTTGTTGCGGCTAATCTCTGAAATGGCTGGACCGATTTTGACGGGACTTTTTTTGGCAGGTAGCTGATGTAATAAGGAGTAACTTAGGCTACTTTTATTTTTTGAAAAATAAAGTTAAATTCCACGCGGACGAAGTCGCGTGTACAGCTAGCTATATATAAGTTGTAGGTACCATAAATCGTCCCATCCACTGACAACAGCGGCGGGTGATAACTTAACACCTATTATCTTGCACCATGCTTTACCGGACGCGCACCAAGCGCGGACGGCCTAAATTGGGTGCTTTTTATATTATATGCCTATGCCTATGGGACGTCTACCTATCTTGGGTCACCTAGATACATTAAAATAATAATTACATTTAATAATGTCTAGTAAGACAAATTCAATATTGTCTACTAAGCACTGCCGTGTTTAAACTGTGTCACCCCACCTTACATTTTCCTATTGTCATTTAGTATATAAGATCAATATTTCTATGTATATATTGTCAGTCAATTATCATCTATAATATACATCGTCTCTATCAACAACATCGTATTATTATCCCGCGACACTGCCTTTACACAACACGCTCCTTTTTTCTTTAGCACAGGGGACAAACTAGCATGCGGCTCACCTGATAGTAAGTGATTACCGCTGCCTATGAGCACCCGCAACACCAGGGGACTTGCAAGTGCGTTGTCGGCCTTTTAAAAAGGAATAAGATCTTTTCTTGATGATTTCAATATCGTATCAGTTCGAAAATGCCATTGCTGGAAGGTGATTCCACAATGTGGTTGTGCTTGGCAAAGTTTCTAGAAAACCGCATTGTGGAGAATCGCCATTCATCCTTGACGGTTTATACATATTATTTTTTATATGTTTCATTTATAATTTATCAATAATTATAATAATAATAAATAATTTAATTTTACAACTGCACCACTAGATGGCGTTAATACGTTTTATTAACTTTTCTACATCTCGATGTTAAGACTTGTTCGAGACTCCGTAGAAGCTTTTTGTTCATTTTTAATGTTTTACTACTGTAGTTTAATTTATTAACTTCCTGCCGAGGTTTTCCCACGAGACTACAGCATGGGGTTTTTCAAGAAGGGTATATTAAGGTTTCTTATGGGTCGTCAACGCGCACTTGATACCTCTGGTGTTTCAGGCGTTCATAGGCTACGGTAACCGTTTACCATCAGATGGGCCGTATGCTTGATTGTCATCATCACAATCTTAGTACACCCTTGGGGATACGCGAATAAGCTTATTTATTATTATGACTATCTTTTATTAGTATGTATATATGTCGTACCTCGTCTTGCGGCAGCTGGCTCTTGTACTCGTCCATTTTGGTCTCTGTGTCGTGCAGCACGCCCTCGGCCTGGTTGGCGACCTCCACGCGGTCGCGGCGCTGCTTGTCGGCCGCAGCGAACTGCTCCGCCGACTTCACCATGTTCTCGATCTCGTCCTTGGACAGACCGCCCGACGACTGGATCACGACTGTTGGCGCGACAATTAGTTAAGTAAAATATATGACAACAACGAACATATATTGACTTTCGATGTCAATGTGGACATGTCGAGTGTTTTTTTATGGATGATAATGGAATGGTGCACCCGCCTGTGCTAACGGTTTACGCTGACGGGGCATTAGTTGAGGATGATAAGATGTGCATGAGGTCAGGAAAATCCTACTATATATAAATTACGTCCTCGGTGGCAAACTCTCAGAATACTCATGGGGAAATGATAAACTATTAGATTGTTCGGAAAGTAATTTGGTTTCCTGGCAGAGGATTTCATTGTATTTTTTTACACGCAGTTCACACTTAAGCCGTATAATTTTTATATGGTTTGAGAGCTCATATAGCAAGGCTTGTGTGTGAAAAATTACAATTAATTCTACGCAGTAGTTTTTGGTTGGTGCCCTTTTAAATATGGAGAGCGATAAGCAGCATTTTCGACATATCTTACTGTTTTACTACAGAAAGGGCAAAAATGCTGTTCAAGCCAGAAAGAAATTGACCGATGTGTGTGGAGAAGGTGTGTTAACAGTACGCCAGTGCCAGAATTGGTTCGCTAATTTCGATTCGGCAATTTTGATGTTTAAGATGCATCACGCTCGGGAAGGCCGGTTGAAGCTGATAAATTATTATATACATCTAATGCAATAAACAGTAAATAAATAAAAATTCTAAACAAATTCCTTCCCATTTTTAAAATAGGTCGTGACGAACCATTTTTCCTCTTCCTATAGCGCCCCCCCCCCCCTCCCACCTCAACCTTTCTCCTCCAGCTGGGCAACTTACACTTCACATGTAATGTACCATGTCAGGTTGACCACGTGGTTTCCCTGGTAACTATCTTCGTAAATTCTCGGTGAATTTATCACGATGAGCTAACTGATCTGACCTCAAGCTCATCTTATTATCCTTTGTTGGTGACCTGCCAACGTAAACCGTTAGCGCAGGCGGGTGTTACAGTTCGACAAACAGTTCTGAAATAGCTGTGGTAGCTTTCTGTATTAATAAGTCAATATTACATTCATTCATACATTCCCTTCCAATTACTCGCTGTTCCGACTAAGACACTGAACGAAAAAGTTAGTCTCGTTACCGATCTTCACCTAAGACGCGCTTTCCTGTTTCACATTGAAATAATTGTTTTGCTTTTAAATTGTCTTTCGAGTCACATTCCGTAATTATCCATTAAAATATAACTTACTCTGTTGCTCCTTGCCAGTTCCCTTATCTCTAGCGGACACGTGCACTATGCCGTTGGCGTCGATGTCGAAGGTGACCTCGATTTGTGGTACTCCGCGTGGCGCTGGCGGAATGCCGATCAGGGAGAACTGCCCCAGAATCTTGTTGTCCACCGCCATCTCGCGCTCGCCTTGGTGCACCTTGATCTCCACTTGGGTCTGCCCGTCCGCAGCTGTGGCAAATACAATCTTATTAATAGTATAAACGCGAAAGTTGTAAATTCGTATACTTTTTGTTGAAAACAGAATCGTAAATACTTTCTATGACTTTTATGTACCGGAAGTAAAAAATAGGCTTCAGTTAAGTCAAGATTTACCATGTATGCATCTGTGAGTATGGATGGATGTTTGTTACTCTTTCATGTAAAAACTACTGAAATTACCGAATTTTGATGAATCTTTGTGGTATATAGCTTGTACATCAGAATATGATATACTGTTTTATCCATAGACCATATATCCATAGGCTATAAACATCACGCGGGTGACGAGGGTACAGCTCTCGAAAAATCGGTAAAGCCGTTTCGTAGAAGTTTGGTAACAAACATCGCGATATGAGTATTATATATATTAGATAGAAATAACTGTAGCGCGATATCTAGGACAGGCGGCGACAGGAGTCGCGCCTAGCTGGTGTCGCGCGTCTCTCTAGCGCCGCTGCAAACGTGAACCGAGCACTGGCGCGGACACTGATCGACGGCGCTACGTGTTATATTATTAGATATGTATTTAAGCATGGTTAATATATATTTATGGTGTTAGGTGCTAAGACCTGTAGCACTGCGACCTGCATAGATTTGTTGTGCTCGCCCTTTTTCAAACTTCGCTTCCAAGACCCGTATACTATCCAAAGGAGATATAGTTTTCGTTTAAACATGAGCCAACAATCCTAAGAGGTGCCAAACCAGCTAGACCACCGATTCGAGACAATCATACCTGGCTCTTCATGGTGGGTCAGACCACCTAATCAAGATTATCATAAATCCACAACTCACCGGTGGAGAACACCTGGCTCTTCTTGGTGGGTATGGTGGTGTTCCTGGTGATGAGCTTGGTGAACACTCCGCCCAGCGTCTCGATGCCGAGCGAGAGCGGCGTGACGTCCAGCAGCAGGATGTCGGTGACGTCTCCGGCGAGCACCCCGCCCTGCACGGCGGCGCCCACCGCCACCGCCTCGTCCGGGTTCACGGCCCGGGACGGCGTGCGTCCGAAGATCTCTTGGACCGTCGACTGCACCTGTTATCAAATCATCCGTCATCGACTGCACCTGTTATCAAATCATCCGTCATACTCGTGAACGGGTGCTACTTGTCGGGACTGATCTGTTTAGGTTACTAACACTGATGAGACTTTTTACTTTTACAATACCATATGCTGGAGGTCACTCTATTCTCCTAAATTAGAATTTAAATGAATCTTGTATTATTTTAAACATGTACAACATTCCGAAGTAACGGTAGATTTGACATATCATAATAGTCTGTGATAGACGAATCAAGATATTTTGTACAATAAAAAAAAGCTTACACAGCAAGGTCTTTAAAGCTCAAAATAGCTTAGACTGAGGCATACTCGCAGACGACTTTTACAGTCGATCTCTGGTGAAATATCGAGTAAATGTTTGTGAGATTATAACCCGAAAGTATAAATACACAACCGGGGAATATGTCTCCAATTTAATATAGCACCCGTCCAGTGGACAGCCTCGCCAGCTATGAGAGCTGATGTTGGCATGTGCTGGTGCTGTAACTGGGTGAGTTTGTATACACTTTCACCAAAGTTCATTTTGTGTAAAGTCGTCTGCGTTGGTATTCATGTGGCCTCATAGCAGCTTGATTTTTAAGGTTAGTAATGGTATACCGGTTGGTCAGGTGGTACTGTAATTTAATTTTAATTGTACTACAATTAAAATTAAATTACAGTAAAGTATGAAATTCTTCTTATAAAAATTCCTTTTATAATGCTAGAGAATGCAATGACAAACACATTCTATTAAGCAAATAAAAATATGGTTAATTTTTTTTATTCCATAAGTATTCCAGATTATAGGCATAATCATTAACATTTAAAACTTCATTAATAATAGATTTTTAAACAAATATATACTACTTCCAATATTACTTTAGAATAAGAGTAATATACAATATTTCATACTCATTATCATCCATAAAAAGTGGTAGAACAATACTCCCCGACATAGTGGTAGAACAATATTCTCCCACTTAGAAATAAGTACATACCTTGGGCATACGCGTCATGCCACCAACGAGCAGCACCTCCCCGATGTCAGCGCGCTGCACCTCAGCATCCTGCAGCGCACGCTGGCAAGGAGCCACCGTCCTCTTGATCAGATCACCCACCAGCGACTCCAGTTTCGACCGAGTCATCTGTACAGACATACCATCATCTACCGTTATTACATATATATAAATATAAAACCTTCAAATAGCATGCATGTATCCAATATATGAACTCTAATTGTTACACCTCAATGGAACAACAGACAATTGTAGGTAATGTGACAATTAAAAAGCTATGTCATAGAAACAAAAAGCACGAGAAAGGTGCGTGCGCATTTTCGCGGCCATCAATCGTGCGTGCCTTTTATTAAATAAATAATTATCATTACAAAATGACGGACATCTAACAAAGAATCAAAGACAGAATTAGTGTGTTAACCAGCCGTACCCCGTCGTTTGGGGGGAAGGGGGATTTGGGCTATTGTTAGGTGCCTGTAACACTGCGAGCTGTATAGATCTATTGTGCCCGCCTTATTAAAAGTTCGCTACCTAGACCCGTGAGGGATAAGAATTGACGCCCACGGTTTGACCCGCGAAGTTTATAGACTATATGTTATTCTGATGTATAAGCTGCATTACTGTAAAGTTTTGTGACGAATTAACTATTATCGCGCGGCAACACCGTTGCCTAGTTACAACAGAACAATAAAATAACAGGCATGTCATTCGAGACCGAATCACTTTCTTGTCCGTACATATATCTGTTGTAAATACTTCTATATTATAAATATGTATATAGCCACAACCTGGACTCATCACTTCATCTCCTCCTTTCTTGCTGCTGCTACCATACAAACACAAATAATAGCGGCCCCAACATAGCCGCTAAAGTTTAATAATTCCGTTCAATAGCTTTTTGCGCGAAAGTGTAACAAACATCCATCCACACGCATAAGCATAAGCATTTATAATGTTAGTAATATTACCTTGAGATTCATATGCTTAGGTCCTGAAGCGTCCATAGTGAGGTATGGCAAGTTGATGTCGGTCTGCAGCGAGCCGGACAGTTCGATCTTAGCTTTCTCGGCCGCTTCCTTCAGCCGCTGCATTGCCATTGCATCTTTGCGGAGATCAGTTCCTTGCTGCAACGACAAATGTCATTAATAGTGTATACTTTCTCGCTGGTCTATCAGTTTAGTACATTGCTTTATTTCCGGTTGTCGCGAGTTCTATTATTCAATGATTATATGTTATTATATATAAAAATTACGTGTCACATTGATATATCCGCTATGGACTCCTAAACTACTGAACCGATTGCAAATATGATTTGCACATTTTGTGCAACGTGATCCAACTTAGGATGTAAGGCTACATCTTAATTTATAATATTTTTATATATAAAGAGATTGTTAGCCAGAGCAACACGTGGCTGTGTCTGCTAGTATTATTATATAATATTTATAATAAATGTTAAAACATATAAGACTCCATCTGCTACTTCCTCCGCATAATCATGATTGGACAGGACTTGTAATTCTCATACAGGCATATACCAATCCTGACATTTATCAAATTTTATAATTGGTTAAACCATGAATACATGAATCAAGCAAACAAACATATTATTGAATTTAAATTATTAAAAACAGAAATAGAAAATCTTATTAAAATAAACTTCATTTCAGCACTTTTGAACAGTCATAGTTTCTTTTTAATCTAACACACATTCTATGCTCACAAAAGTTAAAAGACACAATAGCAAAAAGCAATAAAATATTTTCTTACACCATTGTAAATTATACCTTACAATACAAGATACGCTTAGCTTTTGATGTGAAAAAAAAAAGTACAATATCTCTCTATGTATTGTAACTGTAGCGCGATATCTAGGACAGGCGGCGACAGGAGTCGCGCCTAGCTGGTGTCGCGCGTCTCTCTAGCGCCGCTGCAAACGTGAACCGAGCACTGGCGCGGACACTGATCGACGGCGCTACGTGTTTTTTTTTTTATTAAATTTAATGTACAAATAAGCTAATGTTATAAGGAATATCTTAGGCTACTTTTATGTCATAAACTTTATTTATATTATTTAAAAATAGTCATTTACTAAGCGAAGAAAGTCGTAGGTCACACATATCAAATTTCTTGATATACTTGAAATTTCTTCATAATCAATAACAACAAAAAAACTGAATAAACTCACATCCCGCTTGAACTCGTCGACCAGGAAGTTCACAATGACGTTGTCGAAGTCCTCACCGCCGAGGAGGGTGTCTCCGTTGGTGGACTTCACCTCGAACACACCCTTCTGTATCTCCAGCACGGATATATCGAAGGTGCCGCCGCCGAGGTCGTACACTGCGATGCTGTTGGCCATTTAACATTATGGTACACGTTATGGACTATATATCTATACATATAAATAAAATTGGAGTGTCTGTTTGTAATATTGAAATAACCGTTTTTTACTACTTACATATAAATATACGGTGCGTACACAAAATAACATTTTTACAATATTTGTCTGTCTGTCAGTTTGTTCCGGCTCATCTCTGAAATAGCTGGACCGATTTTGACGGGACTTTTAGTGGCAGGTAGCTGATGTAATAAGGAGTAACTTAGGCTACTTTTATTACAGAAATAATATTATATTTTAGAAAAATAAAGTTCTATTTTACGCGAACGAAGTCGCGAGAACAGCTAGTAAATAATAAATAACTATGAACAATCAACACAGCGCCATCACAGGACGAAATATATAAGCGTGATGCAGACGAAGCTGAGCGGGTCAGCTAGTATAAATACAGTCAAATAATTCGAGAAAATTCTTCAGTCTGAGCGTAAGGTCAGCAAAAGTAGTATAAATCTCTCAATTAATGTAGTCAAATAATTCGAGAAAATTCTTCAGTCTAATAGATATCTTGACAGGCGCGACATAAACTGTTATTTCATATGGTTTAAACCGTGGGCACAGCTAGTGAATAAATAAAACCAACCTCCGTAAACTGATAACAAAGTACTTACATCTTATCATCTGTCTTGTCCATGCCGTAGGCGAGCGCTGCCGCGGTGGGCTCGTTGATCACTCGCAGTACATTCAATCCTGCTATTTGACCTGTATCACAAATAAATAAAATTAGACTGTACTCTTTAAACTAACTCTTTACTCGATAACACTGACATTATCCAACCATTTATGTGCTATGCCCTTAGCCTTTCTAATATTCTTTTGTTATGTTAGAAGACTTCAAGGGACAATAGATTAGATTGCTTACAGTGTAAGGATGAATAATTTTTTTTTCGGACTACTCTAATGCTGTTGGCCTCAGTTGACCTTTACAGCTTCACCGGACGTTAGGGGGCGAGTGCAGATGGCACTCCAAACCCGCGGAAGCACTTATGGAGCGGCTGAAGGCCAACTCCTGCCTGACGGATACGACTTTAGTCTGAGGGCACCACTAGGGGTTCGAACCTCGGCTCAGGCCATCGTAATATTGATCCCCGTTTGAAGGACGGGGGATCGATCGGAGGGGAAAGGATGAATAATGTACTTACTAAATAAGTAGTAAGAGACAACACGATTGTTAAAACAAATATATAGTATAGAAGTCCCATCTTTGAAAAAAATTGTTACAATACGATGATTAAAATTTACAATTACCAACTGACATAAAAATACAACGTTTAAAATAAAATAAAAATGCAAAATTTTAGACTTTTTAAATCTAGACTTTACAATTGGTTATTAGACAATTGTTTTTATTTTATAGTATTAAAGAATTTTTTCGTAGTCCACCCCTAAATTTTTTTTTATTTCTAAGGCAAAACAACGTTTGCCGGGACAGCTAGTAATGTATATAAATTTTGCACGTCTGTTAGCAGGCTGAATACATTTAACGAATATTCATATTGTAAGACCTACTTGTAACATTGTATTCTGCAAATAAATAAATAATAATAAAATAAGGATTGATTATTATATATATACTTTGTTGCACTTTTAAATACAAGTTTTGAATATATGTTATAAGTTTTGTTTACAAAGGAGGACTTATCTCTAAAAGAGATCTCTTCCAGTCAACCCAAAACAGCGTGACACAGGAGTGCAAATAATACAATTAAGAAAAGATAAATTAAAAATTAAAACTAAAGAATTAACGTCAAATGTGATATATAACTACAAATACAAAGTACATGTAAATACAATATATAACATATAATATATATAATATATACTAACAATATATATATTTATATACATAAATACAAAAATATATAACTAGAAATAATTAAAAAACCTAATAATCAGATATATACATGAATAAAAAATAATACATACGATTCTACTAATGTAAGTACAGCGATGAAACTAATCACATGATGGTAAAAAGGTGTGTTTGAGTGATTATTATAATAATAGAGGCATATATACATATACACTCAAACGTTGTACCTATCATTGCCTAACAAGTACCACCCGGGGGGAAGGGAATTGTTAGTAATGTGGACTCATGACCCCAATACTAGCAATGTACCATGTCAGGTTGACCTCCACGCGGCTCCCCCTGGAAACCATCGTGATAAATTCCTAGTGAATTTGTCACGATGGGCTAACTGACCTGACCTTGTTCATCTTATCATCCTCCACTGGTGCCCCGCCAGCGTAAACCGTTAGCGCAGGCGGATGCAAATAAATTCACCAAACATTAATGACGATGGTTTCCAGGGGGAACCGCGTGGAGGTCAACCTGATATGATACATTGCTAGCAATAAGACCATCAGTTCACATTACTGACAATCCCCTTTTCCCCCTGCTCATGTTTCATTGTTGGATATTGTATAAATGAATTAAATTGAATAAATACAGTAATCATTCAAATTCACATAATTTCTTAGGGCTTAGGGTCTAGTGGACTCACTACCACGACTGATAACGATAACCCCGGTTGTACGCTCCTCTCCTATTGTTATATAGGATATAACTGTCCTCGATAAATGGGCTATCCAACACTAAACGCGTACGCGTTAAAATGCGTAAAAGTCGTCGCAATTCAAATTCAAATATCATTTATTCGTGTAGGACATCTTAGCCGCTTATTAATATAAAGTTTTTTACATTATAATTTTAATTTTTACCCTACCGTCCAGTTCAGTATATAGATCCAAATGAAAAGAACTGGCAAGAAACTCAATAGAATTACTTCTTTTTAAAAGCCAGTTTGTTTACAGTGTATATAGGTGTCTATGTCTAACATTAAATGAAAATCAAGTAAAATATTTTAGAATAGAATAGAATAGAAAATAATTTATTCAAATAAACTTAATTTATGCACTTTTGAATAGTCATAACAATTTGTTTTTATCTACCACTCGTTCGGAAAGCTGTCTCATCACAAGAAGAACGAGCAAGAAACTTGTGTGTTGCTCTTATTATTCTGGGGTAAGGGCATTTAGTTGCCATTGCAATGAAAGAAGAAGAGTACTATTCTTCTCCAAATCACCAACTCACCCGCATCCTTGGTGGCTTGGCGCTGCGAGTCGTTGAAGTAGGCCGGCACGGTAACTACGGCGTTCTTCACTGACGTGTTCAGGTACGCCTCCGCCGTCTCCTTCATCTTCATCAGTACGAAAGCACCGATTTGACTTGGAGAGTACACCTTTCCATCACTGCCTGCAAAATTTACAATAGTCTGGACTATTCACACAGCATCATCCCAAGTAGTCTCAAGTTTTCTTATAGCTGATAATGGAATGGTGCATCCGCCTGCGCTAACGGTGTACCCTGACGGGGCTACAGTGGAGAATGATAAGATGAGCAGAAGTCAGCTCAGTTAGCCGTCTTGACAAATGGCAATTTATCACGATAAATTCCAGGGGGAATCGCGTGGAGGTCAACCTATCATGATAAATTGCTAGCCCATATTAACAATCCCGTTTCTATACTCTATGGAATGCACATGCATTCCAATATCATCCATAAAAGAAAATACTTAAGATACATTTTTTTATAAATACATACATACTCATAATATACATAAAAAACACCAAAACCGATACAAACATATATAGATACGAAGACATAACTGACCGGGCTGGGCAGGAAGAAGTCTGCCGAGCTGGCCAGTTTTCAATAATTTCTACAAATTGTCTTATTCTAGATTAGGATTCTAAATAATTTATTTATCTATGTATTGTAACTGTAGCGCGATATCTAGGACAGGCGGCGACAGGAGTCGCGCCTAGCTGGTGTCGCGCGTCTCTCTAGCGCCGCTGCAAACGTGAACCGAGCACTGGCGCGGACACTGATCGACGGCGCTATGAATTATCCTTACTTAATGTTATAAATTCGAATAAAACTCTGTCTGTCACATTTTCACGCCAGAACTACTGCATCGATTTCAATGAAATTTGGTACACAGTCTAGACCCTGAGAAAGGACATAGGCTACTTTTTAATGTAAAGGGTTGAAAGGGGAGATAAAAGGTAGTATGGAAGTATCGTAATTTTTAATGCTAGAAACTTATTTTTGGGCTGTTGATTAAATATAAATAAACATGACATTGAAATTTATAAAATTTTAGCCTTATAGAGATGAAATAAATTAGGAGATGTAAGTTTGTATGGAAAGTGGTCATTGTTCAAGCTAGAACGATGAAACCTTTTTACTTTGGATGTTTTAGGTCAGATTATTATTATTTTTACTTTATTTGGTCAAGGTCATTATTCCACGCGGACGAAGTTTGCCGTCAAACCTAGTATGAACATATATATTTGGTACGTGATGATGCGGCTCGAATGATAGATGGTAGGTGTTGATGGCTTCGGCAGATTACAGGGTTGTTGAAAATGATAGAAATTTATGGGTAAATACTGTGATAAATTACAATTGTGGTGGAGTGAACAAATGTACGTTAGATCGTTCGGTTGAGTTTTGAAGTCTGTACGTTACGTTGCGTATTTAAATTGGATGGGTGTGCGCTCCAATCAGAACGCTCCTTTTGTGTTGCGTTTTGTTGCTGCTTGTACGTGACAATATTAAAAAAACTAACCTTGCACCCAAGCATCTCCGTTGGACGCCTTCACAACCTTATAAGACAAGTTCTTCATGTCCTTCTGAACTTCGGGGTCTTCGAATCTCCGGCCGATGAGACGTTTGGTCGCGTAGAACGTGTTCCCGCTGTTTGTGACTGCTTGCCTCTTGGCTGGCATACCCACGAGGCGCTCAGCCTCTTTGGAGAAGGCCACGTGTGACGGCGTAGTTCTGGAACCTTCGCTGTTCTCGACCACCTGAGTTAGAATATTTTTTTTAATTTAACCTTTCGAATGTCTGTCGTCTGTCGCAGCGAGCGAAAGTGAAGAGGCGGTATGCGTGCGCCAGCTGTATTTTTTCAAATGCGTTTCAATCTTATTTCGTTTTAAATAAGGACTAAATTGGTTAAAAAGAAGTCACTCTTTTGCGGGCACAAGTGTGACAAGACGGTAATAGGGTTCAAGAGGGCTGTACAGATCTGTGTCACAACATCCGAAGGGTTAAACATAAAATTAAAGTTAAAGTTTTTGATTTTGTTTTTAAAATTGTAATTTACGATTTTAAAAACAAAATCAAAAACTAAAATAATATAATAATAAATCTATTTATTGCCAACAGTAGTACAATCATACAGTTTCACAATCATGTCAAATATTTATAATGATTAGCGATAGGTACAATCCGGCAATTTTTTCCCTTTATTTAAGTATAATAAGATCATCTATAAACATAAATAAACTTGGAGTGTCTGTTTGTAATATTGAAATAACCGTTTTTTACTACATGCATATGAATATAAATATGGTACATACACAAAAATAACATTTTTTAAAATTTTTGTCTGTCTGTTCCGGCTAATCTCTGAAATGGCTGGACCGACTTTGACGGGACTTTTATTGGTAGGTAGCTGATGTAATAAAGAGTAACTTAGGCTACTTTTATTTTAGAAAAATTCTCTAATTATCTTTTTTGTTAAATTCCACGTGGACAGCTAGTTAGAAATAAATATACATTTAAAAGTACAGTAACTTAATTTTATCTACATACACTAAAAATAAATATTAGTATGGGTAGTTTTACGGACATACCTTGGGTGTCTTGCCCTCCATGACGGCCACGCAAGAGTTGGTGGTACCCAAGTCGATGCCGATAACGGCACCGCGCACTCCATCCGATCTGTAACATTCAACAAATTATATTACACTAGCTGTAACCCGCAAACGTTGTTTTGCCATATAAATAAATATTGCTATTAAAAAATAGGGGTTGGTAATAGAAGGGTGAAGGGTGAAGGTGGAGGGTTGAAGAATAATATAAGGATGTATGTATTTTTTAATGCCACTCAAAAAATAATAAAAATAATATAATATTTTAGGAAAATAAAATAATATTCCACGCGAACGAAGTCGAATGTACATATAATAAGTAAGTTACATATAATAAAACAAAATTAATAGTTGAATTGAGGTGGAAATATTAAACTTTCTATATAAACGTTTCAATACAACGATATGTTAGCCACTGTTATCTCAGTTCAGCTTTGACTGATAGTCTTGATTAGATAACAGTAACTATGGGGGGTTATTAATAATACATTACCACCCTTATTCATTACAAAGTCCTATATACAATTTTTTTGTTTCTTTTAGACAACTTAATATTATAGCTACATTACTGTAAAGTTTCATAAAAAACCGTTTAGCAGATTTCGTGTGAAAGAGTAACACACATCCATCCTTCCGTCTATACTTACAAACTTTGCGTTTTACCAAACATTATATGTGTTATAATAGTAGTTACACTTTTATATATGGATGAATTTTTATTATTACTATTTCACTCAAAAACTATAGAACCAATTTAGATGAAACTTTACAGTAATATAGCTTACACATTAGTAGCTATAACTTTCACACGGGTAACACCGCGGGTACAGCTAGTATAATGTTGTTCTTATGAATTCACGACTACACAAAGTCGTGACCTTTGGGGGCTAGATCTCAGATAATAAAGCAATAAATCTCATAGGCAGTTTTAGTAATAAATAAGAATAACTGTAGCGCGATATCTAGGACAGGCGGCGACAGGAGTCGCGCCTAGCTGGTGTCGCGCGTCTCTCTAGCGCCGCTGCAAACGTAAACCGAGCACTGGCACGGACACTGATCGACGGCGCTAGATATAAAAAAAAAAAAACGCCACAAGGACAGCACTAATGCTTAAGAGGCCTATTACAAATTGATGCCGCTCAACTTTAGGTTTAATCGCATGGATTTACACAGTAATACACGCACACAGACGCAAATAACCACTGTGTAATGCTCAACTTGTGGATTTAGTATGAACTCATTTTATCCTTGTAATATTTTAATTAATAATGTGATATATTTTTATATATTTTATTTAGAGTAACATAAACTACTTATTGGATTTGTTTAAATATACGTGATTTATCTTATATATCAAAGTGCTCCAATAATGACCATATTTTATTATTATATTATTTCCAATGAAAAGTTGATGTCAAATTATTTAAGCTGGCTATTGTACAAAAGGCTAAAAGCTATTTCAAAACCTTTTAATAATAATAATAAATAATAATAAAAACTTTTTTGGGCATTAAAAAAACAATTACAAAAAAGAAGAAAAAAGAAACAAAAGGCGGCCTTACTATAACATAAATTTACAGACAACCTAATTAATTCTTTCTTACATGTCCATTAATTCAGTTATTGCATTTTTAATATCTGATACAATATAATTATATTATAAATCTTCTAATAATACATTATTGCCATGGATTCATTTGTTCTAAATAAAAACTACTGAACAGATTGTGATGAAACTAAACATTTTATTATATATATAATAGTAATGTTTTAACATAGTCTATAATTTTTATATTTAAATTGGTATTGATAAATATATGTATATTAAGTGTGTGTACAGCTGAAGTTGTGCGTGGTATAATGAAATTGACCAAATAAAGGAAAATATTTAGATTATAACCTAAAAAATGTTTAAACAATTTGTTTCAAATATCATTAAACAATGTTTCCCAGATTTACTTTTTTTTATAGATGGAACACAACCTATTACTGTCTTTTGTGATACAATCCTGCATGTTGTGAATACTTTTTTTCCAGTATAAAGTAATTTTCTATTTAAACTTAATATTAGTAAAGGACCATTGTGTATATGTAAATCTTTTAAGCTATATAGTAATTCCTGTTTATATATATTTATAAAAAAAAAAGCACAGTAGTAATTAAGATTACTTTTTATAAGAGTAGGCATTGGTCATAAGAGAACTTAATCAAAATAGAATCTATTTAACATGCTGTAATTCAAATAATTCACACAGACTCAGAATTTCACCCATCAATTGTTTTGTATTAAGAAGTGTGGTAAACTTGCACAAGCTGACATTTTTTTTTATTTAATAGCTACATGCCTTCATTCTAAAATATTGGTCAAAGTTTAACACAATACTTTTTTTTCTAGTGATGCATGCCTGTATTTAGGTAGAAAAATTATCAAGCAAAGTGCATAGTATCCATAATTATATTTATATATATCTGTAGACCATTTAAAATGGAATACCTAGTTATATTAACCTACATGATAGCACATTTACAAATGAGAAACACTGATGCAATAAATACTAACCTCAAAATTATATATCGCTAACAAAACAGGCATGGATAATTGAAATAATCTACGTTCCATAATTAAAACTATAAAAATAATGACTAAATAATCTATTCCCAGAATATTTAACATCCATTTATAATAGTAGAAAATTGGAAATCGAACTTGTGAATACAAAATGCGGGAAGAGGTTATGATGTAACAGTTGTGGTAATTGATGAAATTAATAAAACTTACTTGAATCTGCGCTGTATTTCATGTCGTACGCTGCAACTTGTTCTTGGTGCTGCGAGCTGGAAGGATAGGAAATGTATTTACTACTCCGAATGTCAAGATATTCTATAAAATTCTAGTAATACATGTGGGGAATAAATGTCATGCAAAGAAATGTATGGGATAATAAATATATCTTAAATTACTACCTGTATATAAAACCAATTCAATATTTATCGTACAAAATGAACACTTACGTTTTTGAGAATCGAATAAAAGCTTTTCTGTGTTAACTCTGAACTAACAGTGGAACATTCCACCGCTTTCCTTAGTACAGATCGCGTGGGGATCAACATTTTTAGCACAGTATTATTTCCAAAATACACTTTATTTTGAGCGCCGCTAAGTTTTATGACGTTACTATTGAAGGTACGATTTTCACTTTTTTTTGGAAATATTTATGGACACTCAACCTTCAATGGTACTTTTCGATTCAATGAGTGCTAGAATGGAAGAAACAACCAAAATGAACGTATATACTGCTTGCTTTGTCTTATACCTGCTACTTTTCTCTGTCTACGAATATGTACGATTCAGTACGATTCCACTTGTACTATTAGCTCCGGACAGTGTTGCAATATTAGAAAAATAATACGAAATAATCAAAATAAATACGAATTGCATAATATATATATGCATTAATTACTTAAATATATACTTGCACTTTGTATATTTTTATAGAACAAGATGATTATTATATCAATAGAATATAATAATCATCTTGTTCTAAGCTCACTAAATAGCCATTAGGAAACAAATATCTGCCAAAAGGAGCCAGTAATAAGTCGTGTGTTGACCGGATTTACGCAAAAACGGTTTTCATAATAAACTTGTTGAAACTCTGAAATTTCGTTATAACATCTAGTTCCAAGTTAATCGCTGCTTTACTTGGGACTAGATGACAGTATGTGGATTGTCCACTGTTATTTCTATTAGATAAATATAAACAGTTCTCTGACCATCATAAACACATCTGTGAAAAGATACAATCATAGATGTTGTACGAGTATGTTTTTTAGAACTAGAATTTTACAGTATATGTTCAGTAAAGGATTTGATACTTGTATTAAAAAGTTTTATTTTATTAGGTACATCTTGTAATTAATTTCACCTTATTAATTATTCGTCAGTACTGACAGACTTCAAAATCGAAGAAAATTTATCGGAAAATGAGTCAAGTGCGTATTTTTTTTACGTAAGTGTTACCATTTAAAAAGTCACGTTCTAACTAAAAGTACTAAAACACGGGTAAAACTAAATTCTATATTCTCTTTCCAAAATATGCTAATTTTTTAAAACAAATGTACTTTTTTTCATATAATTATATAGAGGTGACAATATAGGTTATATTACTGTAAATCATTCTATTACTTTGTTTCATCAAAGACCGTTCAATGTTGGAAAGGGTATAATTGGTAATATGGAGTAATAATCCCATTGCTAAGAATGTACCATGTCAGGTTGATCACCCGTGGTTCCCCTAGAAAGCATCTAAATTCATGGTGAATTTACCACGACGACTAACCTGACCTCATGCTCATCTTATAATCCTTCACTAGTGCCCGCCAGTAGAAACCGTTGGCGCAGCCGGATATTATATTAGTAAGACTACACATTGTAATTAATATTAATTTCATCCTCCCACCCTGAAACCTAAATGGTCCCCAATACTGCGATTTCTGAGGAATTTCCTGTGCCGTACACAAATTGTGGAATGTCTAATAATTATTACAGTATGGGGTCTAAGATAGCAAAGCGCATCTGACAATGTGTTCCAGGCGTCTATGGTTATCATTTACCATCGTGAGCCTTATGGGATGTGCAGCGCGGTGGTTATTACCTCATTGTTGGGATGAGGTGTCACTACATATGTTATTGTTTATTATATGTAGGTAGTGAGTATACCGGTGAAGTGTAAGTACTATTTATTGTACATTAGTAATTTGGTAGTGTGCTACATGGCTTATTAGTAAAGCGTACATTCGACGCGGAGTCGTAACGTGGACTGAATTGACACTTAAATCTATGTTATCAGGAGAGGTAAACTAATGAGTGTGCAGTGTTGACAGAAATATTACAAGTGTATTTTTATTTATTTATTAATATTTTACGGCTCTACAGTCTTTTTAATCCAACATAAAGTACAAAAACTTAAAAAAACAGTGCTGGAAATAAATTTATATAAAGTCTTGAATATTACAGACCTTAATAAGATTTCTTCAAGAGACTGTGGTACTTAAGTGTAGGAACAGATGTTAGCCACAATTGTATATTTTTCCAATTTAAAATTTAGCCTTTCAGGTAATTATTGCATGATTATTAAAAAAAAACTACCATTATACAATGTCAAACATTACAGTATATAATGAAGTTAGAGGTTGAGGGAAACCATCTAAATAGATAAAAGGTTAGAAATAAAACATTACTCTGCTTTGTACAAATCACATTTTATTTATGTATTTATTTACAAGGTGCCCGCGCTCGCTGACCTAGGAAAATCATATACTCACATCTAATATTATTACCACTATAGGAAAAATTCATTAACTATGGATAGTCCGTCAGTTTCCAAGTTTGACATTACAATTGGCGCCAATTCTTGACATTTGTTAAATTAAAAATAAAATAACATACTACCTAAGCAACATTCCGTTTTAATGAATAATAAAAAAAGTATTTTTCCCGCCAAAAACAATTCAACATAAAAAGCACAGCCATAATATAGAATTGCAAATGGCGCATTACCGAGGCTTCGTGACTTCAAATAAAATGGAAGAAGAAGGCATTCTGCATCTAGCGCTAATGCCACAGACATGGAAACTTACGACCAGTCCATGAATAGACAACAAAATATAACAGTAATCCGCTATTAATACCATGTACAGTCACATGGAATAATATGTGATATTTTAACTAATCTAATATCAGTTTTATGAACATAAACTTCTAGATCAACACAACAGAAACAGCTTAACTGATTTTAATGAAATTTGGGAAACAGCAAAAATAAATAAGAATGATATAGAGATCCAAGTACATGTACACCCACAGGAAGCAAGAGCTGGTCGTAGCCAGTGTTGCTAGGTATCTGGTATTCTCCCCAAATTGTGACCAAAATTATGTCCAAAATTTATCTAAAGCATCATGAGAATATTGTGTTTAGGACACTTCGAATGATTTTATTTTTAGGCCTATATTAACGACAAAAACCCTCTCATCCTCCCGACTTAACTCTTATTAACTTCCTCTCAAACACTGTTTAAAGCTGACCCATAAGTAAATAAATATCTCAAATGTGACCAGCTGTGGAAGAGACGGTGGGATGGGGTGAAAATCATTTAATACGTATGACGTTATTTATAGACGGGTCCTAAGGGCCCCAGGGCGCTCCCCACCACTGCTCCTATATTGCGCCTGATTTTAGTCGTGTCGAAGCTATTGAATATTCTATTATTCACATAATATTCCACGGGATTATACGCAACAAGTATATAAGTACGTAAGATACGTAAACAGTAAGACAAGTCAGTATAAGTTTTTTTTAATGGATGATAATGGAATGGTGCACCCCACCTGCGCTAACGGTATACTGGCAGGGCACCAGTGGAGGATGATAAAATGAGCATGAACTCTAACTAATAGGCTAACTGACCTGCAGTTAGCCCAATAAAGTATTTTTTTTTTTATTCTAGACCCAAGCTAAGAACTTGTGTTGTACTAGATAGACAGGTATATATAGATGTACATAGATATAATCGTACTTATATATATATATTATATATGTATATATATACTATTTAAATAATTTTATTATTTACCGTATGCAATGACATTAAAATTTCATTTATTTATGACTTCAAAATGTGTTAGAAGAAATGGAGAAAAGGGATTTTTAGCTCCAAGTTCCTTATTATTATGCTGATTCTATCATTCTTCACTGGTGCCCCGCCAGCGTATACCGTTAGCTTGTGCTACAAATCACATACAAAAATCTGTATATATTCTGTATACAATACAATATTATATATTTAGCGGTAGGGGATTGTCAGTAATGTGGATTAATAACCCCATTTGCCAGCAATGTAATACTGCTACGGAAGAAGCAGGTATGAGATCTTCATTTTTTACACTTTCCATGTCCACTACCCAATCTCACCACTCATGCGTTGCCATTCCATTAGCCACGCATGAGTGATATGATTCTAATAGCCCCATTGCTAGCAATGTACCATGTCAGGTAGACCTCCACGCGGTTCCCATGGAAACCATCGTGATAAATTCTTGGTGAATCACCACGATGGACCAACTGGCTTGGGCTTGTGCTCACCTTATCATCCTACACTGGTGCCCCGCCAGCGTATCCCGTTAGCGCAGGTGGGTGCACCATTCCATTATCACCCATAAGACAATACCGTGTATGTTTACATACATACAGTAAACCATACAAGCACTGTTCGGTACAAGATTCTACGATTCACAACTTTACATATTACAATAGTATGTACCACATCGAGTGCATCTCATACATTTTCCATACAACTCCATACAAATTCCATACAACTTCATACAAATTCCATTAATTTACACGTCCACATATGGAATGTCATTCGCCGAGACATCACACAGTTCATTTAACAACAGGAAAAAAACGAAATAGACAAAAAAAAACAGTCTAACTTAACACAACATCATCAAGAGCGTATTCGTCATACACGCGAACGGTATTCTTTCTAAATTTTGTTCTAAAAATGCATCATATCGATGACAATAATTTTAAAAGTGCATCATACTCATGGACGAATTTTGCTATAAATTTGTTCTACAAATGCGTCATACTCGAGAACGTTCATGCTATTTAGGTAATTCTAAACTACTTATTGCTTGTATATAAATAATAATTCATCAGTCCTTTCTAACAACATCCATTTGAAACAGAATGTAATCGGTGTGGCGATTATAAGTTTCAGTTTTCACCTTACGACTGGGGTTTGCAACTATCGATTCCAATCTTTTTCAAAATCAATTGTTAGCAACCGACCTACTACAGTAAACTGTATAAAATTATTGTAAAATGCATTCCATAATCAAATTCAAAATATAAAGAAAAAAAAAACTGAAATATTCTTAAATTTCTAAAACAACAGAAAATGTAAATCCGCTTAAAATATTATTCATATAATTTAAAAACATCAACTATCGACATTCAGAGACAATCGTCCACATTCAAACTGACTTACAATAAACGTTCTTCGATATTCGAGTCACGCGCCTTCATACTCGGGAACGCCTACGCATCGGTCTAGAGCCTATAGCGGATGCAACAGTGGTGTAACAACTTTACTTCTAGTATACCTACAAAACGGCTTTCATATCACGAACACATCGTCATACTCGGGGACGTCTCCAGTGCGACGACCGGGGTGTTACGACGTCATCATGTCGTTCACGGAGCCCCCCATGTTGACGGAGGCGCCTCGAATGAGATCGGTGATATCGCGTCTGAATATTGATAAGTTCTGTGTGAATCTGAAATTAAAATAAATAATTTCAACGCGAAATCATTTCAAGATGAAATAAATATGCGATTGATTGATTGAATGAGTGAGTGAATGAATAAATTAAATTCTTATTGTTTCACTCACATAAAATACAGTTACGTACATACAATATTGGAAGAAGTGATAATATATAGATAGACTAGCTTTTGCCCGCGGAAGCCGCGGCGGCTAACGTTAATTTATCCTCTTAGGGGTGAAATTTATCAAAATCCATTCTTAGGGTATACTTCATAGTAGCTTTATGCATGCAAAGTCTCCTTCAAGTCACCTTCTTGGTAAGGATGTTGAGTTAGATGCCGGGCATCAGTATTTATTCAACACTCACCTGTCCCTATTCGAAACTCACCATTCTTGGTTAGTATGCTGGGTTCGATGCCGGCTATCTGTCTGTTATCTTTGTTTGTTATGTGCTAAAAAGTACTTCAATACAACAAGCTGATGTAATAATTCATCTGTCCCTATTCAATACTCATGTATCCCCATACAATCCCCACCTGTCCGAATTCAACACTCACCTGTCCCCATTCAACATCCACCTTTCCCCATTCAACACCCACCTTTCCCCATTCAACACCCACCTTTCCCCATTCAACACTAATCTGTCCCCATTCAACACCCACCTGTCCTCATTCAACACTCACCTGTCCCTGTTCTTGGTGAGCAGGTTGGGCTCGATGCCGGCCATGAGTCCGTTGAACCACTGCGCGAGCTGCGCCTGCTTGTCGCGCGGCTGCTGCGCGATCATCTCGCCTCGTATCCTCGCAAACTGCTCCTCATTAAGGAGGATGAGCCCGAGGAGCGGCCGCGACATCGACCACTGGTTGCAGCAGTCCTCAAACATTATCACGTTCAATACCTGAACGTGACGTTACCAGCTTATTTAAGTTATTACGTATAGCTAGCTTTATCATATATATTCAGCTCATAGCACATATGTTATTCAGATTTATAAGCTATATTACTGTAAATTTTCATCAAAATCAGTTTAGTAATTTTGCGTCCTTTTGACAAAATTACAATAGCACATTCTGGTGGTCATTCTATTATGTTAAAGTATGAAATTAAAAATGCATCTACATGAATAAACATATTTTGATTTAGTATAGATACAGGGTGCAATCGTTTTATGTTGTTGGGCATAGTTTGCTATATAATTGCATTGACAAAATGCTTATAAAAAGTACTGCAAATCATTTACCGTGGCTAACAGTTGCTGCATGATCTCCGGCCGCCGCTGCAGCACCTCTATAAACATGTTGCTGGTCTGTGGCGGAGGTTGGCGAGGATTCGTCACTTTGTTACTAGCTGTAGAATAGAATAGAAATAAATATAATAAATTAATAAACACATTTTAATACATATATTTCAATTCATATCTGCGAGTATCGTCTCGCCAAAATCAGCACAGCCGTTTCAGAGATTAGCTAGAACAAACAGACAGACACACACTGGAAAACCAGCCAATTTTTTTAGATTTTAATTATTGACGCAAGTTCCGTTTAAGGATACTGATATCTCAGTTAATGTTTTTGTTAATAAATAGACAATATACATAAGAAACATATGCGAGGAATCGATACCGCGACCACCGGAAGCAAGACGGTGTGTCAAACCGCTAGACCATCGAGCTCGTATGATGTGTACTCACTTTTTCTCACTAATTGCTTAAATAGATATGTGACTATATGGTCCAGGGTGGCGCAGCATCCTGTACACACGCTCGTGTCTGAAAACAAAGAGAGAGACTAGAGTTGGTGATAATTTATAAATGTTAAATGTTGTTCGACATGATGCCGACGGCCACCTTTTACCATCGCACCGCTCGCCATCGACAAGGAATTCATCCCCAAACACACAAAAACTGAGCGTGCATTCGCCGTAAGTGCGTACTAGAGTCTGTAGTCCGACGCGATACAATAGCAAGCCGTCGGTCTACTGGTTATGTTGCAGTCAATACATCGTTCCACGCGATACTTGAATATTGTGTATTATAAAAATTAGATTTTTGGCGAATATATATAACAGAACGTTCCCACAATGTACTCACCAAGAGCCGTGAGCCCCTCGGATATTGAGGACAGTATATACAGAGTGGCGTCGGGCTGCAGCGACGCTAAGAACGGCATATGGTCCTGCGCGAGCCTCTCCAACAGTACGTAGTATGTTTGTGACAATTTTGGGTAATCCTGAAATGAAATTTCATATTTATTGAACCAAGCCTATTACTCACTATACAATTACTTAAATGACAACGTGCATGGCAATAGTTGCTCTTCTCAATTAGATCTGTATACTGAACTGGACGGTAAGCAACAAAATATACAAAAAATTTCTAGGGTTCTTGGGCCGAGTGAAAAAAAGTGCTATTTCGGTACTTCTTGTATAAATGTAAGTGTGAGTATTAATGTATAAATGGATGGATGGATGTTATTCTTTCATGCAAAAACTACTGAACAGATTTTGATGAAATTTTACAGTGATATATTTGATACATCAAAATAACACGTAGGCTATATATTTCAAGGCCAAACTGCGGGCACAGCTAGTAAATAAATAAGTACTTACAAGTAAATCACTGTGCGGTATACTGAGTAGCAATTTAACGAACATATTCAATGCATTGTCTAAAGCCTCGTCGCCATATAACCTGCGAACAAATAGAAATAGATATTATCTTTATTCAAATAAACTCAATTACTTTTGAATAGTCATATTTTGTATTCTACCACTCATTCGGACCACAGACTCATCACAAGAAGAATGAGCAAGAAACTTGTGTGTTGCCCCTTTGAATACTTTTTTTTATATAAATATTTTTTAATTATCCTTAGAATAGAAATAAATATAATAAATAAATAAACACATTTTAATACATATATTTCAATTCATATCTGCGAGTATCGTATTATGAATGCGAAAGTAAGTCTGTCTGTCTGTCACGCTTTCACGCCAGAATCACTGAAGCGATTTTAATGAAATTCGGTAAACAAAATTTATTTAATATTTTATTTTTTTATATCAATATTCAGTAGGTCTGAGAAAAGGACCACTATCCATTTTTTAAACCCACTTAGGTGTATACAAAATGGATAGTGTCCTTTTATAGGTGATAAGGGTTGTACCTAACCCTAACATATAACCGCCAAATGTAAAACACCCTGGTGGAATAAGAGTCTAGAAAAGCTGAGGAAGAAAACTCGCAAATTATCCAACAGGGCTTTTCGAATGGGCCCAATATAGTAAAGTGTAAACGGAATACTACTGCGAAATTAGGAAAGCCAAAGAGCATCATGGCGTGCTTTCTGCGAGGAGATAACTCAGACTCCCCAAGGATCCAGATTACACAAAATGCTTGCCAAGGCGCCAAATAACCAAATTTTATGAAAAGGCCCAATGGTAAAATCAAAAGAAACTCTATATTATCTACAAATAATCGGTTCATATCTCAAGAGATATTTTTTGAGGCGTCAGAGCTCTTTTTTCTAAAACAAATTATATGGGCTATAAAATCTTTCAAGCCATAAAATCATCGCCGAAGATGGATAGTTTTCCCGCACAACAAGGGCTTGACATCCTATCTCCCTATGTGAATATTTAACACAGCCTGATTTTATACCCATTAACGAAGGTAATTTCATTACTCGCAGCCAAAGTCTCACAGACCTATAAGCCTTGTTTCATAATAAAAACCATGGAAAAGGTTCTATGGACCAACACATTAGAGCTACAATCCTCGAAAATGCTCCCCTGCACAAATCAACATGCCTACAAACAAATAACTCAACAAGGTCGAAATTAATAAACAAATATCTATGTGCATTTCTCGATTTTTTGCTTTTGATAACACGCCCATATCTCACAGGGACTCATCCGCAGAAAGTGGATGAAACCACCACTCAATGGATCAAAGCAATGCTCTCAAATCGAACCATTAAAACTACTCTTCACAACAGTACGTTAGAAATCCGACCTACCAAAGGATGCCCTCAAGGAGGCGTTTTTTTGCTGTGGCTATAGTCCAGCTCTTAGATGTTATGACCAAAAACCAATTTGTAAAGGTTTTAAGTCATGGTCAGAGGGTTCTGTGCAACAACAATATCAGACCGCATCCAAAGAGCACTAAACATCATAGTTAAATGGTGTAAGGAAAATGAATTATCAGTAAATCCTGATAAAACAGTAATTGTTCCGTTTACAAAAAGGAAGAAACTTGACAAACTTGTCATGCCTAAAGTAAATGGAAGAATATTATTCCAAAGAAGTCAAGTACCTGTTCGATAAAAACTGACATGGAACACACACATAGAAACATAACTCAAAAGGCGAAAACATCCCTATTAAGCCGACGGGTAAATTGTAATCAACCCCAAAATTGCCCTATGGCTTTATACAGCAGTGGTGAGACCACTTACCACCTCGATGCCGATCTGGTGGAGAAACCCTCAAATCCACAGCTGCCACCAAGCTTACAGATTAATTACAGGAGCCATGAGCACCAAATTTAACGCATTATTGGACTTGACGCCCCTTCCTATTCATACAGGAAAAGGCGAAAGCATATGATGTTTGGAGGATATCTTGGCATTCCCTGAGACTCGATTATGAGTGATCCTATTCTGGGAATGCCTGAAGACAATATGGCACCAGAGTGTAACTTTGTATATTACAAAATCGAAATATCTGGAAGAGACGAATGGCAAAATAACCATATACCGTCTCACTCAGATTTCTATTTACAGACGGGTCCAAAATAGTGATGTAGGATGTGGAATATGTGGTGTAAAACCCAAAATCTGCAACTATATAGGCTTAGGAAAATACGCCTCAATCTTTCAGGCAGAGACTTACGCCTTAATTAGATATCTGGAAGTAATCCTCAACTACATCAATCAGAACATATACATTTATTCGGACAGTCAAGCTGCTCTACTCATGTCGTACGAAATCCGTTCTAAACTTATTAGAAACTGTATCCTGCTACTAAATGAAGTAGGAAGCAGAAATAATATTATACTGAGATGGGTCCCCGGGCATTCAAATATTGAAGGCAATGAGAATGCCGACCATCTGGCATATATATATCCAACTGGGCCCCGAATATGGTGTGCAAAACTGGGACATCTCAAATTAATAACCAAACGAGAAGCACTGAATCACTAAAAATGCCAGGATTAATACATTCAAAAGACCTTATATCGGGCTCGACCAAATACTCCAATAGATTATAATTGAGTAAAAACAACATATGCATGATGACTAGGGCCCTCACAGGACACTGCAAATTGAACAAGCATATGGCTAAGCTAGGCCTATGCACGACAAGTATCTGCAGATTCTGCCAAACTGAAGAGGAAACGCACATCCTATGTGGTTGTAGCCCACTCATGCATAAACGAAATATCTCCTTTGGAAAGGACACAGCGGATGTTAGTATGGACGACTTAAAATCCGTATGGTGGTTGCACCCCCTCCCGCTCATGCCAATACCATTCTCGCAACGCACGATTTTATTTATTGCAAACAATCTAAAGTGGCAATTCGAACCATCGGTTAACAACACGTTTAATCTAGATAGAATAAACCTCAAAATAATGATAGGGACAATAACGGGCCATTGTTCCTTAAACAAACATTTATACAAAATTTTAATAAATACTTCGGGGCTTTTGTGTTGAAGAAACGGCGGCTGATAATAAAGATCCTCGGAACGGTTTTGAACATTCTGCGCTATTTGGCTGGCTACGTTAGTAGTCTGGCTCTACACGCACAACGGCCCGAATGTGAGGCTAATTGCGGAGAATGGAGTCTAAGATACCAACTCCTTTGGAAAGTTTACACTCTTTCCCGAGGAGATAAAAACGATCGCTCCTAAGAATATCCTTCAATTCTTGTCCCTGACGGGTCTAGGTAGTGAACTCTGAAAAGGGCGAGCACAATAGATCTATGTAGGTCGCAGTGCTACAGGTGCTACACATCTGACAATAGCCCAAACAACCCAATAAAAAAAAAAACCCTAACATTTTTTTTAATTAAAAAAAAAAATTATATTATAAAATAATGGTTAACAATAGATATTACTTACCTAAATACGCCGAAGTTAGCATAGTTCCCGCACAGAGCTGCCTTCAATATTGAGAAACACAGTGATATTCCTTTTAATTTCATTGCGTAGATTTGTTTCTTTGCAACATCTATTGTTAATATACGACTACCTGAAAGCAAAATACATACAAACAAATATAACATAAATTAATAAACTATTTCTTTCTTTTTTTATTATTATAGCATAGAGGATAAACGAGCTTGCATCTCACTTTATAGTAAGGGATTACCGCTAAACTATTTTTTTTATAGTCCAGTGAAGCTGTAAAGGCCAACTGTGGCCAAAAGCATTAGAGTAATCCGAATTTTTTTTTATGATATGTCGATAATGTATGTAATAATTATGAAATTTTTATTATTCGTTCGTTAATAAGACAAATAAAAGCTATTTAGCTAAAATATTGCCATGAATTGTACGTCAGTTCAAAGTTACATCGCCCATTCGATCCCGACCTGTCCGAAACGCAAACTCCGGACTTTACAGATTAATTCATAACAAATTTAACACTGACCGTAAGCGCATATGATGTTTGACAGTTCCCTGAACAGCAGGATCCCGTTGGGCGAGCTGATGTCGAAGTGTAACCGCTGATTTCTATTCTGAGCCAGTTCAGCAGTCAACTTCAGGACCGGAGTGGTCAGAGCCGGTTCCGCGAACCACACCTCTATACCTCGGAGAAGCACCTTCATGTACAAAGCTAACACACATTATATATAATCGTATATATAACTGAATATATATAAAATTTCATAAAAATCGGTCATATATAACTATATATAGAATTTTATATACAGGATGTTTGAAAGATGGGTGCAAAGCTTTAACGCCTTGTTAGTATGGTCCACTTAGAACCGTATTTGACCATGCTTAGCGTTCTTAACGTACGATTTTATTTTTTACCGAATTTTTACAATTTTAGTTGCGAATAAATTAAATAATTTTAGGAAAGTAGATTAAACGACATTTATACTTTTAATAAATACTTTTTGTGTTGAAAATGATAATAAAGATCAATTTTGAACATTCTGTATATGCCTTGCGAACATCACCCCGTCCAATCGATGCCCCGTCCAATGCAAACGGGGATCGAAACTGCAACTGCCTGAGCTGAGGATCGAATCCCTAGTGGTGTTCTCAGACTGACATATTCGTCAGAGTTGGCTTTCACCCGCTTCATTAGTCCTTCCTTTGGTTTGGAGTGCAATCTGCACTCGCTGTGTATTGTCTGGTGAAGCTGTAAAGGCCAGCTGCGACTAACAGCATTAGAGTAGTTCGAAATAATTCTCGTATAGCGCACTCCACGTTTTCATGTCATCAACTCATCTCTTAAATGATTAATCAATTTTGATGTGAAATGGAACGCAACCTAATTTGTAATGTAAAAAAAAACTTTTCTTTTTCCATAAATGCAATGTGTTTCTAAAAATGTGTTTTCTTTCTCTATGTTCAATTTTTTTTTGTAAAGTGAACATTTAATTTATATTCAAAACACTATAAATTTAGATAATAATAAAATTGTGATTTTTTAACGGAAATCTATTAAATTGTACTTACATCCAGTCGAACAGCATCATGTAGGTAGTTTTAGTGTTGAAGGCGAACGCCAACCCTCGTAGATCTCTGGCGAGCCCCACCAGAGTCTTGCGAGCTTCCTCCGAAGCGAACACTGCACTGTCCCCGCCACCCAGCGGCCCGATGATGCTCTCGAAGGCCGCTGTACAGGACATTCATCACTAATTATTTACCAGCCTTTACCAGCCCCGGATTTTCATTTTTTTCAAGGTAAAGAAAGGTAATACTGAATAATGCCACCTCCCTAACACTCCCCTCTCTCCATCAGGCTAACATTTTTACAATGTACATAATAATCATCTTCTTATATATAAAATTCTCGTGTCACAGTTTTCGTTCCCATACTCCTCCGAAATGGATTGACCGATTCTCATGAAATTTTGTGAGCGTATTGAGTAGGTCTGAGAATCGGCCAACATCTATTTTTCATTCCCCTAAATCAAAGGTCTTCAACCCGCGGCCCGCGGGCCACTTGCGGCCCGCCGATATATTTTCTGCGGCCCGTCAATAGACCACTCTCAGTAACGACAACAATTAAGTAATAAACAGTACCTTTAATATAAAATAAAAAGATTTATTATAAAAATACCTGAGGTGCGGCCTACTGTACAGAAAAAAATTTTTTTTGGCCCTCGATTTGTAAAACGTTGGAGACCGCTGCCCTAAATGTTAGAGGTAGTCCACCTCTAATTTTTTTTTTATTTTAAGGACAAAACAACGTTTGCCGGGACAGCTAGTAACTACATAATAATAAATACATACAAACTTTGGTGTATTTACACCCTCATGTCAATGTCAGGTTTGACACATTAGTCTATACTGTCATTGTCAAAATAGAGTAAGATTATTGCATCGTATAGAGACTAATTAGAATGGCGTTTTTGCGAATGTCCAATTGTTGTGTTAAATATTAATCAATAAATATCATTAAAAAGACCTGTTAATTTTATTCATCGTGTCGCCAGAGGGCTTGGTACACATTAATAACTACATAATAATAACGCAAAAACTGAGAAAATGCGACAATAGCGAAAATAATAATAATAATCTGAGGACAATTCACACAGCGCCATCTAGGCCCAAGTTAAGCTAGCTAAAGCTTGTGTTATGGGTGCCGATATAAACTATAACTATGTAATATTATGTTACCTGTGCTATAACTGTATAACATACTTTTCTTTTATATTATACATAGAAAACACCCAGACCGATACAAACCTGTGATGGGCATCATGAACGCATGGAACCTCTCCTCGTCCTCTCCAAGTTCCACCATCAGCAACCTCCCGAGCGCAGTGTACAGCATCGTCCGGCACCGCATCTCCGATGTGCCAACGCCGCTGATGCCCAAGAATGGGAAGTGTTCCGCCTTAAAATAGATCAAGTTAATTGACGGGATCAGTGGTCTAGAAAACTGCTTGACTTGCGATGGTCGCAGGTTCGATTTCTCCCACGGTACTAACATTTGTATTTTAGAGTAATAGAATTGACACTCAACTTTTTTCAAAACGAACACTTGGAAAAATATTAGGACACTTGATATGGTACTATGAATTTCTGAAAATTATTATTGAGGGAAAAACAGAAGGCTTTTCTTCTGTTTTTCCCTCAATAATAAGGAAATTTCCCCATTTCCCAAATTTCCAAGACCAAGACCTAGGCACAGCTACATCAAGCAAATTGAAGACAAAATTGGAGTCGTGTCGTTTCAACATTTAAAAAGCATGATGGAAGATCGTAGAGTGTCAAGAGCTCCACCGATAGAGCGTCGCTTTTAAATTATGAATGAATTGATTCATAATTTAAGAACGAGATTAAGATTGGTAAATAATGCATGCAGAACAAAAATCTGAAGATTTTGCCAAACTGAAGAGGAAATGCCACTACACAGTGGTTGTAGCCGACTCATGCATAAACGAAATGTTTCCTTTGGAAAGTTTACACTCATTCCCGAGGAGATAAAAACCATTGCTCCTAATTAATATCCTTCAATTCTTATCCCTGACGGGTATATGTAGCGAATTCTGAAAAAGGGCGAGCACAATAGATCTATGTAGATCGCAGTGCATAGCCCAAACAACCCAATAAAAAAAAAGATTGGTGAATTTAACAATCACCAATGTCAAAGGTTCCCAAAGTTGGCACACGCAGACATACTGACCGTGTGATGTGTGAGCATGAACTGCGTCTCCTCCAGCTTGACCAGCTTCCTCACGCACGAGTAGCCTCCACTCAGGTCGCTCAGCAGCCCGAGGGTCTTCGCTATTATCTGTTCGCTGCCACCCCAGTACTTCAAATTTGTGATGCTGTAGATTAATTATATTCACCCATTACTAATGCGAAAGTATCTACGTCTGTTTGTCTGTCTCGCTTTCAGCCAAAACTACTGATTTAAATTTAATTTGCTATACAGATAGTCTAGACCTACTATAAGCTACTTTTAATGCGAAAAAAGGGATGTAAGACTATTGTTTGAATATAAATAAAGAAAAAGGGTTTTAAGGGGTTGAAAGGGGAGATGAAGGGTTGTATGGAAGTATCGATATTATTAAAGCTATAAATATGAAACTTATTTTTTAGGCTATTGATTAAATATAAATAAATATGACTTTCAAACTTTGTAAAAAATTAGGGGATAATATAAAATAAAAGATAAAAGCTTGAAAGGAAAATCCTTATTTTTGTAGTTAAAACAATGAAACATTTTTCTATTACTTTTTTGGATTAAATTATTGAATATTTTTCTTTATTTGGTCAAAGTTGGACAAACGGACGAAGCCGTGGGCACAGCTAGTATATAATATTAGTAAGGTCAACTAACATTTTCCTCATGAGGACACTGAGAAGCTGACTCTCATCGCTGAGGCCGAGCACCTCACTCAGCCGCCGGTACACCTTGCTGTTCTTCTGCACCTGCTCGCCCACGTATATCCTGCGGAACTGCTCGAAGAACGACATCATGGCCAGCTCCAGTTTCTCACACCCACCCTGTTATAGGAATAAAGTTCAATTTCACATAATTAATATATATGTAGGATTTTAAACTTAGCGGTATGAATGAATGGGAATGAATGAGTATGAATGATTGGAAATGGAGGAGTGAATGAATGAAGAACGGAATGATTGAGAAAAGGGGATAGGCATGACTATCTTCCTCTAAACTGCCATATAATTAGATCGTTTCATCTGTTTTTTTTTAATTGAAATAACAGGAGTTCTATAAAATCATTATCCTGTTATTTGCGAATCCTCATTCCCACAATTTTGGGAGCTCGTCCGGGATTTGAACCCGCAATGAAATAGAATATTTTTTATTACTAACATAAGTTATGTTAAGTTGTTACTAACAAAATAGACTATGTAGTCTGACAATAAATTATTTATTATTAATAATAATAACCTCACGACAATTCACGCAGCGCCATCTAGTCGCAAGCTAAACAGAGCATGCATTTTGGGTACTAGACAACCGATATAATCATCTGCTTCTTCCTTATCCCATTTATTTGTGATCGGCGTAATATGTTTTTCTCTTCCATTCATCCTTCTTCAGTCATCTCGTTATTTACTCCCTTTCTTACCATATCATCTTTCTCACAATACATCCATCTCTTTTCGGCCATCCTCTGCCCTTATGATGAATTCCCAAGCAATGGCGAGCGGTGCGATGGTAAGGCATCATGTCGAACAATTCCTCAGAACACAGTCCGTTATATATTCGGCAGAGCACACAAGGTATAATATTGGCATCTACTGACCCTGGTGAGCCTGGAGTCTGTGAGATTCATCAGCTGCAGCACCCTGCAGACCAGCTCGCCGTCCATTGCGTCGTTGTCGTCGCTCGTGTTGGCTGAAGCCCGACCACCTATCGCTGCTCCAATGATGTAGACCAGCCACGTCAGTTGACCTGATATTGAAGTATATTTTTGTTTATTTATATTCATTTCAGGCTACCAGGGCCATATTATAAATACCTTATAAACTAACATATATAAAAGGGGGAAAGAGAATTGTTAGTAATATGGACTGATGATTTATTGCTACCGATCTATATTCTCTATCTATGGATTGTTAGTAATGTGACCCCATTACTAGCAATGTACCATGTTAGGTTGACCTCCACGCGGTTCTCCCTGGAAACCATCGTGATAAATTCCTGGTGAATTTGTCACGATGGGCTAACGAACCTGACCTCATATTCATCTTATCATCCTCCACTGGTGCCCCGCCAGCGTAAACCGTAAGCGCAGGCGGGTGCCCATACCATTGTGGATGATAATAGTATGGTGCACCCTCCTGGGCTTTTGCGGTTAGGTAATCATTACATAGTAAGCACTAGTTATGATGACCACTTAGGCTTTGAAGCCGGCTACCGCAAGATGATTCAAGAGGAAGGTTTATATGTGAACAACTCATAGTATAATACAGTATGCTAAAATCTTTAAAACTACGCAACGGAATTTGAAGTGTTTTTTTTTAAATAGATAGTGATTCAAGAGGTAGGTTTATATGTATAATACAGTACACCCGGAAGAAGTCAGGGCGAGTAGCTAGTACAAAAAAAAAAATAGATACATATAATACATAGAAAACATCGAGACCGATACAAACAATGATAATCATGAATACAAATGTTTGTGCCGTGCGAGGAATCGAACCCACAACCATCGAAAGTAAGGCGGTGTGCTAATCCGTTAGTTCATCGAAGTCGTCAAAATAAATGTACCCCAATGCTGAAAATACAAACAAATTATTCATCTATATATCTACCTTGCAGCACGAGGATCTGGTGGGGCTGCTGCTCGACGCTGTACGCAGCCGCTGCCCGGTCGAAGTGCGCTACCAGCAGCTGGCAGGTCTTGCCGTACTCGCACCGACCGATCACTGACAGCTGTTCCAGCTGCTGCTGCACGGTGCCCACCTCGTCCAGGGGATCTTCAACACCTTCGCTGCGGGCACATATTGTTGTTAATATCAACTAATCGCTCACAACTATTACACTACATTACACTAATAATGAGTACGTAGTGATTTCTATGTTAATTATCACATGCCTCTTACTCGATATAATTACAGTAATTAATTATATAAAAAACATCTATTAAAAAGAGCAACACACAAGTTTCTTGCTCATTCTTCTTGTGATGAATCTGCATTCCGAATGAGTGGTAGATTCAATATATGACTACTCAAAAGGGCTTGTAATTTTATTCATTTATTTGAATAAAGATTATTTCTATTACAACTTTGCAATGCATTGAGGGATGAGGGTTACTATTAATTCTTATCCTTACTATATATAATATATAAATGTGAAGTTGATTAGTTACGTTGAGTTAAGAAGAAATGATTGTTACCTTTTCACGGAAAAACTACTGAACCGATCAGCATGAAATTTTGTATACATGCTCTTGGAGGTATTAGAACGAACAAAGGGTACTTTTTAATAAAAATAAAATAATCATTTTTATTAAAAGACAAAAAAATAAAATTGCTTATAATTATTTGCTACTTCAGCGCCATGTAGCAGCCAGTAATGAAGTTATTTAATGGATTCAATGCGAGCGACATGACGCTCGTAAAAGGTAGTTATTATGATTATAAAGGCGAAAGTTTGTGAGTATGGATGGATGTTTGTTACTCTTCCATGCAAAAACTACTGAACAGATTTCCAAGGTAATTTCTGGCAACACTCAGTATCCTGTTTAAAACAAGTGTTGTTCAGAATTACATTATTAAAAATTTTGTGCGAATACAAACTGGCAATTAGCAAAGTTGATATAAATAAATTGTATTATAAGAGCAACACACAAGTTTCTTGCTCGTTCTTCTTGTGACGAGATAGCTTTCCGAATAAGTGGTAGATTTAAAAAAAATGTGATGACTATTCAAAAGTGCTTCAATGTAAGTTTATTTGAATAAATGATTTTCTATTCTATTCTATTTGTATAAATAGTACTTGAGTACCAAAACAAATCAATCATAGTTATCAGAGCAGACCAATCCCTACAAGCGGAGCCCACGAGTATAACGAGGAAGCCAGCCATCACCCAATCATATATTAGGAGCCCTGATGACCCGTTAACCACGCCACCCCCTCTCTGGATATTTAAGAAAGCATAACTGACTCATGACACGCATATTGATGTCTAGAGTACTTTCAGAACACGTCTGCCTAATTCTAGGATAGACAATGTAGGGTGTACCTACAGTTGTGAAAAAAAAACCGTTATTCAACCAAATTTGTGGATAGCTACTGATAAAATGCGGATAACTAACCGTTAAGTTATCCGATTGCTACAAAGTAAGATTAAAAATATATCGTAGTACTTTTTTTTTCGGACTACTCTATGCTATTGGCCGCAGCTGGCCTTTAAAGCTTCACCGGACGATAGGGGGGCGAGTGGTGATGGCACTCCAAACCAAGGAAGGACTGTTATTTTTATTACTTACTTTACTATAAACATGGAGCGGCTGATGGCCAACTCGCGCCTGACGGATACGACTTTAGTCTAAGGACACCGCTAGGGGCTCCAACTAGGGCTCAGGCCATCGTAATATCAATCCCCGTTTGAATTGGATCGATCGGAGGCAAACTATTGCGTTGTGAATCACGAGAAGTATTAAGATACACCTGTTTATTACCCGCTACACATATGTATATAGTTTTAAATTACAGTTGTTTACTTAGATTTGTAAATAAAAAAAAAACATACAGTAAATGTTTTTTTTTATTTTACAAATGTGAGAATATTATGTGATGCAAATTTTTGTGATGATAATAATAATAATAATCATTTTGTGTAGCTATTTCTCACATACAGAAATATATCTATAAGTCTGGATGATGAAACTCCTACAGCTTCGGGGATTTTGTAATGCTTATCATATGTGTACATTAAAATAGTCCAGTCAGGAGCAATACCTAGACCCTAGTCTTTGTTGTGGTCAAACCTTTTGTGGGCTCAAGGCTGCTCAAAGTGTCACCAAATACGGTTAATTAACCGTTAATAACGTAAAATACATTTTTAACCGGTTTCGCATGTATAGGTTTACCTGACTACGCAGGAGACGGAGTCCAGTCTGGATCCGATATACGCCTGTGTAACACCCGGCGCGTACGTCTCCAACAGATGAGGTTCCGTGGCCTTCACGTATGGAACTGATGCCACCATGCGTTGCCATAGCGACAGCAGATAGTGTACGGAGTTCGGCGCGAACTGCCACATCTATAAATAGTATATTCCGCGTTAAAAATTAATACTAACTCTAAGTACCTACCTTTACACAACACATTCTTTCACGAGCAATTTGGAGCGTGCACGATTTAGCGCAGGGAAGCCAGCGCGCTCAATTGTGAAAGTATTTATGCCCTATTTACACTCAGCCCAAGTGGGCGGGGAAGTGAGCAGCGCGAGAGTGGAAACACTTCCCATGCCATTGGCGCTGCGACTCGCGCTGCCCGGCGCTCCCTCGATTGTCTGTTTTTCGTGCGCGTGTTAAAGGACTGGCAGCGTGAGTGGCAGCATGTTTTTACATTCAGCCTTCTCGCTCAGTTGTCGCCCGGCAATATTTCCGGCAGCGCGAGTGGCAGGGGAAGCGGTTGAATGTAGCATATTTAATTTCTTTCACATTATTTAAAAGACACACAGATTTCATTTTCCAAAGACACAATTAAAATTTATGATTTATCAATAACTCTAAAATTATGTATATTATTAAATTTGATTAAAGTCTTTTCACGGCCTATTAAAAATTGTATTTTTTATTCTATAGATTTCATTTTCCAGAGATACGTATAAGATTTATTAACTATCAAAAACTCCATAATTATGTTTTGCTTCATAGTCAGATGACCGCCATTTATGATAATTAATTATTTTAAAAAACGCTAAAGCACGCACGACTGAAGAATGCGAGAATGCTCGAGCTGGAGTTAACAGCAAAAAAATTGCGTCCGAATAAAGGGCTATAATAATAATAATAATAATAATAATAATGCGTCCTCTCCCTGAATAACCCCGGCCGACTGTGCTTCTGCCGGGCTATAATAATAATAATAATGAAAAGTTGTACTAGAGTTACAGCCTTTGTAATACGATGTAAAGGTTGTTGTTGGCCAATAAACGCGTCCCAAGTAATATGTATTTTAATTATTATAATATTTAGAAACTTTAATGAATGTACATCCCGCTTCCAAATGCCACCATATTTATAAAAACACCTTACAGAACTAAAACGATTAACGCCACTGACCTGCAAGCTCTGGACTGTGAACTTGGCGACGAGCTCGATCATCCTGGGGTAGTTTTCCACCATGACCAGTTCGCCGAGCTGATAGTTGGACTTGAGACGCGCCAGCAGCCGGCAGAACTCGTGATAATTCGTTGGATCGGACAGGCCCTGGATTTTTATAAGTCATATTATTACAATATTGCACTAATCTTTGTATTTGTGATTTTTTATAATGAAAGGATAACACTCTACTCCAATTACTTAAAAGAACTTGATAGTAATATTGATAAAAGTAAACTAACAAGTTTTTTTAAGTAATTGGACCCCATTGACATAATTTCTAACAATATACTCAGTGAAATACGTCCTGTTGACCTCTATGCGGTTCCACTTAGAAACCATCACGATAAACAGCTGATGAATTTGTCGAGATGGATTAACTGAGCATCTTATCATCCTCGAGCTCCAGCGTAAACCGTTAGCGTAGAGAGATGTTCATTCCATTATGGATCCTCTCCGATAGTCGCGAGTTTGATATCTCAAACGAGCACAAAGATACAAACATTGGTATTCATTAGTATGATTGTTGTGTAATATACACTATTCTATTTTTTTTTGTTCTTTATTTGTTGCAAGAAAAGGTATAAATAAAATAAAAAATTGTTTGTATTGATCTGGATCTTTTCTGTTTTATTATGGATGTTTTTATAAGAAAAATGCATTAAAAGTATTTATACCTATTGTCAAGTACCCACGGCAGGAGCTCTATTTAACTTAGAACTAGATGGCGCTGTACGAAATGTCCTGAGATATTATATTGTATATTACTGAGTCCTTGACCAAATAAATAAATAATGTTTATATTATTTATTTATATGTATATGATACGGGCTCTGCTTACTTTGGGACTAGATGGCGCTGTATCAATAGTCAAGGGTTATCATTATTATTACAGCTTTAGTGTATACCTGTGTATTTTCCAATATCCTGAGCACGCCAGCTGCGAGCCGATTGAGGAACTTCGCCCGCTCAGTATTACTGAACAGTGAGCGGCGAACTGACGCGATCTGCACGAGGCAGGCCAGCGCCAGGCTAGCCAGACCTCCGCCCAGCGCGTGGTACAGTGAGAAGAACAGCTCCAGGGTCCCTGGTTCTAGGAAGGTCGGTCGCCACGATGTTGGTATCTGGATGGAAATATCTCACAATAAAAATGCGGAGCTTTGTGAGATAAATGGATAATTGTTATTCCTTTGCACATAAACTACTGAATGGGTTTTAAAGAAATTTTACAATAATACAGCTTATAAAGTTTTCCTACCGTCCAGTTCAGTATATAGATCCAATAGAGAAGAACTGACAAGAAACTCAATAGAATAACTTTTTTGTTAAAAAGCCAATTTATTCACAATCTATATTTATATAGGTGTCTATATTTAACAATAAATAAAAATCCCGTGCATGGACAATGCACGCTCGTCATTCAAGTAATTGTTTAGTGAGTAATAGAAGCCTATTACTCAGTAAATATGATTTAACAGATGTTTACAATTTATTTAAGAGTAATTCCAGTATGTCCTTTGGTATCTTATTGTAAATTCTCATACCCAAAGACCTAATGACTTTTTCTGAATGATTCATGAGGACAGCAAGTTTGTCTTTAAATCTAGTATTAATATTATGAACAATAAATGTTTGCTCTTTCTTTACCTGTACAGTGCATAGATCATCTGATGACTCATCACTGGTGGTGCCTATGAAGTCGAAAGTCAAGCAGTTATGGGCCAGTCGGAGTACAGCCGCCAGGAGCGCGTGCTGCCTCTCGTCTGCCAGTTCCACCTCCAGCTGTTTGCCGCGAGTCGCGCTCAGCAGAGAGCAGGCCAGCCGGAAGATTTCGAACAGCTGCCCATCACTGAATGAATGAAGGTTTTATTAATAACTAGCATTACCTGCTGTTTCAACTGCGTTCAATTTCAATAACAAATATAGTTTATATGTTATTCTGATGCATAAGCTCTATTACTGTAAAGATTATTCAAAATCCGTTCAGTTGTTTTTGCGTGAAAGAGTAATAAACATCCATACTTACAAACTTTCGCGTTTATATTATTAAGATCAGTTATACGCCCCGGCTTCGCATGGACCCAATATTTGTTGTAAAAAGTAAGCATTATCTTCATAATATTTCCATTTTAATTTAGCTATTTGGTTCTATAAGAATTTAGTATGTCAGTCAGCCAGTAACATTCTTTTTTTATTAAAACTAAGATACCTCCTAAAGTGTTCATTGAAATCGTTTCAAAAATTGTTTCAAATGCTTATAATAAAGAACGTATTTATTTGGATAACAATTAATACCATGTTTATGAAAACACCTTCACAAATAATGCATTATTTTAGAAGAAATTTGATTACAATAAAAAAGGTGATAGTGAGTTAACCTTATAAATGGAACTTTGAAAAAGGGCGAGCACGACCTATGGTGGTCGCAGTGTTCCAGGTCTGAGCACCTGATAATATCCCAAAACCTCCAATAAAATAAAAAAAAGTCTTAAAAGATAGAGATATCTTATCGCGCCGTGTGATTTTTTACTAGGTTTTTTTTCTCACACATCCCAACGTCGCCCCTCCGACGGGGGGACTGTCTTTTCAAGAAGTTTCCACCCTTTAAAAAAAGGGTACCTACTAGACAACTGATAAAATACATATTTGTTCGTAAATGCATATTATATACACAGAAAACACCCAGATCAATGTTTGTGCCGTGCGAGAAATCGAACCTGCGACCATCCAGTAAGGCGATCAACCACCGCTATACCATCAGAGCCGTCAAGTTTTAGTTGGCGGAAAATGTGAATAATTACCGAAACGAGGAGGCAATCTTTCTATGCATGGCCAGGGACCTGTTCGCATCCGCTTCAGACACCTGGTTCATCTCCACCACTAATTGGGACAGCAGCTGCACACCCACTGTGCACATATCCGCAGGACCCTGGAAGTGTAAAAATTCAAATAAAATCCTTACTAATAATACTTTATTTGCCAAATGTAGGTAAGCAATAAGGTGTTAACAATATATTGTTGAGATCCGTACATCTATACATATAAATAAAATTGGAGTGTCTGTTTGTAATATTGAAATAACCGTTTTTTACTATATGCATATGAATATAAATACATACACCAAAATAACATTTTTTATAATTTTTGTCTGTTGTCTATTTGTTCTGGCTAATCTCTGAAATGGCTGGACCGATTTTGATGGGACTTTTTTTGGCAGGTAGCTGATGTAATAAGGAGTAACTTAGGCTACTTTTATTTTAGAAAAAATAAAGTTAAATTCTACGCGGACCAAGTCACGTGTACAACTGTTGTACGCCGATCCTATTTAGATGTAATTTGGTACACAGAACATTTTAGACCTTTTTATTTTAGTGTGAGTATTTTAATATGAAAAAAGGGTTATAAGGGGTTGAAAGGGATGATGATAGGTTGTACGGAAGTATCGTTATTTTTAAAGGTAGAAGCTCGTTATTAAAATTAATTTTTTAGGCAGTTGATTAAATATGACTATATAAATTAAATATGATATATAAATTACTTTTGAATAGACTCTGTTTTTAGTCTATTTCGTATGAGTGATAGGTGAGAGAACTTGAGAGAGAAATGAGACGAACGAGCGAAAAACTAATGTATTGCATTTTTTAATAAATGTTATTTTAAATAAATAGACAGTACTAAGTAGGTATATAAAATAGACATAAAATAATATATAGCAGTACCTGCAGGAAGCTGGTGACGTCATTCATGACGCTGTGGAACACATACTCCCCTTTGGTGACATCGAACCAGCCCAGTTTTGTGATCCGCGCGAACACAGACACCAGCGACTGTGTACCAAACAAAAACACCATAAAAATAATGACGAACCTCCTTAATTTAGAAAAAAATATATAATTGACTTACTTTTTTATTATGTAAGTAAAAAAAACTATGTATTTATATAAGTTGTCTAGTATCTAAAACACAGGGTTCTGCTTCGCTTCGACTAGATGGCGCTGTGTGAAGTGTCTTGGGTTATTATTTCTGTAATTGTTTTGATATAGGTATTTTACTCATGTAGACATACCTGTATGACAAAATTGGCCAGTTTGGGCCGCGTGGCGAGGTAGTTGAGTACATAATTTCTGATGTCCAGACGCTGCTGCACTTGTAGACTTGTGGTGGATCTAAATAATAAATTGAGTTTTACAATATATACATATTTTATTTATTTATTTATTTATTTATTTACAGGCTACTATTGGCCCATATTATAAATACCTTATAGACTAACATGCATAAGAATTAATTGTATAATAATAACATAAAATTGTCTGTGTGGTCATGGCACTGACAACGGTATTCTGTAACGGTAGTGCTGATACACCACCCCCTTCGGCCAGTAGTGCTCCTTCATGACGGTGGTCAACATGCTGTTGGGGACCCAGGCCAGAAATATCTTATAACTCGTATTTTATGCTAGCTCAACTTGTGAACAGCTTATGCTTGTTGGAACTGATTATACAAACTAGAGAAACAATGGCCCACAACTGTTATATAGTGAGAAAAGGGCATTGTTTTTTTTTGAGGGTGATATTGGAATGATGCACCTGTCTACGCTAAGTGTGTATGCTGGCGGGGCACTAGTGGAGGATGAGGAAATTAGCATAATGCCAAGTTTAAGCTTATGCTGCTATGATAGGGTCCACTAGATCTTAATACTAACATTTCCCTCCCATCCCTCAATAAAGTAGCATAGACAAGTACCTGCTGATCAACTTGGAGAGTGTGGTTGCAGCCAGTAACTGCGAGTAGCTGGAGTCTGCTCGCTCCAGCAATGCTTGACATTTGCTCAGCGTATCCGGAGATTCCTGTGGTCATTTTAATTAAAAATTACTATAGACTCATTTTAATTAATGAAAAATGGCTGTTGTGTGATTGTAATTAATGAAAATAGCTGTAGATTCGATTTCGCATCTACAGCTTTTTTTATGGAATGCAGATGAGTAAAGTTTCCAATGTGAAGCCCCTCTACATGACAACATCACAGAACATATTCGCTTATAGTCCTAGGACTGATCGCAAATGTACTAAGAGAAAAAAAAATTTATTATTGAATAATGGCTATATAGTTCATTTATATGTGGTTGAAGTGGGTGCAAGAGGTATACCAATGAAATCTCTCTACAATCTTCTAATAGAAGTCTGTTTAGAAGTTTCTTTCATTTAAGATATGAACTCTAAAATACCATACCTGAAAAGCAACAACTGCCTTCTCTGCCTGATCACGGATATTTGGATCCTGTGACTCGTACAGCTGTTTACACAGCACTTCTATTTGTATCACCTCCTGTTAATTATTAAAAAGGAAACATAGTTTTAAAATTTATTAGAATAAAAATCTTTCTTTATGATATTTTTTGGTTTTATGGCATGGTCTTTCAGTGTTTTAGTAGTAGTACTCAAAGGTCTTGAGTTCAAAAGAAACAAAGTTTTGTATTGGTAGATACAAAAACAAAACTTTATTTCTTAAATATACAATAAAGTTTTGTTTTGACAAACTTTTTCCAATGCATATTTTTGACTGATTCTCCAGTGATATATGTAAACTTTTTACCATAGCACCACTCACCATCGGCAGACATTAAGGTCTCTGAAGTACAAAATGCACATGACATTCCTGGTATTTCAGACGTCCATAAATACCCAATTATAATTAGATGGCCCATATACTTGATTGTGATATAGTATTAAAATAACTAAACTACTCCTAATTAATTATAGTATAGTATAGAATTGAAATTGTATTGATACCAGTTCTGGCTAAACCAACATAAGCACTAACTTACTAATACAATATTATTTTACACTAGCTGTATATGAGTCTTCATTTGCATGGCATTTAACTTTATTTTTCTAAAATAAAGGTAGCCTAAGTCATTCCTTATTACATCAGCTACCTGCCAATAAAAGTTCAGAGATTAGCCGGAACAAACAGACTGACAGACAAAATTGTAAAATATGTAATTTTGGTGTATAAACCGTATTTATATTTTTATGCATATAGTAAAAAATGGTTATTTCAATATTACAAACAGACACTCCAATTTTATTTATATGTATACCCTATCTGATCTAGCACTTTACTTCCAATAAGTGAGGGTTTGATTTCTTGCATGATGTAAACATTTATATTACTGGTTATAAGATTCTAGTTGTTACTATATATATTATACATGCATTTACAAAAAAATGTATGAAGTTCTGCTTAGTTCGAGACTACATGGTGTTGCGTGAATTAATATTTTATTACATTATTTCCGAGTACAAAATTTATCCTCAGAAATTAACCAATAAATTACTTCAATTGATCAAGTGTAGCGGCAGGATTTACTAGTACATCAGTTATTAGTAATCACAACAGAACATCCATGAATTAGTAATATGGCACGAGTTTTCGTATTTGTGTATTATGAAATTTATTTATCTGCTTAGTAACTAAGTCGTAGATGACAGTGTGACAGAAAATCTACGAAAGTTGAGATAACAACTTTCTCTCCAAATGTCATACGAGTAAATACATCATAATATAACCAAAAAGCCGGCTAGAATAATCTAGAAATATCAGTAGATGATCATATCGTTAGAAATTACAATTAAACGTGAAATTAATACGCTAAAGATACATTTATCAAGCATTATTTAAAGGGTCAGGCCCCTCTTGATGGCTATAATGATTGTGCGAGATACTCTAAAACATGAAAGTAACTGTTGACCTTTTGTTGTAGTTATAACAGGAATGTATCAAGGATTTATTACTCTTAATGGTTATGTATAATTCAGTTAATATCAAACAGAAATCATAATATTTTGGTACTCACCTGTTCTTCAGCCATTTTTGTTATTTTCTTGCATTTGAGTGACGTTTCGTTTCATGCATTTTGTTATAAGCCAACCACTGGATTCGTTTAATGTTTTAAGGAATGATATGAAAACGCTCATTGTGTCAACTATTACTAATTATTAATTATAAATAAAAATATTACTGTATTAATTTTGTAATTAGATCAACCAATGATAGAAAAATTATACTATTTTAATTATTTGTCTTTGCTTCAGTAAATATTAGTGTCTGCATAGATTGTAACGCTGCACTCTTTTAAACACGGTTCACTCAAAAACGTTTTATTCCAAAACGCAGTTCAAGAAAAATAACAATTGTAAAAATAAAGTTTAACACGTAAAATAGAAAAAATACCTATTTTTAATTTAGGTAGTTATTAATTGCGTAGTATAATAATAATGTTGTTAAATAAACTTTAGTACAATAAATAAGTATTACCATTAGTCATTAAAAAAAAACACAGCTTACAAATTTCAATTCAATTTGCACAAAAATGTACACATGTATTTCGTGTTGTAGGTAGATGACATACAAGAACATAGTAACTTAAATACTGGCTGAAAATGATATTCGGGCGTAAATAAATAATTTATGAATTAATCATGATAGAACAAAAGCAGTAGATAATGACAAATTTTCTCGCAGTTTTGGATTGAACACAAAAAATGTAGTTTTATTTTCGCTGATTATCAATAACAAAATTATTCTGGGTCTAGCAAAATGATAACAACATTCTTAAAAATAAATAGGGTTTGTTCACAGACCCCTGTTCCGCGTATTTTCTGGAACGAAACATGGACTACACCCAGTAAAGTAGAAAAACGTAAGTCTATTTACGTATTTAACTAGATTTAAGGGGAGGGTGGTTCCTATCCTAGGTCGACCTCTACGAGTTATCTCCTGGAAACCATAGTGATTTTACTTACGAGATAAATATAGAATTGGTATCGCTTGTGCTAACGGTATTTACTGGAGATTACCAGTGGAGGATGATGAGACTGAGCATGAAGTCAGATCAGTCCCATTTTGGCAAATGGCAATTTACTACTATGGTTTCCAGGGGGAACCGCGTGTAGGTCAACCTGACATAGTATGTTGCCAGCAATGGGGTAATGGGGCAAATAGTTCACATTACTAACATTTTTCCCCACAAAGCAGCATCGTGGGTTACGTTTCAGTTGGAAGGGTGAGATATGGCAGTGGAAATACAGGTTATATTTATTATATAACCTGTATGACAGATGCAAATAAGGGCATAGACTTGGACTGCTTTGGAATGCCAGTGGCGTCTTAGATGTGGATAGTCGGATAGATGTTTGTTCCTGTTTCATGCAAAAACCACTGAATGCATTTTGATGAAACTTTGCAATAATATAGCTTACACATTAGAATAAGACATAAGCTATATTTTAAAAATATTGCGTGGACCAGCTAGATCATCAATATTTGTATTAGTAGTTTAAACGTAATAACGCAATGTAAAAACGGATTTACTTTTATTAAATTTAACTAACAGCTTCGATCTAAAATTGCAACAAACCAAATTAAAGGTTTGCGATAACACCAATTCATGTGATCTATCACATGAATTGGTGTTATCTCTCATCTCATCTTTTTTATAATATATTGGCTGTGCCGGCCGTTTCACCTATGTATAAGCTATATTACTGTAAAGTTTCATCAAAATCCGTTCAGTAGTTTTTGCATGAAAGAGTAACAACATCCATCCATACTCACAAACTTTTGCGTTTATAATATTAATAAGATATATCTACATATATTTGGTAAAAAAATCTCACTTATTCAAAGCTACAGAAACTTGGTATAATTAATTACTGCCCTAATTGTAACTATTTATTGAAATATTATTTCCATTGCTATTCGCCAAAAGCAGTTGTAAAGTAGTTGTACATAGACTAAAGAAAAAAGGCGAAAAAAGTCTACGTAAAACCACATATAAAAGAATATTGTAATAGTCTGCATTCCATCTGATAATTAAAAAATATAAAAAATGTGTTGACTTTTCTCGCTATTTTTCAGTGTCTACCAGTGTGCTGCACAAACGGAAAAGCACGACATCTAGCGAAGACGAATGTGAAAAATGTAAGCGTATCATAGAAATTATCTTTGCACCAAACAAGCCAGATGTTGATGCAGCGACAGTTGAAGCCAATAAGCTGACACAAGAAATAAGACAAGATCGTATAACTCAAATTATAGCTTCTGCTGTACGTAAGGACGAAACCGTTTATGAAAATTGCAGTAGAAATATATTCGGCGAAAGTAAGTCTGAAAATGATAAAAATATTACGGAACACGGAACTGGTACACCCAATAATATCACGTTACAATCAATCACGGCAAAGCATGCCGAAGAAAAACTTGCACAAAAAATTGAAATAATCAATGAAACACCAATAGGTGAATCTGCTAAACCTACAACCGAAGAATTAAATACATTTCCAAAAGTTTTAGGTAACAAAACGGAACCAATCACATCGACTGTTTCTAATAACTTGAATAATAATCGTAACGATGTACAAAACGCAATAATAAACTTAACTTCTCATGATACACTCGACGAGTTAGCAAAACGATGTCTCGATTCACCAAACAATAAAATCGATGATCATATTTTAAAGGAAATGGAAAAACTTGGTATCCCACAGACGACTGCACATAGAGAATCAACTATACCTATAGTAGACCATGAAGTTATGCAAATAGATATATTGGAAAAACCTTATAAAACTATTCAGAAATCTCAGGTTGAATTAGAAATACGTGTATTGGATCCTGTACATACAACTGAAACAGTTAACACATTTGGATTAGATTTCAATAATGACAAAAGATGTTCTTCTGAAGAAAAAAGTACAAAATTTTGCTCAGTACAAAAACATTATGCTAAAGAGGATTGTAGTCACTTAGAAAACGAGGGATTTGAAGAATGCAACGAACTAGAAGAAGTAGATACTACAACCTCTGTAACGAATATTAAACCTCTTTCTCAGGATAACAATTCAAACTTAGAGGGAATCTCCACCCATATTCATAACATAATTGCAGCAAATGATGAGATATTGGGTGTACCAAAATTGAAATCTTCTACATCGTCTGTAGAAAGGACAATTACACTTCTCCAGTCGATGAATAGACATTCCCAATCAGTGGTTTATTCAACAGCACCAGATGATTATTCAGACCTAATAAAAAATTTAAAGGCACATGAAAATTTGAAAGCAAACAGGGAAGCAATCCAAAAACTGGAACGTGATGGAACTAATCCGTCCACACCTTCAGGAAATGATCCATTGCAAATAGATCCGAGATATTCATACCAAGAAGAAGAAATGTATATTTTAAAACGTATACAAACTGAAAAATCTGACCTACCTTTAAAACTAGAAAGAATAAAACCTCATTATTTAAAAGATGAACCTTCCATTATTGCTAAAGAATATTCTGCTCGCACGGAACCTGCGGTAGTGATAAAAGAATGTGCTGATACTCTTCCACCTGAAGAGAACGCAATGGAAAAAAAGATAATCAACGACCTTATTGATGGTGACAGAACTTTACCTCATCATTTGTTGGGTGATTTATCAATTTTTTCAAAATTTGCACCAGAATCTGTACCAAATATTCAAGATTCAAGTGAATTAGAAAATTCCAGTATGAAACCAGAGCGAACACAACCGTATTACTTGCAAGATGATCCAGCAATAATTTCCAAAGAATTTTCTCCATTTACTGCACCGTCTATATTAATAAAAGAAGATATAAGTCGGAATGTAACTGAAGCGAATTCATATAATTTGAATCCCGAATGTGGAAATGCACAAAATGAAGAAAATCGTTCTGAAAATAACCAACAAATAATTTCCAATAACAATATTCATGAAAAAGAGGTAGAGACCACGAAAGAATCACCAGAACGAGATTATTTCAATACGACACCTATTTTAGAAGATAATGGAATACTTAACGATCCGTACAGTGAGAAATCAATAGCTTTTGATACAGACGATTATGAGTTTGACGCTTTGATATCCCGAAAAGGTAGAAATAGAACTATACAACCAATAATACCAAATAAGGAGCACTTGGATGATAGTATATTGAAGGCAATGCCTTCCAGTGAAATGCGTCAAATAGCAGAAGATGAGTATTCTGAACCTGTCATATATACAGAAACTGGTCGTTTTAGTGAAACCGTACTCAACACAAATGAACATTCCGAACATAGTCAGTCTCAAGAGCAATTATTGTATACCACTATTCAACCTGAGGCTATTGTCAATCCACGTCTTGACAAAGAAAAGAAATATTCAGAGGTATTAGAAATTGCAAGTACGGAAACCATAGATTCAAATTTAAAAAAGGGACCTGAAGTTGCTTCAAAAACAAAATTAAATTTGGACACTGAACAAATCTCGATGAAAGAGTTATTGAAAAGAGTCAGAGAACGTAACCGCCTCGAATGTTATCGCGAGGTTGCGTTTAAATCTGGAGGGACAGAATTGGAACCCCTCTTGGGAAAATGTGGACAGCCGAAAAAACCATGTCCATCACCAGCCCCTGAATGCCCTCCAAAAAATCCTTGCCCACCTCCTCCTTGTCCTCCACCACCGCCACCCTGCCCGAAGCCTTGTAAACCAGCATGTCCTGACCCTTGTGCACCTGCCAAGCCAAGTCGCCCGCCAATCAAAAAGAGTCCATGTGAAAAATTCAAAAAACAAAAGTTTAATCAGATTAGGGACACTCTAACCGTTCTTCTAACCCCTAAACCAAACATATCCTACTACAAGACTAAAATGAACTTGACTTCTTCAAAATCTTTGGTGACAGAAGATATAATTACGAAATTTAATTATTTAGGCAATCATTTGCGCGTGGTATATCAGCGAGGTCGGAATGATTCCTTTGCTAATGAATTCGCGAAGACCTCAGGTGAAAGTTCAGGATCTTTGGCTTACGCGAAGGATTACGAGCCGTGGGTGCCAATACCTTCGTGGCCAATACCGGAAAAAGAAAAGCAAAAGAAGTTTGTCTGCCCCAAAGAAGGATGCAAGCAGCTCCCGCCGCCGCCGTTGACTCAACCGTGCAAGGACAACCATTGTGCTAATCTACCAAAACGCACTTTTTCGATAATTGACATATTTTTCAAAAGATTAGGCAAGAAAAGCATATTTGATGTTAGAAATTTATAATATTTTAGTCAATTTGATGTATAAACAACGAAAATAAACTGAGCCTTCGTTTTTTTTAATATAAATATATGATTAATGCTGTTATAGTCAGAAACATTATCAATTCTCGACGTCATGGTGAACATAGTCAGGCAGGCATTTTGGAGTAGGTAAAAGAAAATAATCTATTGAACAAGTGTATTGGATTGGACATAAAATGCCCTCTTTTTTCGTAGTCGGTTAAGAAATACAATGAATGTATGACTACATTCCTTGTTAAAATTATAAGCAATTCTCATAAAATGTATTGGCTATTAAATAAATTATTGCAATGTAGTAAAAACTTATTGTCCGGGAAAATATTTCTCATGCCATTAATTGTTTTATATTCAATGAATAACAGAGTCCTATGATGATAATGATCTTTTTTTTATATTTAAGGCTTGGCATGATAATGATTATAAAGACAGAAAAAGGCCGAACTGTGTGAAAGATGATGTGGTGAAAAGGGAGTAAATAGCGAGATCACTGCGAATAGGATGGGAATGAGAATAGTAAAGATCAATATATTACGCCGAACACATATAAAAGCGATAAGGAAGAAGCAGATGATGATGATGATGGCATAAGCATGCGGCCTATCTGATGGTAAACAGTTATCTTAGTCTATGGACGCCAGGGGTGTAACCTATGCGTTTCCAATTTAATTAATCTACCATATATACCGTACATTGTCACGAGACGAGGTGATCCACGCTTCAAAGAGGGCGTAAATCACTCAATAAACGAAATACCTATGACTGTAAACAAGGAAAAAGCATTAAGACAATTGAAAAAAAAATCAACAACTCGAGAAAAACAGTACACGTCATTTTTGCAATGATGCCTCATCAATAATACATGAAACGAATGCATCAGCAATTTGTTCAAACGGTTATGTTATATGTTGTCCTTGACAGCTCGTAGTAGTTAGTAGTAGTATTAAAAAATATATATTCCCGCCAATATAGAATTGTCTGTGAAAACTGCAATTTTGACCACAGATTAGATTTACCTATATTACAAAATTGACCGTTGTAGGTAGTTGAGTATTATAAAAAAAATCCCGCCAATATAGATTTAGATTTACCCACAGATTAGACTTATAAATTTCAAAATTAGTTTTTTTTAATGTAAAAAATGTATGGTTTATTACGAATATACAAATAAGTACAAGTAAAGTATCTGTTAATAATTTCAAATTTACAGCCTTACACTAAATCCGTATGAAAGTATGTACGGTATTTACATCGAAAAAATTATTATTTTAATTAGTTTTTCTGTCTGTTTGTTTGTTCTAGCTAATATCTGAAACGACTGGACTATTTTTTATTAGACATTTACCCGCAGGTAGCTAATGTTATAAAATGTAACTGAGATTAATTTATTTTATAACTTTTTTAATAATTAATATTTTAACAAAAAAAAACTTATATTTCACGCAGACATCACGGGATTAATTTATAATTTAATAGCTGTGCCCGCGGTTTCACTCGCATTAAATTCATAGCCTATATGTTATTCTATATAAGCTATACCTATTCCTGTAGAGTTTCATCAAATTCGTTTAGTAGTTTTTGCGTGAAAGAGTAACAAACAGCCATCCATGCTCATAAACTTTCGCGTTTATAATATTAATAAGATGTACATCATTTAATATCGATATCTTATAATTCAACAATTAAAAATATTTCCTAAGACATCACGCTATCGTAATATGTAATTTCACCAATGAATCAAAATAGGTCACAAAAGAAAGAAAGAAAGAAAAATATTTTATTCAGCGCAATGTAAAAAAATGCAAAACAAACTTTTACGTATGGAGAAACAAAGAGCTACAGTCTCAGTTCTTGCTCATTCTTCTTGTGATGAGACAGCTTTCCCAATGAGCGGTAGATTGAAAAAAATGTGATGACTATTCAAAAGTGCCTTAATGTATTATAAGTTTATTTGAATAAATTACTTTCTATTCTATTCTATTCTATTCGTAATGATTAAATTATCCTTTGACACGTGTTTATTTATGTGAATTCGTTTAATGAAATCACATAAACTCATCGTAATTGTAAACCCAATACTGGTTCTTTAGGTAATAAAAATTACGTTGTCTATGCATTATTCATATTAAAAATAAACAAAATATCCTTAAATCGGTCATATATAGAGAACTAGACTGCAAGCGAATGTAAAAAAATCTACGTAGGTATTATTATTGTGTACCTCGTTTTCACGACTTACTTATTTCAGCAGCCATCGTTCTGTAAGCTGTGCTTTGTATTTTTTAATTTATACATAAATTAAAAAATAACTATGACTATTCAAATGTACTCAAATTTGAATAAAGAATTTTCTATTTTATTCTTTTGACATAACCATAGACATCACATGCGTTAATTTTCGTTCGTTATTTCCTGTAATTTCACTGTCATACATATATCCTTTAAAAGCTGAATATCTTATAAAGCAAAGGCAAGTACTTGGCAGCTGTTATACCTAGGCTAGACGGAGGTATCCACGCCAATGACATTGTACAAAGTATAAATTGATAAAACCTGTTCCTCAAGTTATAGTAAAGCAGATACCAAAGAAAGCATATTTATTTCATTTCATGCGTATAGAAAACAAAAAAAAAAGAACTTAATCATTAACCATAAATAAAAGATTATAAAAAAAACTATTGACGGCTTCAGTGGTTAAGCGAAAGATTTTATTTCTTTAGATTACCTACTCTTTGTTCTACATTATAAACATTAACTACTTTGGTATGTTTTCCTTTGCCTGCTTTTCCTGTGCATACAGTAATAAATAGAAAAGGTAAGTGTAATGTCAACAAGGCTTAATGCATTAATCACGATTATAGAACAAAGATGATAGACTCATGACACCTGCATACTAAGAGCGGGAAAATGCTCCGGTTTATTATTTCCTTATTTATTAAGACAAGTTTCGCGGCCGGTGAATCCCAGCGACACCCCGCCATTTTGCGCGACATGACGTGAGGTCCAAGTCTGTATTATACTGCGCTCAACGCGATAAGATCCAACGCATTTTATTCAGACAAATTTCCGAATGACCGTTATATTAATAGCGCTTAAATAAATAAAGAAATAATAATTTTAAATTTATATTATATCTATATATTATATTTTTACAACCGTCGATCAAGCCGTATCTGTGAAGCTCGGTAGCAACCAATATTAATAAGGGCGGATCGTGAATTTGTGGGGCCCTGGGCTAAATCTACTTAGGGGCCTACCTAATTATATTACTCTACTAAAAAAATACAGCGACCAGAATTTCCCCGTTCCTTTCGATAGACACGCACTTGCATGGGTTGATTGATCTCAGGGTTGCCGACCTTATGATAGATTTTTTAACAATCTAGATATTTTTTTTATTTTCTGAATATCGGGGGCCTAATGAATAATTGGGGCCCTTTGTATTCTCGGAGCCCTTAGCTGCAGCCCAAAAAGCCCTTAGGTAGATCCGCCCCTGAATATTAACATATAATGCATTAGACACTATGTCTGTCTGTTTGTTTAGAAATGAAATATGATATGAAGATAGTTTGTATAAGGTGGACGAATATAGGTCATCTTTTCTCTAAAAAATCGTAATATTTAAATATAACATTATTATATGAAATCGCGTTTAACAGCTAGTTTTGTCATATGGAAATTGTCCATATTTATTTATATAATAAGTTTGGATAACGATCACACAACGCAGTATAGTTCCAAACTGAGAAAAGCTTATACTTTGGGATTAGACTACTGAGAGAACACGCAAGTTGTTTAACTGTAGTCGACATTGCCATTATATATTTTTTAAATAGGCATATAAGTATGGTATGAGGTTGATTCACCCCGGAGTATGCACTGGTAAAGAGCTCAAACTTGGAATATATATTCATATTTATTTGGCAGTTTTATAAGGCTCACGGATGACGGATGGCCCGAATGGAATAAAACAAATAAAGTATGGGTTGAAAGTGATTATTAATAAACTAGTAGTAAACTAATAATCTCTTTGATTGTAACGTTCCATGTCAGGTGGACTTTCACGCTGTTCCCCCTGGAAACCATCGTGATACGTTCCTGGTGAATTTGTCATGATGGGCTAACTGACTGGGCTTCATGTTTACCTTATTGTGCAGTTTTAACAGTTAACGGGTGCACCATTTCATTAGGGGCCATTCATTAATTACGTAAGACTATTTTCGCTAGTTTTAATATTTGAAATACGGCCATGAAGTTTTTTGTGAAGTTGCGCTGCCTTTTTCGACGCAAAGTTTAGAGCATACTAAACAAATTCTTTCTATGAGCGCATCTTGTATTGAGGGACAGTAAAAATCGTAAGGAACAGTCTTGAATGGGATCTCGGCACTCGCGCGGTTGCCCGCGCTTTTTATTAGTATAATTTTAACATTGCTTATTTGTGATCTTATGTAAGAACTATCATGACTCCCATCCAACCCCTTGTAAAAAAAATTGAGACATGGTCGACCCCCCCTACCCCCTAAATCGTCTTATATAATATATGAATGCCCCCTTATCATCCATTAATAAAAATAGTAAAGTATCAAGAAGTGGTATTACACACGTAAAACTACATAATCGATGCATAATGTTTTCTCATTTTCATGTGAGTAACCTTAGCTCGCAGGTTATCGGCTAGGTATTTGTGTAGGTACATTTGCTATAGTATAGGCAATTTATATGAAAATCGAGTTATTCGAGCCTGCTGGATAAACTGGAGAATCCGACGGGCGGCCATATATAAGTAATCATTCGCGCGCTTTCGTCAGTCGGCTACAGATACTTACCGACTACAGATTATAACAGTAGTTACTGGTGCGTTCCAATTTTAAAATATTATTATTGTTGTTTAAAATAAAAATCAGTGCATTCAATATGTTAAACAAATATAGTTTTGTTTTTTAAATTTTACTTATTTTGTATTAAATTTTCGACATTGTTAATGAAAAATTATAGGATAGCAAAAAATTCAAAGTGTGCGTTTTAAGAAAAATATAAAAAAGGAAACAAATTAGTATAATTAATAAAACTTATCGTTTCTCAGGTGGAAATTAAGATGAGAAGATTCGGGATTTATCTCACCTTGAGTGTCTTATGCGCTTTATGTAAGTACCTATCTAGATTTTCTTTTATTTAATTTAAATTAGCTTTATTAGTTTATATTTCTTATTAATAACGAAATTATTTTAATAATATATTTGTATTGTATTTTTCATCCTCAAAATTATTTGTAGATATTTAATTTATCTTAGAATGTTAATAATTTGGTAGCAACTTAAAATCTTTTCGCCGGACTCAAATAAAAATAGTTAAGTATTCAAAAAATGAACTTTGTGGAGTCGGTTGTAAAGAAAAAAATGAATGCTTACGATGTCCTATTGAAAACTACAAAACATATAATTGCATAATACCTTTTTTATTGTATTTTATAATTTAATTCGGTTTTAATTTTATTGTTTTGTTTTTCTGTTCTTACCACTAATAGATCGTTTATCCAATATATAAAATTCTCATGTGGCCAGTGTTTGGGCATGAAATTTGCCAATTTTGCTTTTAGATTGGCTAAAAGCAAAATTGGCTAATTTCATGCCCGTTTATAATCAGGAGCGGGACTCCAGTCACACTTATAATTTAAATTTATTCATTAGTTAAATACGTAACAAAAATTGTATTTGTACAAGCTAAGAAGGATGAATCATTCATAACAGAGTCATTAACTATAAACCTACGTACAATAAGTGAGTAGGTACAACTTAACTGCATTCATAAATATTTTCTCCATTATATTCTAATTTGGAAAGCCCCGAGAAAAACAATTGTTTTTATTTCAAATACCACTGCTAATGGTGTTTGAATTCCTTACTAGTATTATAAATGCGAAAGTAACTCTGTCTGTCTGTCTGTCTCGCTTTCTCGCCAAAGCTTGAAAATTTATTTCAAGCTTTCAAAATGACGAATCTTTCATCTCCACTTAGGGGTATAAAAAAAAGATAATAGCCGATTCTCAGACCTACTGAATATGTATGTAAAATTTCATAAAAATCGGTCAAGCCGTTTCGGAGGAGTATGGTAACTAACATTGTGACACGAGAGTTTTATATATACGGTGTGCGAAATTTCTATTTTCATCCGTCCGAGCATTTTCGTAAAAAGGGGTACAAAGTTTCTGCTTATTCGTGCAGGCGCTGCCCAGTCCGGCAAGCCGGTGCTACTCCGGGATACACCGGCTGAGGTCCTCTTCACCTACAAAAAAACCCTGGACACACAAGCTCCTTTCGTCGTCGAATGTTTGACTGAAAATAAGAATGAACCAAAGATAAAGTAAGTTGCTTACATCGTCTTTTTATAAGATTTTATATAATATAAAACTACCTACTCGCCCCGGCTTCGCACGGGTTTACATGTATTATATAATATAAATACTTAAATACTTTGTTTGGAAATACATAATGTTCATAGAAAACCGATAGAAACAATTATACTAATGAATACTAAGCTTTGTACCGTGCGAGGAATCGAATCCGCGACCATCGGAAGTTACGCGGTGTGCTAAACCGCTAGACCACCCAGTCCGTCATAAGTTTTCTATTAAAATTAGAGTGTCTGTTTGTAATATTGAAATAACCGTTTTTTTCTACATGCATATGAATATAAATACGATATATACCCCAAAATAACATTTTTTACAATTTTTGTGTCTGTCTGTCTGTTTGTTCCGGCTAATCTCTGAAAAGCCTGGAACGATTTTGACGGGACTTTTTCTGGCAGGTAGCTGATGTAATAAGGACTAACTTAGGCTACATTTATTTTTGAAAAATAAAGTTAAAATCCACGCGGACGAAGTCGCGTGTACAGCTAGTAGTTATATAAAACGTTATTTTCCATTGCAGCTACAAATGGACGAAAAACGGTCAACCTTTGGACCTAAAAGCCAATCCAAACATTGTCCAACGCCAGAACGAAGGATCTTTGGTTTTCATAAGCCCTCACCAGGAGGACCAGGGCATCTACCAGTGCTTCGCGGAAACTCCCCAAGGAGTCGCCAGTACTCGGCAGATATTGGTCAGACCGACGTACTTGGTTGTGGAGAATAAAGTGGAACCAGTGCACCATAAGCCTGTTGAAGGTATAGTATCTGATATATATGGTAGTATGTCGTAAATGTTTACTCTGTGTTATCCGCCTAGATCTATGTATGTATGTGTATTATTATTATTATTATATATGAAGATATCCGCAGAATACCAGCGTCGTGGCACCCCGTCACGACATATGCTAAGCGGAGACCTATTTGGTACTATAAATTAATATAAACCTATATAATGTAAACTAAAATTTAAAAATTATTTTCAGTGTGCTATGTACCAAATAAACAATTTTCTTTCTTTCTTTTCTGATATACGAATGATTAGGAGTATTTACTAATTGTATCACGTGATGACGTGATATCATATGTACTGATATTATATGTAGATATATATACATATATTTATTGGGGGGTTTTGGGCTATTGTCAAGTACTATGACCTGTACCACTGCGACCTGCATAAATCTTTTGTTCTCGACCTTTTTCAAAGTTTTGCTACCTACACCCGTCAGGGACAAAAATTGACGATATTCTTTTTATCTCCTCAGGATAGAGTGTATACTTACCAAAGGAGTTATTTCGTTTACGCATGCTACAATCACATAGGTTGTGTCCTCGTCTGCTTGGCAAAATCTGCAGATTATTGTTAACGTAAGCCGTAATTTCTCCATGTCTTTATTAAATTTGCAGTGGCCAGTGCGGGCCCTAGTCATGATGCATATATTATTTTTATTGCAATAGCAATAGTTACCTTATTTTCTTACCTTTCCTTACCTTATTTTGCGTGTGGTTATTTTATTTTTATACTTGCAGGTCGTCCATTCAAATTGGAATGTCCAGCACCTAAAGCATACCCAAAACCCAATATAACGTGGAAGAGTCAGCTCCCGTCGGACCCAAGTCTCTCTGATGATGTGAGAGACAAACGGATCACTATTGGCCCTGACAATGCTTTGTACATTGCTAACGTCACCAAGGAGGAGGTAAGTGTTAACGTACCCTTTCTACTGTCGCAATGACATTGACGCCGTCTGTTTTGACTGTCTGGTATTCCGCATCCCCCTAGGGAGGAGAAAGTTAGGACCTCGGGGCGAACCCCATTGCCTCAGTATCTACTCCAGGGGCAACAACCTCCGGGTGGTTCAAAGTCCCTAGGGCAAGTATACATAAAAAAAAAGAAAGAAACTACTTAAAGCTTACTAAACGTTGTGCCATACTTGGGGCATATTGTTTTTATTTGCTTTTATGTTTTTTTCATGTAGTTGTTTGTTTTTTTCTTTTTATTATTATTTTTTCCTGTCTGTGAGAGCAATTCTCAACAAGACTTCTCACAGATGGGGCTATAGTGTCCGAGTACAATAATTGGCTCCTTCGCAGATGAGAGGTTAAGAGTTATACAGCGTCATTCTCGACGATCGATCCCCCGTCCAATTCAAACGGGGATCGAAATTACAACGTCTTGAGCCGAAGTTCGAAACCCTAGCGTTGCCTCCAGTGTAAAGTCATATCCGTTAGCCGGGAGTTGGCCTTCAGCCTCTATCCTTTCATAAAGACATGATTGATTCAAAATATCCAAATCTCGTAAAGCGCACTCACATCACGTTTTGTTGTCGTCAACTCATCTCTTAAATGATTAATCAATGTATATAATAATAAAACATAGAGTAGACCGAAAAAAAAGCATAACTGTGTTTGGTAAATGATCATCATCTGCTTCTTCCTTATCCCATTTATTTGGGGTCGGCGTAATATGTTTTTCGCTTCCATTCATCCCTGTTCGCAGTCATCGCGTTATTTACTTCTTTCTTACTATATCATCTTTCACACAGTCCATCCATCTCTTTTTCGGCCTTCCTCTGCCCTTATAACCATCCACATTCATTTGTTTGGTAAATGATATGTGATGATAAATCTATACTACAGGTAAGCGATAGGTTCATGTACGTCTGTCTGGCCAAGTCTCCAGCCGTTCACGACGAGGTGCCTCTCGCGAAGCATTTCATCGACTCGCTGACAGAAGATAAGCAGAAGAAGCATCATGAGGTTGTGGAACAGTACCTTACCAAGGAGGTGACGGGGAAAGTCGGAGAGCAAATCATTCTGTACTGCATTTATGGAGGAAAGTAAGTATTGTAAAGGTGTTTCAGATAGTTTTCTTGAGAGGTAGTAGGTTGATGCAAGTAGGGTCTATTTCAAGCTCAACGGGGGCTCTATATATATGTGTAGCCACCATGATGAAAACATTAAAATCCCTTCATATGACGACCTCGGTGGCACAAACATTTGTATTCATGAGTATGATTGTTTGTATCGATGTTTTCTATGTATAATACGTATGTATTTACAAAAGAAAATCTATGTATATGTATCAGTTATCTAATACCCATAACACAAGCTTTAGCTAGCTCAACTTGGGCCTAGATGGCTCTGTGTGAATTGTCCTGAGATTATTATTATTACACCCCTTTCATCCCCTTATTCTTTTTTTTTATTTATATTCAAATAGCCAAATCCTTTTATTTGTATTAATACGTAGATCTACATATGTCCCAATATTTAATTTAATTCCGTTCAGTAATTTTGGCGTGTAAGCGAGACAGACAGACAGCGTTACTTTCGCATTCATAATATTGGTACGAATTTATTGAGGGTCCACACATGTCTATCTATCTAGTATCTATGGTACCTAGAACACGCACTAGAATAACCTCAACACGCTTTTATAGTTGTACATTAATAAACAATACGCACCTACCATCGACCATTTACACTTTCACCATTATATTTATTTCCGCTACTACTATAGTATTGATAACTATACTGTATCGACAATATATTGACAATAGAATTAACAATAAAACATCAATTGGCATATATTCCGGATGCCTTTGTATACCAAACAAAAACGTACGACTGTCATCCGAAATGGGGTAGGTAGAAGTATTGTCAACTGTTCATATTGTGATAAACTTCCACATTTCGCTTGGCATATTTAAATTTAATTCATTCATTCAATTTAAGAGCTACGCTCTTGTTTAGTGATGGCAGAGTAAAAATTTAGGGTTGTATGTATTTTTACATACACGCGTAAAATAATTATATAAAATGTATATAATTTTTTTTATCGAAAAATGAAAAATATTTTTTTGTCGTGAGCCACCCTTAACACTTAAATAAAAAATAGTTATAAACATACTCTCAGACCTACTGAATATACATATAAAAATTCATAAAAATCAAGTTGTTTCGGTGGAGTATGGTTACTAACATTGTGACACGAGAATTTTATATATTAGACCACAGATAATATAATATTGCATATATTAAACTAACAGCCCAGTTCCTGTGGCTAAGGTTCTTGAATAAAATAATATTGCGACTATAAATTGAGATGTAAGCAATCTTTCAAGTTAGATCAAATTGCACATAATGTGCAAATCAAATTTGCAATCGTTTCCGTAGTTATTTTTAGAGTATGATAATGAAATGGTGCACCCGCCTGCGCTAACGGTTTACGCTGGCGGGGCATCAGTGGAGGATGATAGAATGAACATGACGTCAGATCAGTTAGCCCGTAACGTGATAAATTCACCGGGAATTTATCACGATGGTTTCCAGGTGGAACCGCGTGGAGGTCGACCTGACAGGGTACATTGCTAGCAATGGAGTTATTAGTCCATATCACTAACTAGCCCCTCCGGGGGCCGTTTGAACGTTGCCGGGGGCCGTTGAAACGGGGGGGCCGTTTCCGTAGTTTAGGAGTCCATCGCGGACAAACAACGTGACACGTAATTTTTATATATAATATTATTATCTTTACCCACAGTCCCCTTGCCCACCCCGAGTGGTTCAAAGACGGTAAGGAGATCGACAACCCGCCTGGCTCCCGCGTAACCAGGTACAACCGGAGCGCCGGTAAGAAGCTGCTCATCCGTGAAGTACTGCCTGAAGACGAGGGCCAGTACACCTGCGTCGCCAACAACGAAGTTGGCAAGATACAGAATCATACCATGAGACTAACTGTCATCAGTAAGTAATCTTTTTTATTATCGAACTAGCTGTATACGCAACTTCGTCAGCGTGGAATTTAACTTTATTTTTCTAAAATAAAGGTAGCCTAAGTTACTCTTTATTACTGGTGTAATAAAGAGTAACTTAGGCTACCTTTATTACACCAGCTACCTGCCAATAAAAGTCCCGTCAAAAGCGGGAACAATCAGAGTTAATCAGACAGACAGACAAAAATTGTTAAAAATGTTATTTTAGTGTATGTACCTTATTTATATTTATAATGTAGATGTAGTAAAAAACGATTATTTCAATATTAGAAACAGACACTCGCAATTTTATTTATATGTATAATCGAATGAAAATGTCTATTCAAAAGAACAACACACTAGTTTCTTGTTTATTCTTCTTGTGATGAGTCTGCGTTCCGAATGAGTGGTAGAATCAAAAATATGACTATTCAAATGTGCTTGTATTGACGTTATTTGAATAGAGATTATTTCTATTTCTAAAAGAAGTTTAATAATAACTATTTGAAATATAAAAAAAAACTATTTGAATACTATTTGCTACTTTTATACTTTTTCTCGTGCGAATCGATATTCACGCAGGAAAGTATGAGCATGAACCTAAATACAAAAAAGAAAAAAAAAAAAAACGTGAATTACCGCGCGCGCCGCTAATGAGCGCATTCCCGCGTCAAATACAAAGTCAAATTCAATAACTATTTATTCATGTGGGACATTTTAGCCGTTTATGAACGTCAAATTTTTTATATTATAATTTATTTCCCTACTGTCCACTTCAGTATATATAGTAACAATCCAATTGAGAAAAACTGGCAAGAAATTCAACTAAATTACTTAATGTGCCTGCTCTAGTGCCTTTTTGTAACAATTACTTATCATTGCAAAATGACGGACATCTGACTATGCAGAACGATTATATATTATATAGTTACTGAAAGTTTATTAAGTTATAAGCGTTTCTTTAGTAATTTAAATCTGTTTTTTACGGTGCGAGAAATTGAATTCGTGACCATCGTAGGTAACGCGGTATACTAAACCGCTAGACAAACGAGACTGTCAAATATCATAACACAAGCATCAGCTATTTTATCTTGGGACTAGATGGCGCTGTGTGAATTGTCCTGAGATTATATAATTCAATAGAATAGAATAGAAATTCGATTTATTTCCTCAACTTTAGCTGTAATTATTACTATTATTATACGAATTTATTTATACTTTAGGTGCTCCAATCTTCAAGAAGAAACCAGAACAGATAAAGAACGTTCGAGAAGGTCAAGATGTGAGCATTCCCTGTGAACTCACTGCTATTCCTGCAGCACCCACATCCTGGACTTACAACGCTGCCCCTATCGGCAAAGACAGAATAACAATCACCAAAACAGGGCTGACCATAAACAAAGTTAAAAAGTCCGACTCTGGATACTATGGTTGTGGCGCCAAAAATGACCATGGACAAAATTATGCTGAAACACTTTTAGTGGTTGCTTAAAAAGTTAAAAATTATAACCCGTTCATTTTAACTTGACGCATATACTCTCTTCCTATGGTTTTTTTTCGGACTACTCTAATGCTGTTGGCCACAGCTGGCCTTTATAGCATCACCAGACGACGTGCAGATGGCACTTCAAACCCGCTGAAGGATTATGAAGCGACTGAATTCCAACACCGCTAGGGGTTCGGCCATCGGCTCAGGCCGTCGTAATTTCGGCCATATAATTAACTATTTGCAATAGACATACTTCTCTTTCGATGTATTTTGGACAATATACATAGTTTTTAACAAATAAAAGTATAAGTGTAACGCATGTTAAAATGAACGGTTTATACTAGATGACGGGTTTATATTTCCGCCATTGTGTCTAACAATACAAGCCAGTTTGTCTTGGCACATTGTATTTAATACTTAATTATTTACAACAACAGAATTCTCATTTCTTTGCTAAAAGCAAATATCGAATAAAACTATTTTATCACCACAAGACCTGTGCTCAGAGTAGGTACTGAAAAAAATGTTACTCCAAATTTATTACTAATAATTTATCTATGATCTTGGCGCGAAAACTGTGAACTATATCTTTAAATACTGAATACATGCACTGAAAATTTAAGCAGTATGGTCTTGTGCTTTAGCGTACTATACGGAACGATGAAACAAACACCGAATTGCAATGTACCAAGATTATAGCTGGATTGTAAATTATTAATGTAATTTATTTATGTCGTAATAAAATATTTAACAGCAATGTGTTTTTTATTCATATTAGTAATTCAAATACTAAAATTTTTATTAAAACAAATATAAATGACTTGCCCTCTTCCGTTATTTTTTTAACCGTTAGCGCAGGAGGGTGCACTATTCCATTATCATCCATAAAAAAGAAAAAGAACTATAAAATGTTTAATTTATATACCTATATGTAAAAAGCAACAGTTTAATTTCAATCTGAAAGAACTTATGTACTATGCAATGGCTGGTGGCAAAATATATATATTACTATAATTTTAGATAGCACAGAAGAAATCTTTTGAGCAATTTATATATCAAAACAAATTGATATTTATATATCCGTAGATATAGAGATAATCAAAATTATCATCATCATATATCATTTAAATATATTGAATTAAAATTAAGCTGAACGTAACTACATTTAATTTAATACTTTTTTGGACTCCTGTTTTTTTCGAAATTTCTTTTAGAGTTTTGATATACTTTTGAATAGTTCTAGAGTTCTTTATTAACATTTTAAACAGTTCCGATGTTTAAATTAAATCATGCGCTAATTTCACGCAGTTCTTTTAATTAAAATTCAAATTTTTCTTTCTAGTCTTTTTTGGTTCTGTTTTTCCTGTGACAGAGAATTTTAGGGAAAGGCAAAGGACTTGACTCATACAGCCAATCTTTTGTTACTATAACAAATATGGCATGACAACTCCGTCACTTGTGACAGTTGCTCTTGACATTTTTCATGACATTACAACGCGTATAACCTAAAATATATTAAAATTTAACAAAACAAAAGCCAAAATATACATTTACAAACATGTTATTCTTATATTTAATGAGTCTTCTGGCTCTAGTCATCCAGGCGGTGTTCGTAACATTAGCTATTGGTGAGTAAATAAAGAAAAAATAATAATTATTATTGGGAATAAGTCGTTATATTTTGCCACAATAAATACCTAAAATGCTATTATAATAATTTTATAAGTAAAAATCATATTATTAATATAATGTAACGTAATATTGCATTTATTACTAACTTGTTACTATACATATGTAAAAACGTTATCAAAAAGTACATGTTTTTTACAAGACAAGCATTTAAATATTAAATTAATTTAAATAATTTTTTCTTTTAAAGTTTTAAATTTACACAGAAGTATTATATATCATTTTAAAAGTATTTAGATAATGATTAAGATGGCCTGGTTAATTTAATTGACTTATATAAAAGGAGGAAATTCTAGCTTCTAATTGTGAGAAATGTCATGTTTCTATTTTATCAATGAAGTGTTACAATATGAAGTGATGTGCATGATGCTGTTTATGTATATTGGTGATGGTTACCATTTACCATCAGGTCTGTCAGTTTGTTTGATCATTAAAAATAATTGTAGTATTTATGTTTGCAGCTGCAGGCCTGTACTACTTGGCTGAGCTGGTGGAAGAGTACACAGTCATGGCCAAATATATAATTACATGGACAGTTATTGTGAGTATAAAGTTATATTATAGGGGTTGTTTTTATATTTATACAGATACTAGCTACTCACCCCAGCTTCGCATGATTGTACATGTATTATATATATAAACCTTTCTCTTGAATCACTCTATCTATTAAAAAGAAACCATTCAAAATCCGTTGCATAATTTTAAAGATTTAAGTGTACATTGGGATGCACAGACAGCGACAGCGACTTTCGTTTTATACTATGTAATGAAATAGCAATATAAGAAAAATGTTAGGAGTATAGAGGTTTATTCTATATTCTTATTTAATATACACACATAGGAAAATAATATCAGTAATAAGGAAAATGTAATGCACAAGAGCAAACTTATCTCTAAATTAAATATATCTACAGGAAACCTTAGGAAATGTTATAGGATAATGTGTTGAGAAATTAAGATATTTATTCAAAGTATTGCCAAGGAGTGATGTAAAAACAAAATGAATGACTATAACAGAACTATAAACTTATACTTGAACTATAAATTTAGAATATAAAAATATTTTTAATAGACCAGTTACAATAGAATCAGTGAATAATATATATAATGATGACTAGCTGTCTCCGCAACTTCGTCCGCGGGGAATTTAACTTCATTTTTCTAAAATAAAAGAATTTCGAAAATAAAAGTACTATAACACTATAACATTAGGTACCTGCCAAAAAAAGTCCCATCAAAATCGGTCCAGCCATTTCAGAGATTAGCCGGAAGAAACAGACAGGCAGACAAAAATTGTAAAAAATGTTTGTTTGGTGTATATACCGTATTTATATTCATATGCATGTAGTAAAAAACGGTTATTTCAATATTACAAACAGACACTCCAATTTTATTTATATGTATAGATGTAGTAAAAAAAGTTTATTTCAATATTACAAACAGACACCCAATTTTATTTATATGTATAAACTAATTACAACATAAATTGATTGCATTGAAAGAAATCATTTTCATCATATACAGACTCTATGATCTAGCTGTTTAGTACACCATCTTACTTCTAAATAGTCACAGGTTATATTCCTAGCATCAGTTAGGTATATAACCAGTGAATATATAATGATAATGATAGTGAGTTAAATAATATACATATATATCTAGACTGATAGAAACAATAATACCAATGCATAAAAATGTTTGCTCTGTGCAAGGAATTGAACCTTTTTTTTATACCACTATAGTGGCAAACAGGCATACGGCCCATCTGATGGCAAATGGTTACCGTAGCCTATGGACGCCTGAAACACCAGGGGTGTCACGTGCGTGTTGCCGACCCTTAAAACCTGCAACCATTGTAAGTGAGAAAGTGTGCTAAACCATTTGGAGTGGCCGTCAATCTCATTAATTCTTTCAGATCACAGCATCATTACACATAGGACTGATAATATTTGAAGATATACCACTCCACCTGAATATCCTGGGACTTGTGCAGCAATCGTTACATGGTGTGCTGCTGAGGCAGTTCCCAGTGGTGAGGGTGACGAGCGCCACCTTCATAGCTGCGGTGGTGGTGTTGGTGACTCATCATTACTTCGCCTTCCAATTCTTCGGCGCTGTATACTTCAGTTTCTCAGAGGTAATTATTTCAGTAAAATTCATACAGCGCCATCTAGTTCCAAGCTAAGCATGGCTGGTTATGGGTACTAGACAAATGATATAAATATAGGAGAGAGACATTATAAATAATATACATAGAACACACCCAGACTGGGAGAAGGGGATTTTAGTAATGGGAACTGGTAACTCTCATTGCTAACAGTGTATCATGTTAGGATGACCTCCACGCGGTTCCCCTGGTAACCATCATGATAAATTCCTGATGAAATTGTTGCGATGGGCTAACTGATCTGACCTCATTTTCATTTTATCATCCTCCACTGGTGCCCCGTCAGCGTAAACCGTTAGCGCAGGCGGGTGCACCATTCCATTATCATCCACAAAAACACCCAGACTGATACAATCATACATGAGTACATAAACTTGTGGCGGCGTGACGAGCCGGGTCATGTGCTCCCTCTAATATGGTTGACTGAAATGATGGCTGGCTCATCCGTCTTACTCGTGAACGGATGCTTCTTGTAGGGACTGGTCAGTTCGGGTTACAAACACTGATTAGACAATTTGCTTTTGACAATATTGGAGTAGTATACGCTGCTGGTGGTCACACAATTCTGCCAAATTTGAATTTAAAAATCAATCTATATTATTGAAAACATGTACAACATTTATTTGAAAAGGATACGAACCGAGTTTCTTGTCTGTTCTTTCATCTCGAAAGCACTCCGAACTGACGGTAGATTTTGACATATCATAAGAGTCTGTAATAGACCTACATGACTAAAGACATTTTGAACTTATTTGTCTTTTTTTATTGATATAATGTATAATATATTAATCAATAAAAAAATCAGCATAATTAAACAAATATATTACCATTCTGCACTCCTCTATTCAAACTGTAAGTGTGCGTAATTTCATACTCTGTTCGCGCAATTTTTGCTTCACGTTTTAATTTTGTTTCTTAAATTCAGGTGCTGTCCTACTTCACGCTATGCCTGTGGGTGGTGCCGTTTGCGCTGTTCGTGTCTCTGTCTGCAAATGATTACGTTCTCCCCACTACCGGTACCGAGAAACAACCGTTACTTGGTAAGTGATGCGCCATACATCTCATGTGTGTTCATGGGCCTTTTCTGTGGGCGTTTTGACACTCACGCAAACACACACACACATACGCATGCGCATGCATGCACGCACGCACGCACGCATGCATGCACGCACGCACGCACGCACGCACGCACGCACGCATGCATGCACGCAGGCACGCACGAGTGTCGTGTTTCAAAGTATCTACCGAATAAATATGACTATCATTTCATTTCGAAACTCAAAGTTATGGGTACATGGATATTCACTATACATTAAACAATATAGTCATAGAAACAAAACTTTCCGGAATCGAATCCGTGACCATCGGAAGGTGAAGCAGTTTATTAAACCACTGGGGTCTAAAATGTTTGCTTCTTTCCAGGTGATAACAACGTGGTCACAGATTACCTATCACGCAAGTCGAAACGGTACAGTCTGCTGTCATTCTTCAGTTTCGCCAAAGAATCCATACTGCCTCAGAGAACCAAGAAAGCGTTCTAAGTATTAAAATTGTGTGAAGACAAATACTCAATGTACATAAATAGGTAAGGTTTTATACGTAAAATACAGGCTGGAAAGACGACGGAGACCGTAGAGAAAATGATAAGCTTAGTGTTGCCAACATAAAAAAAACTGCCAACTTTAATAAAAAATAAAATTAAATTTCCGGACAATTCACACCGTATATATAAAATATTTTTAAAGGATGATAATAGAATGGTACACCCGCCTGCGCTAACGATTTACGCTGGCAAGGCACCAGTGGAGGATGATAGGACGTGCATGAGGTCAGGTCAGTTGGCCCGTCGTGACAGATTCATCAGGAATTTATCACGTTTGTTTCCAGGGTAGCCGCGTGGTGGTCAACCTGACTTAATAGTTCACATTGTTAACAATATCTTTCTCCCTATCTAGTCCCAAGTTAGGCTGAGCTTGTCTTATTACTGTATAGAGGTACAGTAATGTAGCTCTGATTAGTTTGGGACTAGATGGCGCTGTGTGAATTGTCCTGAGATATTATTGCATCTATACGCTGCAATATAAGGTATATATCCCCAATAATAAACATGTAATATTAATTTTCAACACACTCGATCGTAAATTGGATATATTTTCACCAGTTTTCGATATATAAAGCAGCTCATAAAACATGCGTGCGTTATAAACGCAAATAGTGATGTTATGTTCCATAACTGCACTATTTGCTTCCTCACCGATCGATCCCCCGTCTAATTCCAACGGCGATCGTAATTACGACGGCCTGAACCGAGGTTCGAATCCCTAACGGTCAGACTAAAGTCGTATCCGTCAGGCGGGAGTTGGCCTTCAACCGCTCCGTAAGTCCTTCCTTTGGTTTGGAGTGTCATCTGCACTCGCCCCTCGTCCGGTGAAGCTGTAAAGGCCAGCTGCGCCCAACAGCATTAGAGTAGTCCGAAAAAAACATACTATTTTTTTAATCAAATTTCGAACTGACCGCCGCGCCGCGCTTATCAGTAAATAAAGCGGCGGTAAAGCATCAGTGAGCACCACAGTTTTATACTTGAGTTTATTTAAAATCAAGTGTGTTGAAAAACATCGTACGATATACGTGCGTATAACACACTCGGCTCTATTACACCCTCGCTTTTAACTCGGGCTGAAATTCCGCCTCGTGTGTTATAACCATCATAACGCACTTATATCGTAAGATACTATATGAACAATTGTACAAAATACTATAATGTAATATAACATTGTAATTTCACTGCCTTCTCTCAACTGATATATTACTGCGGTAGAAATAGGTAATTTTGTAATATATTCATATAATTTATTTACTTTAAGTATAAATTAATTTTTAATACGTCTAGTCATTAAAAGACATTTGTTAGATTTTTTTTACTGGACAATTAACACAACGCCATATAGACCCCACGGTAAGCAGAGCTTATGTTATAGGTAGTGGGTCCTAGAGAATTTATATATATATTATTTTTTTTTTTTTAAATACATGCATAATATACATAGAAAACACCCAGACCGATACAAACAATCATACTCATGAATACACATGTTTGCACCACCGGCCGCCACTGCAGATTTAAAATAAATTTAATAAGTTTTTATGCGCCAGAATATTCCACAAGCTGACTTAACACGTTGTAGACCGCATTGAAAAATCTTATTTCTCACATAGGGGCCCGCATTTTGTTATTGTTAATTACGTGAGGCTATGTCAAATTAACTAAGTCCACTATATGCCGTATCTCTTCGAGGGACCAGCGGATGAACTACTGTTCATTAATTGAAATTTAAATTAGAGATGAAACGGATAGTTGTGCCGAATATTCGGCTAACTTCATGCCGGATAGCCGTATATCCGACCGAACATAGCCGAGTGGCGACTCGTGACACTAAGCGATCGGGTGGTCTCGGGGTTTTCGGGCCTTTTCGCTTACGACATTAGCGCTTTAGTCTTCTTGAATTGATTGCAAATACAATCATAAGAGGTTAAAAAAAAATGATTTTTGTAAAAATACAAAAGAAAAAATAAAAAAAAATTCTTGTTTGAGTTTGTGGTAATTTTCTTACTGATTTTTTTATATAAATGTAAGGTTAGTTACCGAAGAAAAAAGTCTTCGATAAAAGAAATGTATTTATTTAAAATCCAGTATCCGGCCGATTATCGTTTTTTATTCGGTATTCGTCCGGATTTAAAATTTGAGCTGTATATGCTGAATACCAAATAGTTGCATCTCTAATTTAAATCATACCCACAGATGTACAAGTGGTAGGGTAAAACAGGTAAAACATGTCGTGTGCCCACCCGTGAGCACGCGGGCCGGTAATGTTGTCACGGACTGACCCAGTCATCCAGATTATTCCATTTTGGATTTGTTCTTATATTTATGTAGCAATTGTATATAATAGTTTTAATGGGAGTGTTGTATAAATTATTTTGTATATAAGTTAATGTTGTGATATATCTAATATAATAATATATTATATGATTACTATTCAAATTTGTGTGGTTTTATTTTATTAATAACTACCTATATCCCAATACTAAGACAGTTATTTAAGTAACTAGCTGTCCCGGTAAACGTTATTTTGCCATATAAATTTAAGTGCTAATATCGTTACAACGATATTATAACGTTTTATATATCTGAACAAGTGAGTTGTCGATTTATTTACCATGTTAATTACACACTTATCAGGCGAGTTGTAAGCTTATTTGCCATTTCAATTACATACTTAACATCAGGTGGGACGCCAGCTTGTTCGTTATTTCAATTACACATATCAGGTAAGTTGTCAGCTTGTTCGCTATTTCAATTACATACTTAACATCAGATGGGACGTCAGCTTGTTTACCACTCTATTACACACATAGCAACAGGTGAATTGTCAGCTTGTCCGCCATTTCAATTATACACTGACCATCAGGTGAGGTGTTAGATTGTTGGCCATTTCAATTAAATACTTAGCATAAGGTAAGTTGTTAGATTGTTCGCCATTTAAATTACACACTTTACATCAGGTAAGTTGTCAGCTTGTTCGCCATTTAAATTACACACTTACCATCAGGTGAGTTTTCAGCTTGTTCTTCATTTCAATTATACACTTATCAGGTAAGTTGTCAGCTTGTTTGCTATTTCAATTACATACTTAACATCAGGTGGGCCGTCAGCTTGTCCGCCATTTCAATTACACACTGGCCATCAGGTGAGGTGTTTGCTTGTTCGCCATTTCAATTAAATACTTAGCATAAGGTAAGTTGTCAGATTGTTCGCCATCTCATTTACACATTTAACATCACACACTTATCAGTAAATTGTCAGCTTGTTCGCCATTTAAATTACACACTTACCATCAGGTGAGTTGTCAGCTTGTTCGCCATTTCAATTACACACTTACCATCAGGTGAGTTGTCAGCTTGTTCGCCATTTCAATTACACACTTACCATCAGGTGAGTTTTCAGCTTTTTCGTCATTTCAATTATACACTTATCAGGTAAGTTGTCAGCTTGTTCGCCATGTCAATTACACACTTAATATCAGGTGAATTGTTAGCTTGTTCACCATTTCAATTACACACTTATCAGGTGAGTTGTCAGCTTGTTCGCCATCTCATTTACACACTTAACACCAGGTAAGTTGTCAGCTTGTCCGCCATTTCAATTATACACTGATCATCAGGTGAGGTGTTAGATTGTTGGCCATTTCAATTAAATACTTACCATTAGGTGAGTTGTCAGCTTGTTCGCCATTTCAATTATACACTTATCAGGTAAGTTGTCAGCTTGTTCACCATTTCAATTACACACTTATCAGGTGTGTTGTTAGCTTGTTCGCCATGTCAATTACACACTTAACATCAGGTGAATTGTTAGCTTGTTCACCATTTCAATTACACACTTAGTAGGTAAGTTGTCAGCTTGTCCGCCATTTCAATTATACACTGACCATCAGGTGAGGTGTTAGAGTGTTGGCCATTTCAATTAAATACTTAGCATAAGGTAAGTTGTTAGATTGTTCGCCATTTAAATTACACACTTACCATCAGGTGAGTTGTCAGCTTGTTCGCCATCTCATTTACACACTTAACATCAGGTAAGTTGTCAGCTTGTCCGCCATTTCAATTATACACTGACCATCAGGTGAGGTGTTAGAGTGTTGGCCATTTCAATTAAATACTTAGTATAAGGTAAGTTGTTCGATTGTTCGCCATTTAAATTACACACTTACCATCAGGTTCAAGTTGTCAGCTTATCTCATTTACACACTTAACATCAGGTAAGTTGTCCATCTCATTTAGGTACACACTTAACACACAGGTAAGTTGTCAGCTTGTCCGCCATTTCAATTATACACTGACCATCAGGTGAGGTGTTAGATTGTTCGCCATTTCAATTATACACTTATCAAGTAAGTTGTCAGCTTGTTCACTATTTCAATTACACACTTATCAGGTAAGTTGTCATTTTAATTACTTGTTTCATTTCAATTATACACTTATCAAGTAAGTTGTCAGCTTGTTCACTATTTCAATTACATGTCTTAACATCAACATCAGGGACGTCAGCTTGTTTACCATTTTAATTACACATTTACAGAATGCAACAGGTCAATTATCAGCTTGTCCGCCATTTCAATTACACACTGACCATCAGGTGAGGTGTTTGCTTGTTCGCCATTTCAATTATATACTTAGCATAAGGTAAGTTGTCAGATTGTCCGCCATTTAAATTACACACTTACCATCAGGTGAGGTGTCAGCTTGTTCGCCATTTCAATTACACACTTACCATCAGCTTATTCACCATTTTAATTACACACTTAACATCAGGTGAATTGTCAGCTTGTTCACCATTTCAATTACACACTTATTAGGTGAATTGTCAGCTTGTTCGCCATCTCATTTACACACTTAACATCAGGTAAGTTGTCAGCTTGTCCGCCATTTCAATTATACACTGACCATCAGGTGAGGTGTTAGCTTGTTCACCATTTCAATTACACACTTATCAGGTGACTTATTATTAAAATTGTACGAACGGAGGATTATGAAATTTCGCACACTTATAATTTATGTAAATAAGGAGTACAGAATGCTAGTTTTTTATTTGTGCATAAAAATATATTAAATCATTAAAAAATACTAATTATATGACACACACGTATATATACTTTTTGCTATAGAAATCAAAATCAAAAACTGAGAAATAGTCTATGACCTTAATATGTTTATACTTATAATTTAAATTATTTTTGATCGAAAGTTGAAATAATCCAGGACAATTCAAACAGTATAGAATAGAATATACAAAAAAATAAAAATACTTTATTCCAATACTTTTAAATACACTTTTTAATAGTCATAGTTATCCTTTTTTTAATCTACCGCTCATTCCGAAAGCTGTCTCATCACAAGAAACTTGCGTGTTGCTCTTACAAATAATCGTTGTAACTTTACATTTTTAAGTCGAAACGTGTGAATACAGACTACCAACTAGCACTAATTTGTCGTGTCTCAAGCTAAGCACAGCGTGCACCCATGCTATCATGTGTTGTAGTAACCGTACTGGATAACTGATATAAATACTCTAATACGATTTTTTCTAAAAAAATACATAGGTACGTTAGAAAACAAAGACCAACCAGAACAATACAAACAATCACACGGAATCGAACCCGGAAGAATAGAGTTTTTTAGCACACTGCTATAGGTACGTCTGATGATCACGGTTTTGATTCTTCCGACGTCGAAAGTTCAAACATTGATGGTCTAGCCACAGATAATATAATATTACATAGCCATCAATGTCGTTGGACATTGCAATTTACCTTCATAACTTGAGCGCCCAAATGAAAACATTTTTGTTTCCCCCAACTTTGGTTTCGGACGAGAGCCCATCGCTGTGATATGCTGAAAGTGTCGAGCAAGCCAACTCCAGTACATGTTTTGGGTAGCTTCTCCTACAAAAACATATATATATAGCCCCTAAAGATTATGGCAAACATGTCGGATTGTCCGCTCTAGAGGTCCTGGACATGATTACACTGCTGCGGACCTAGAGCTTCTGGACGTGGACATAGATATATGAATAAGAAATTGTAAGTTACTAACAGTTTATAACTTGCTTACTAACATAATTTGGATAGATATCTAAATTAAATTAATAAATAAATAAAACAAAAATATTAGCGCCATCTAAATCACGGAGAGTGTTCTAAAGAATTGTTCGGATTAATACCAATTGCTGAATTTCATCATCGTACTACCTGCCAGTAACTACAATACTATCCTGATCATCTGGATAAATAGGTGGTCCTCAACCGTGCATCTTTCCAGAAACTTTGTAACAAATCACCTTCCAGCAATGGTATTTCTGAACCGATATTGAAACCTTCAAGAAAAGACCTTATTCCTTCCTCTTTAGAAAGGAGGAATAAGGCTGAAATAGCTTTTTATTCTGTAGCACCTGGTCCCTGTAAATTGGCCCTCGGCCTGAGTTAGCAAGCATGCATATGTTTGTGTCAGAACGAGGTTTGCTGATCAAACTGGCTGGTATGGCAGACGAAGTATAAATAAATAAATAACCCTGGATAATCAACACAGCGTCATCTAGTCCCACGGGAAGCAGAGCTTGTGTTATGGGTACTAGCCAACTGATATATACATAGAAAACACCCAGAAGCAGCCACAAATAATCACATACTCATGAATACAAATGTTTGCGCCGTGCGAGGAACCGAACCCGCGAAGAAGAGCACACCGCTTCAGAAGTGAAGCGGTGTGCTAAACCGCTGGACCATCGAGGCCGTAATATGTTGTATGTTTGAATATTTGAAAAGTGTATATTATCATTGTGTCTGCCTTCATGTATATCCGTAATTTCTATGTCATAAAAATACATTTATTATTATTATAAATGTGTTTTTATATTATTTTGTTCAGGTTCTTTATCCGTAGTTCTATGTTATTTACTTGTACATCACTAGTTACTCTGTTAATGTGAGAAGTTAAGAAGTAACTTCCCTCACAGTTTGAGAGTATATAGTAAACTATTTCTACTCAGAAAATAACTAATGGGGGCCCTAGGATATTTCTAAATAACATCTAGAACCTTCGTATACGAAATACATACTCACATGAACGATTTCTGCATTTATAAATAACAGTTGGTAATTTCTGCGCATTTCGAATGAAACAAATCAAGTCCATTCAATTTAATATAGTGCCATATTTTTCTCGCGATATGGCATACATCAGAAGAAAATTCGAAATTTAAAATGTTGAAATATTTTTTGTTACTCGCAGGTGCGTTTTAATGAGCATATAATCACCACAATTTTGTGCAGTCTTAAAATTTTGCAATTTCTTTTTTTTTAGTCGTAATAAACTGTACGAAGTGTTCTGAATGGGTATTATTATTTTATTAATTCTCAGAATTAATCGGTATCTTAATTTAGAGTTAAACGGACCAAAGAATTATATATATACCTTTAGTTAACTGTTTCATACTGTAAAACCTTTTTTTTTATTCTCGAAAATATTAAATTTTACAAATTTTGTCTGACCGGAACAAAGTTCCTCTTTGTTAATCTCTGAAATGGCTGGACCGATTTTGACGAGACTTTGACAGGTAGCTGATGTAATAAAGAGTAACTTAGGTTACGTAATATTATATTATCTGTGCTTTAGGCTACTACGTGGATTAAGAAGGCGGGCCTAATAGCTAGTTATTATATGTATAAAGAAAAGAAACCCAAAAATATATTAATTTATTTATCTAATAAGTCCACATAAGCGCATTCTATTAAGTCCTTGTCTTGGACTTGCAGCTTGGTTTGCAGGTCGCGAGCGATGGCACGCCCCTCGTCCACGGTCTGCTCCGGCCTCAGCACCACCTCCAGCTCCATGAACTGACCGAGGTCTTGAACGGAATCTATGTGAACACGGGTTTGACCAACCATGTAGAGTTTTCTAGAAACAAAAACTGTATGCTTAACAATAATAATAGCCAGCCATTATTGGTGTTAACTTTTAAGTTTACAAATGTTTTAATTATACATACTTTGCAGAACTGTGTTCCTGTTAATTAATAGTCTAACATAAATTTTTAGTCTATTACTTCTATAATAAAAGACTTAAAAAACAACTAGCTCTCTTTTCTGTCCTAACCATTTCTATTTGGGGGGAAGGGGACTGTTATTTATATGCACTCATAACCCATGACCATATTACTAGCAATGTCCCATGTCAGGTTGACCTCCACATGGTTCTCCCAGGAAACCATCGTGATAACTTCCTGGTGAATTTGTCACAATGGCCTAACTGACCTGACCTCATGTTCATCTTATCATCCTCCACTGGTGCCCCGCCAGTGTAAACCGTTAGCGCAGATAGGTGCACCATTCCATTGTCATCTATAAAAAAACCATTTCTATTTTCAGTTCTCCCAAGATATGTAGATATGTTTAGGGCAGGCCCCTACTATGAATCTATTATAACTTATAACAATAACCCAGAAAGCATAAAAGAAGTAATATTTAATTTATTTAAAAAAGCCTCAGATTTATTGAGTGCAAAGGCTTATTATTCTATAATAAGAATTTTTTGGTAGACATACATAATAGGAGCTAAGCAGATTTCAATTTCTTACTAACAAATTAAATGATTTTTTTTAGGATGAGACACCCTTAATTCTTAGGTGTATAAAAATTTGTTATAAACCTATTCTCAGATCTACCAAATATATATATAAAATTTCATCAAAATCGGTCAAGCTGTTTCGGAGGAGTATAAACATAAAACCTGTGACACAAGAATTTTATATATTAGATTGGTTTTATTATTAAGTACAGTGGTATACCATACTTTTCAGAAATGATAATGCATTTGTGGTACAAGTAATATTACATGATATTGTATTAGTAGTGGGCGAGCAGTTTACAAGTGCCCTTTATAATCAGTTTGGTTATCAGTTAAATTGCTATCCAGTAGAATATATAAAATAAATCAAAAGCACTTAACAAAGATTATTAAATATATCTACATCATTTCTATTCTATTCCCTTGAAGTTCAGTAGTTTTTAATGGGTGATATTGTAATGATGTACCCGTCTGTGATAAAGGTATACGATGCTGGGACACCGCTGGAGAATGATAGGATGAGCATGTAGTCAGGTCAATTAGACCGTCCCGGCGCCACGATAGTTCTAGGAATAGTACAAGGTACACTAACAACAGGCCGCACCGAGTTGAATACTAACCTTTCTTTAATTACTCGACCACGGGGACCTAAACATTTCCGTAAAATTTCATCCAATTGCTTTGCCTTCTCTTTCTCGGCTGTGGGGAATTGAACCAAATCGTAGTCACTAAGCTTTGGTCCTCCTTCGTCGTCCCGATCGTAGCGAACCAACGTTGCCGAGGAGTCTGCATAAAACCTCATCTTCAAGCGACCACTGTTTACTCTGTAGAATGTGTCGTCTTGAACGATAACTGTTGGTGGGCCACCGCTAAGTTCTTCAGCTATCTTACAAATGTTATCGTAGTTTGTAATACGTGCTTTTATTTCTATATTTCTCATTTTTGTGGAGATACTTAAAACTTTTCAAATAAAGTGTAATTAAATTCCACAGACAAGCACAGTATATTAGTTTTGGCGGCAAACTGAGTTTTTTTTTTCTATAATATTTTTAAGCACCCAGTACAAATAGATGGCCCAATATATATTGTAATTGTGTCATATTGGATTATTTTCTTATACCACCGTAATAGTGATAAACAATTATTAATCCATCAAACTTGAGGGTTTTTTATGGCGTTCGATTTATTTTTTTAAGAAATCAAACGTTTGTAGGAGAAATAAATATAAGATTATAACATTTTTATAAAAATGATTTTAAAATTATATAAATTGGAAAAAATGATTCAAACTAGTAATAACACAAACTTTCATTATTGATTGAATGTTTTTTCAATTCTTCAATTTTAGGGGATTTTGGCGCAAAAAAGTGTAATACATCATACAAGGCTGTATAGGTACAGTTCCCTTTGACTTTCCTTTAAAAGATAAACAGAACCAAAATAAAATAGACAAAAATGTCAATGTCAAAATAGCCGATTACAATATTGAAAGTAAATATTTTTAAATTGACTATTCATATGTATTTTTGAATACTCAATTAATAATGGATATAGAGAATATTAAGAGCTGGGTATCACAGCCAGATGTTTGTCGGTGTTGCCTTTCAGCTAACGGCATCTGGGATATGACCGCTTCATATGTGACCGGATCTGGAATTAAAGAAGTCTACAATGAATTACTTCAGGAATGCTATGGAATTACTGTAAGTGTTTGTAATTTATAATATCTCTTATTGCAGAACTATTAAATGCGTAAACTGTAAATATTGCGTACTGAATACAGTAAATAACCAAGCCGTAATACTAAATTGTAGAAATTTGTACGTATATATTTTTATATTCATTACCTGATTAAACGGCTTTACGCCGGTATTCTGAAGGGTTATGATATTTCTTCAGTCGTGATGTTCGACCACGCGTTGTAACACAGTAATATAATAATAATAACTCAAGACACACTCACACAGCATTGTTGGCAGCAGCTGGCCTTTACAACTTCACCGGACGAGTGCAGATGGCACTCCAAACCAACGGAAGGATTAATGGAACGGCTGAAGGCCAGCTTCCATCTGAGGAAACCCCTACGGGTTTGAACCTCAACTCAGGCCATTGTAATTTCGATTCCCGTTTGAATTGACGGGGGATTGATCAGAGGGGAAATGACACAAAGTGACATTTCAGCTATCACATGTGACACAATGGGGACCCAGCCGTCTCATGTGTTCAGTATGTGTGACACATCTGCGAGATGCAAACAGTTTCCGGGAACAGGTGCTCCAAGCTGACAGACACTTTAGTGCTTATTGGAATAAATCTGGTTAGTAACACACAAGTATTGTTGTTGCTTCTTCTTGTGATGAGACAGCTTATATTAGAAGCTGAATGAGCATTATATTAGAAGTATACCTGTGAGTATTCAAACATTCTTAAATTAAGTTTATCTCAATAAATAATAATAATAATAACTCTCCCAATTATTATTTGTCCACAGGTAGACTTACACACTAGCCTCAAAATGTTACTGCTTCACCCACTTACTTTCATACTTCTCCAAAAAGCTGTAATTCTAAACACCTGTAGAATAGTCTGCAAATTTTTGTCTTTTTGTTTATTAATGTATAAATATGTATTTAATAAACATACAACATTGACAAAGGCAAGAGGTAGCAATGGGCGGCCTTTTCGCCTTTTCGCCTTCAAGGCAATTTCTTCCTTCGTCATATTATTGTATGACCCCATGTTTTTTTAATATTTCTTTTTTCATGACCATGGATACAAGTCCTTCAGTCGAACACATTTTTATACAAAAAACATGAAAATTAAAACAAACTTAGTAAGCTGTACTCGCGACTTCATCTGCGTGGAATTAACTTTATTTTTCTAAAATAAAAGTAGCATAAGTTACTCCTTAATACATCAGCTACCTTCCAAAAAAGGCTCCGCTAAAATCTATCCAGCCATTTCAGAGATTAATCGGAACAAACAAATCGACAGACAGACAGACAAAAATTATAAAAAATGTTATTTTGGTGTATGTACCGCATTTGGGGCTGTTCAAGTATTACGTAAGCAGATTTATCACAATTATTTACCCCCATCCCCCGTTGTCAGCAAAAGTAAGCAAAGCTCTTACCCCTCCACCCATGCTTACAAACATCTCTCAATTAAAAGCAAAGGCAATGTTATTTGTAAAAAAGTAAATTACGACCGATGACGTAATCATCATACAGACTCCCCCCCCCCCATGTCATCCAAAATAAGCAAAGAAAAGACCCCCCCGCCCCCCTATACGCTTACATAATATTTTTGCTTACATAATACTTGAACGGCCCCTTTATAAAAAATGCATGTAGTAAAAAACAGTTATTTCAATATTACAAACAGACACTCTAAGTTTGTTTATATGTATAGATTATTATATAAACTTACACATTAAATAATTTCAGTAATAATCTATTTTTTTTCCACAGTAATACAATGTAATACACCCATAATACTACTCATGTGTTGCCATTATTCGTAAACTATTGTCCATATAGATTTGTAAGTATACATTTTAATTTGATTTCAGAACAATTCAGTGACTTACCAGATAAGTGTGAAATTGAAGATAGTCCGCTTCCAGAGGCTCTGTTCACTGACGGTGAGTTTTTTATAATTATTCCATTTCATGTCTATGTACAAGTACTAAAAGAATTAAGAAAAAAAAAAGACTAAATCCCAAAATTGTGCCCAAGATTTTTTTAAATGGATGACAATGGAGTGGTGCACCCGCTTGCTCTAACGGTTTACGCTGGGGGGGCACCAGTGAAGGATGATAAAATAAGTATGAGATCTGGTCAGCTAGCCCATCGTGATAAAGTTATTTACAGTGGGAACCGCGTGGAAGTCAACCTGACTTGGTACATTGCTAGCAATGGGGTCAACAGTGAATTTGTCACGATGGGCAGTTAGCCCTGACCTTATTATCATTTTATCATCCTCCACTGGTGCCCCGCCAGCGTAAACCGTAAGCGCAGGCGGGTGGACCATTCCATTATCATTCATAAAAAAAAACAATCCCCTTCCATACTATTCTATTCATACATGTACAAAAAAAATAAGTAAGTATTTGTATTAGTTGGGTATTAGTCATATTAGCCATATCACGAGTTCTGCTTAGCTTGAGACTTGATGGCGTGGAAATTGTCCAAGGTTATTATTATTATTAATAAAAAAACATTTCAGACGAAAGCAACATTACACTGAATAACTACAAAAGTACAGAGATACAGAAATCGTTAAGAAAGAGAGGGAAGACTGAAGCGAAATGTAAAAGAAAGAGACAAAGATTGAATTCAGATAATGATTACGACTCAGACGTGCCTATTTCGTTGTTGGTGAAGGACGAGGATATGGAGAAACTTAAAAGGAAGAAAGAGACAGTTGTAGAAACCAAAGGTACGTTACGTTACATATTGTGCATATAATGAACCTGTATGAAATAAATTTTCATTGCTGTTTCCCCCCATTTCATTGGTCGTAGTGTGATTTTATAAAGCCTTTTTCGATAAATGTAACACTAAAATATTATTTCAACTCAAACCAGAAGTTAAAAGTCAAAATACCTTTATTCATGTAGAGTCTGTAATAGACAGACTCTTATGATAGGAACTGACTGATGAGAAGCTCTGCTCTTGTTTTTTTCAAATGAGCTTGTAAAATAACAAAAATACAGATTATTTGACAATTTTAAATTCAATTAGGCAGAATATAATGACCACCAGCATATGCATGCATGTTGCATTTATGTCAAAAGGAAATGATTAGTAACCGTACCCTGAACAGACCAGTACCTGAGATTGTCGCGAAATAAACAAACTCTTTAGCTTTATAATATTAAATGGCTGACTTCATAAAATTAATCAACCACTGAAATATAACCTTTCATAAATTAGATTTCAGTACTGTAAACCAATTTCAGTAATATCTCCTTCCCCTTTTTTTCCTCATAGCTACTCATATTTCGCTATTCTTTATTTATTTATTTAATTCAGACCACAAGGCGCACATTACAAATACCTTATAGACTAACATACATATGAAATAATAATAAAATATAAATATAAATTCTCTATGGTCACGGCACTGACGACGGCAACCGGCCACGGTAGTGCCGTAACACCAGCCCCTTCGGCCAGTAGTCCTCCTCATGAAGATGTAGCACGGTGGTTATCCTCATCACTGTAGCGTTATGCATGTTGTGATGAGGTGTCGCTATATAATATATTATTTTTTGTAGTATGTAGCTGTGAGTATAACGGCGAAATAATTGTACTATTTATTGCACATTAGTAAGTTTATTTGATAGTGTTACATGTAACAGGTTTATTCGACGCGGTGTCGGGACGTTGACTGTTTTTAAACTCAAGTCTATGTTAGTGCAGACATAATCTAATGGAAGGGTCTCAAGTGTTGGTAAAAATATTACAAGTGTATGCACAAAGGTAGTCAGCATGTTGGTGGGGCCCCGGGCCACAAGCACCTCGAAATTGTAATAGTAATGGATAATATTTCTTGTTTTAATACTCAAATTGAAATGTGACCTCACAAAATCTAATACCAAGGACTAAGTGGCGGGAGGCAACCTCACATTCCGAAGACATCCAAGATTTCATGATTTTTTTACACGAAAGTTCTGACCGTTATGTACAAAAAATATATAACCGACCTTCTACGACGAATAAACAATTTAATTTCTATAAAAAATATAATGTAAAATATAAGATATAGTTTCACTTAAATCAGCCTTGTGGTGGTATTTATTTATGGATGATAATGGAATGGTACACCCGCCTGCTCTAACGGTATACGCTGGCAAGGCACCATTGACGATATTAGGAAGAACATGATGTCAGATCAGTTAGGTCTTCATGACCAATTCAACCAAATTTACTGATAACCAAGACTACAAACCTGTCTTTTAAGAAATCCATTTTTTTATTAAGAAATATTTCATCGATTTAATAGAAAAATGTCATTTATCAAAATTAGAAGCTAGAATTGCCTCCTTTTCTATAAGTCAATTAAATTAACCACGACGTCTTAATCATTATTTAAATACTTAATAAAATTAATTTAAATATATTTAAAAACTTTAAATACTTGGCTTGTAAAAAAAGTACATTTTGAATAGTGCCATTTTTCTATTTAACCGACGATTTGTTGAATAAAACCTATAACAGTTAACTATTTCGGATTTTGACTGGCTTTATTTGTTAAGACAATGAATTTCATACATGTTTAATATGTTAGAAATATGTAAACATTGGATTGCTATGTTCTTTTTTAAGATTTTGACTTCCGAACTAGATGGAAGGGATAGTCATAAAAATACTTGCATAAGTTGCCCAAAGTATTTTCAATTTTTCGTTTGATTACCATGGTTTCCAAGGGGTGCCGTGTGGAAATTAGCTCCAGTATATGTCGTTAGCCCAGGCGGGATTTAGAAACATTTATATGGAAAATAAACATGGCAACTGATGGTTTATTCTTATTTTTAGGGCAACAACACACAATTGGCGTGAAACTAGTTTCGGAGCGCAAACGCGTCATGCTGACCTGTTGTGCAATACTGAGAGATACCACTGCATGCCCTTTCCGCCACCACAAGAGCTGGTTCCAATGTTTCTTTTGCTCCCAAGACTTTATGGAAATAAACCTCCTTCGAAAGCACACTCTAGGAACGCACTCGGACGTGGAGGCAGAATTAAAAAAAATAAAACGCTACCCGCGCTCCCTCCAAATCGAAATTTCGAATTTGGAATGCCGCCATTGCAATTTGAATTTGACAGATGTCGATTCCATGCGGCGCCATCTTGGCGAAGTACACGGCAAAGTTATTTACAGGGAATGTATCGCGGATTACAAAGTCGACGCTAGTCCGTACTCGTGTCATTTATGTAAACGCGAATTCCACGTGTTCAGAACATTAACGACTCATCTAAACGAGCACTACGCGAACTGTATATGCGATGTATGCGGTAAATCGTTTCTAAATTCAAAAAGACTTAAGGTTCATAAACGCACGCACGAAAACGGCCAGTTTCCATGTAGCGAGTGCGGGAAAATATTAAAAACAAAAACATCCAAAGCTAATCATATGGAAAGCGCGCATTCCAAGCGACAATTGAAGTGTCAGATATGTTTAGAGCCAATGAAACATTATAACGATAGAATAAAACATATGTCTGAAGTACATAACATTACGCATAAGTTCCTTTGCCCGATTTGCGGCCGGGAGTATAAAATAAAACATTACTTGGCTACGCATATTCGTCAAACGCACGGTAATAAAAATAAAAAGTGTATAGAATGCGGCATGGCGTTTATTACTAATCATGGTTTAAAAAAACATATGTTAAAACATACAGGGGAGAAACCATTTATTTGTAATCTGTGCAATAAATCATACGCTAGGAACTATACTTTAAGGGAACATATGAGGGCTCATGATAACGTGACGGCCTCGGTGGTCTAGCGGACCACACCGCTTTACTTCCGATGGTTGTGGGTTCGAATCCTCGCACGGTGCGAACGTTTGTATACATGAGTATGATTGTTTGTATCTATCTGGGTGATTCCTATGTATATAATGTGTTTACAAAAAAAGAAATCTAAGTATTTATATCAGTTGTTAAGTACCCATAACACAAGCTCTGCTTACCGTGGGACTAGATGGCGCTGTGTTAATTGTTCAGGGTTATTTATTTATTGTAACAATACAAGGAGACATGTACCCACATGTCTCCTCAATAACTTAATTTGAAAATAAACTATTTATTCACTATATTTGCTTTTTTATTACACAAAAAAACATGCACTGGATATTCTTATAGAAGATAATGGAATGGTGGACCCCTGCGCTAACGATTTACGCTGGCGGGGCACCAGTGGAGTATAAGATGAGCATGAGGTCAGGTCAGTTAGCCAATCGTGGTAAATTCACCACGAATTTATCACGGTAGTTTCCAGGGGAACTACGTGGACGTCAAGCTGACATGGTACATTGTTAGCAATGGGGTTATTACTCCACATAACTAACAATCCCCCCCCTCATGCACTGGGTAATCATAGACATTTTTAACTGTTAATGTTATGGTGAAAAATGTTGACACATCATCTAGTCTTTACTAGGTACCCGCCCCTGCTTTACATTTCTATCTATCAACTCTTAATTTTCATTTTATTATCTTTTTTAAAATATAAGAACATTTTCTAATGACAGTGTTTTTACATCAACCAAAATGCAGACCAAGGCACTACCATTTTACGGCTATATTGTACGTAAAAATATTTATTATTCCTTATTTAATAATCATAATTCCCACGTAATAATAATTGTAATAATTAGTACTAATTGTTTCAGATCAAAATAAACCGTTGGAAAGCAAGGAAAACAAGGTTACATCACAGAATTATACAGACAATCGCAGATTGCGTTCCAATATAGCTTTAATATTAAAGTACTCTAGTATAATACCGTTTAGACATATAAATAATAATAAATTTGCATGCCTATATTGCGACAATGGGTATTTACTCTTCAATAAATTAAGAAATCATGTGATCTCAATACATAAAGACTTAAAAGAAGACATAATTATAGCATCTTTGAAAACGCCAAAAGATTTGATAAAAGCCGATATTAGTGATTTGAAATGTAAATTGTGCGAGGACAGATTTCTGACCATAGACAATTTTCTTGTACATCTTACAGAAATACACAATAAGGTGTATCATAGTTTATCTAGTATTTATCCACTACATGGAATTTTGGGTTTCGATCTGAGCTCAGATAATTTGAAATGTTTAATGTGCTCAAAAGAGTTTGGGTTTTTTAAAAATTTGTCCAAACACATGAACGAGCACAGCACTAATTTTATGTGTCATCTGTGCGGCAAAAACTTCATAACGGACCATAGACTACAGACACACATCAATATGCATAAAAGAAAAAATGTAGCGTGTAAACACTGTAACAAAAGCTACAGAACGGCATCAGCAAGAAATTATCACATGAAAAAAGTTCACAGCGAATTTAAATTTAAATGTTCGGAATGTCCGAAAACATTTGCACAATATTATCAAAGACTGAGGCATTTAGTTGATAGTCATGAGTTGAAACTGCCAAAATTTAAGTGTAATATTTGTGGGAGGGAACTGGCAACATCGGGCGGTTTAGCTGCTCATGTGAGGTACTCGCACCTAAAAACTACACAGTACACTTGTGACATATGCGGTAAAATATTTGTTCATAAATGGATATGGCGCCGCCATATGGACGTACATAGCGGTGCGAAAAACTTTGAATGTAAAATTTGTAATAAAAAATTCGCTAAATCATACACATTGCAGATGCATGAACGAATACATATGAATGACAAAAGGTTTGCTTGTATTGTTTGTAAAACTGCGTTCATACAGAAATGTAGTTTGAAAAACCATATGAAAGTACATCACCCTGGTACAGTATAGAGTATTTTTTTATAATAGGAATGGCAAAGAAATAAATATGAGCAGCACTATATAGCTTTCAACTGTCACTGTCAAATTGACAGTAACATCCCCATCTGTGAGAAATTATAGTACTTTTGGCCAAAACCCCCATCTGTGGGACATCCAATAATTTTTGAAACAGGTTTTAAGAATCTTGCATGCTTCATATCAGTTTCATGAATTATTGGATGTTTTATATCAGTTTAACAAACTATTGGAATCTCGTATATCAGTTTGTGCCGAATCTACTATCATCGTGCGGCAACACCGTTACCTAGTTACGATGGGGCAAGAAGAATAACAAGCTTGTCATTCGAGACCGATTCGCCTCTTGTAAATATACTTCTTATGTATCTATTATAAATACTTCGTTCATATAAATATGTACATGCCACATACTGGATTTATCCGTATCCGTCGGGCAGGAGTTGGCCTTCAGCCGCTCCATAAGTCCTTCCGCGGGTTTGGAGTGCCATCTGCATAAACGTCCGGTGAAGCTGTACAGCTACGGCCAACAGCATTAGAGTAGTCCGAAAAAATAAAAACTGGATTTATCACTTCACCTCCTCCTTTCCTGCTGCTGCTACAGAGAACACATAAACATAAATAATAGCGGCCCCAACGTGGCTGCTAAATGTTTAACAAATTATTGGATGCTCCACAGATGGGGTTATAGTATCCGAGTCCAATAATTGGCTCCCTCGCAGAGAGAGGGTAACAAATAATATGAAATAGCGACGCCCGTGCATGCGTCACGCTTTGCCGTTCCAAACTTTGTACAACTTTACATACTATAAAACAAGTCACCGCCGTTGTCTGTTCACTTATGTTAGAGTTCACATCAATGTTGTAGAAAAAATCCGATATTTTAAAAAGATATTAAAAGAAGGTAGTTTGTGTTTAGTACAAATGAAGTACCCAATGTAAAGATTATTACAAATATTGTAAATAGAACCATCTACTATTTATAGATCGACCTACTACACTGACTTATAAATACGTAGTGGTCTATAAATACAGAGGTCGGTAGTTGAATAATCCTCTTTCGTTGGGTGAGCCGCGGCATTCAGTCGACGAGCGCAGAGCGTGCCGATTGTGTTTTGGATACTAAAGTGAATTGTATTAGGACTGGGTTTATCCCGGTCTTGATTGGGACTGGCAGGAAGCTGCAAGTAGTGAAGGTGAGTGTTAATGCATTCTAAAAGGGCCTCTTAAACCTACATCCGTGTTACAAGTCACGGGTGCTAGTTGGGGTTTCTCTTCCGGTAGCCGGCTTCAAAGCCTAAGCCATCATCATTAATTAGTGCTTCTTACACTTATATCTTAAACTACGCAACGGATTTTAATATCTACAGTTTTCAGTAATAGATAGTGATTCAAGAGGAAGGTTTATACCTAAGTACAATACATGTGTGTTATATTAGTATAGAACAAACCTAGAAATACAAACATTTGTAATGGATGCCTGCGAAAACGGAATGGCTAGTAACAAATAAATGTAATTTTGTTTATATTGCAGAAGTTTTATTTAACAATGAATGCATCAATAGATTCATATCTATTTAATAAATAAATTAAACACTTTTTTAAATAAAAAAGAAGAATAAAGAGAATGAACGACCGCCGTCTTTTGTTTTTATATTTAATAAAATGTCATAAGAATTAGACATTTTCTATACATACACGCGTAATTAAACAGTTGGGGAAAAATGACTCCTAGACGAAGATACCGTCAGTGTTTACTAAAACTATTTCGCGAGTGGCGTTTGTTATATTCCGCAAAAGTCAGTCACCGTTTTCCTGTCATCAGAACATCTTCTGCTTGGACCCAGTGTGCGTATTGTCCTTTTACAGTGCTCTGGATTGGATTACAGGTCAGTAGGTACCGTTATTTTTTGGGCATTTGTTGCCCCGCAGCAGAGTCCAGATAAGTTTGAGAGGTCGCCCCAAAATAAGTCCCGACCACACTTACACACATATACGACACCGTCCTCGTCGGCGAAGACCACGACCTCAAACACACTATACCGCGTAATCAACTGGGCGCTCCACACTAGTGCCCCCGGTTGCCCCTCTGATCGATTCCCAGTCCAAAACAAATTGAAATCGATTCCCCGTCCAAAACAAATCGAAATTACGATATCGTCCGGTGAAGTTGTCAAGGCTAGAGGCCAACAGCATTAGAGTAGTCCGAAAAAGAAACTTTTTTTTCGTAAAACAATAATAATGACATAATGTCGACTGTAGGTAATGTCTGGCTGTTTGTCGCAGATGTGATAACAGTTGTAATAGTGTATTCTTTGTTTAATCACGCTGAAATTCACAGAATAGACAGATTATAAAAAAAAAACTTATCCTATATACATGGTACTTACATTATATTTTGTTACGAATTCGTTTATTAGAAACTTTATTCTAACATTATTAATACTAATACTAATGCAATGTAGTATGCATATACCAACTGTCAATATATATTTTATAGCAGTATCGCCTATATGGCTTTGCCTCGTCATAAAAAAATAAATGAAAACATAGCGGTGTTACTAACCTATGCTATGAATTTCCTGTATTAGGGAAAAATATTGAATTGTGTTTTATGAAAGCTTAATGTTGTCTACGTGCATCGATTACTGAATTTTACTATTATTATTAATTGTAATAAATAAGAATTGAAACTCTGATTATTTATTTGTCATCAATAGTGCACAATGAAATTCTGTTTTTGATGCAAAAATTAAATCGGCTTAATTTTTATGATGGACCTAATATAATATAAATAAGGCTATAATAATGTATATAATTGGAAGTTGAAAATGGGTTACAGGAACGACAGATAATAATTTTCATGTGATGGTAACCCCCACCTGTAAAAAAAATAATGGCGATAGCTTCTTCAGTATTGTATTTTTTATATATTTTCTAAATACGACTATAAATTGTTAATAATATAAGTTTGTTAGATATACAGTTATTAAATATAAGTGTTAACTAGTTTAGTGTGATGTTATTGAATGGTAAAAATGTCTGAAGACTCCTGGAAACTAGAGAAGGATCTATGCCGCTGTTGCCATTCCGAGGGTGCGTTTAAGAATCTCTCGGAGACTTGTCCTGACGACGGTCTGGAGGTGTATTCCGACATGTTACAGTTCGCCCTAAACATAAATGTAAGTTATATACGTATATTAATTTCCTTTGCATTATTGTTACCGCTACCATTATGTTCTAAATTTGAATCTTTATTGTTTATGTTACGATATATTTTCACCAAAGCCTCGTCGAATTCGTGTTTCTTATTCAACACTCTAGCAATAAATGTAGGTTTTTTATTAAGTACGATTATTCAATCTCAATTAATTTTTACACTAATCCATACTTAATATTATAAATGTTAAAATGTCTGTAGTTTGTTTGTTATTTACCTCCTCATAGCTAAATGGATCATAATTATTAGCGTAGAAAGATTGTACTATGAGAATTCAGTAATTTCATAACTAGTTCATACAGTAAAATGAATAAGTAGCAAATAAGCAATTTTTTCATTACAATTGACAATACAATGTCTACATCTGATAGAAATGCTTAAATATCTTTATTTTGTTTATAAAACACCCATACTAATATAAACAAACATACAAATATGGATATTTGTATTCTTCAAGGCATTAAACCAGCAAGCATCAGTAACATTTTGTGATAGACCACTGTGACTTTCAAATTACTTATAGAAATAATCTTTATTCAAATAAACTTAATATAAGCAATTGAAAATAAACATTTTTTTATTCTACCACTCATTTGGAATGAAGACTCATCACAAGAAGAATAAGCAAGAAACTTGTGTGTTGCTCTAATAGAGTTATTAGATTTACACCCATATATCAATATATGAATGTAGATTCAGTAATGGTCGCAATTTGAACACTAATGGAGGTCATAATGCTTCCTGTTGTGGTGGTCAGGTTTCCACACTGAATGTTTCTGGTTTCAGGCTAATGGGAGTGGAATTAAACAAAATAATACAAATCCATTAAGTAATTAATTGGACCTATACAAAAATACACCTAATTCTATAAAATATATGGTCTAAAATTAATTATTAATAATATGAATGAATGGAAATTGAGTGTATGGGATTATTAGACAAGTTTAGTCAGTGAACCCATTGCTAGCAATGTACCATATCAGGTTGACCTCCATGATGGTTCCCCCTGGTAACCATAGTGGTCATACAAAGTTCTTTTGTAATTTGTCATGATGGGCTAATTTACCTATAAATAATAATTTACCTGACCAGGAGACTTCTGCTCTTTTGGGAGGAGATTGGTTGGCTATTTTAGTAGTCATGGCTACACATACAACAGCCCAGGTAAGTATGATTGTAAGAAAATGATTGCGGAAAATGGAGTCCAACCTTGCATTACATTACTTGACCTCATGGTCATCTTATCATCCTCCAGATGGTGCTACTGATGTCCCTTCAGCGTAAACCGTTAGTGCAGTGCATCAATTCATTATGATCCATTTAAAAAAATATAAATTAATGTTTCAGATGTCCCCAGTGGCCGGTGTGCTATGTTTCGTCACATATACGATATGCGAGCAGTGTATAGACAGGTTGCGAGATGCAGTCAACTTCAAACGACAAGTGCAGCAGTGCGAGGACAGATTTCGAGATATGTATGACAGAGACATAATCAAAGGTGATCCATACATAATGTTATAATATAATAACTTCGTCCGCGCGAAATTTAACTTCCTACCTGCCAAAAAAAGTCCCATCAAAATCGGTCCAGCTATATCAGAGATTAACCGGAACAAACACAGACAGACGGACAAAAATAGTAAAAAATCCTATTTTAAGTGTATGTACTGTATTTATATTCATATGCATACAGTATTTCAATATTACAAACAGACACTCCAATGTTATTTATGAGTATAGATATATATAGATCTATACATCTAGATAAATAATATTTTGTAGAAAATTAAAGTTTAATTTAGAAAAATAAAGTTAAATTACACTCTGACGAAGTTGCATATATTTTGCAATAACTGTGTTCCTGTTAGTTTATATATATTTTATTGGTTTTTCCATTTGAATGTTAAGTTTGTCCATAGAATCTGGTCTTTGGCTCTTTGAGTCCAAGTTTTCCTGCTGCTTTCCTAATGTTGTCTTCCCATCTTTAAATTTCTTTACCTCTTACCGTTACCGCTTCTTATGTATACTCTTGGGTACCACTCTGTAATGTCCGGTTAGTTATATAGGACAAAAAACATTACAGAGTGGTACCCAAGAGGTTAGAGGAGTTACATACTTAGTAATTACTTATGCTAGTTAATCTTCTGGCAACCAATTACTATTTACAAAAAAAAAACTAAATCTTTATTACTCACAACACAAGCTACCGTGGGGACAATTAACACAGCGTTATCTAGCGCTGTTAATTATCCAGGCTTATTTATTTATTACTAGCTGTGCCTGCGGTTTTACCCGCTTGAAATTTATAGCCTATATGTTATTCTGATGTATAAGCTATATTACTGTAAAGTTTCATCAAAATTAGTATAATAGTTTTTGTGTGAGAGAGTAACAAACATCCATACTTACAAATTTTCGCGCTTATAGTATTAAGATTAAGATTGTGTTTTCAGTTGGAGATTCGAATGTGAAATTAAAACAAGAATCACCGGAACTAGATGCAGAAGTTGCAGGTAATTCAATTCAATTCAATTCAAAATATCTTTGGTTGTTACGCGAGGCCCCTGGCGATTGCCCTGTTCGCCACCAGCTGCCACCGGTCATAAATACAAATGTTTTCATTCTGCGAGGAATCGAACCCATCGGAATTAAGACGGTATGCTAAACCGCTAGATCATCGCGGGCTCCAATTACATATAACAAATGTATAGAAGGATATTTTTTTAATTGAGGGTTTTGGGCTTTTGTCAGCTGCTAAGACCTGTAAGACTGACCTGTATAGATCTATTATGCTCGCCATTTTTCAAAGCTCGCTACCTAGTGACCCGTGAGGGGACAAGAATTGAAGGATATTCTTAGGAGCGATGGTTTTTATTTCCTCTAAATACATTTATACATACGTATACATTCCAAAGGAGATTTTTTTTTAATATGGATGAGAATGGATTGGTGCACCCGTCTGTGCTAACGGTTTACTCTGTCGGGGCACCAGTGGATCAATATAAGATGTCAGGTCAGGTTAGTTAACCCGTCGTGACATATTCACCAAGAATTTATCACAATAGTTTCCAGGGGAACCGCGTGGAGGTCTGACTTGGTACATTGCTAGCGAGCAGATCAGTCCACATTACTAACAATCCCTTTTCCCCCCCAGGAGATATTTCGTTTATGCGTGAGTGGGCTACAACCACATAGGATGTGTTTCCTCTTCTGCTTGGCAAAATCTACAGATCAATGTTAAGCTGAGGCCTAATATCGCTATGTGTTTATTCAATTTGCAATATTCAATTTAAAATACAAGCAGTTCTCGAAATACACGAAGTAAATCGAAACGATTTAAGTCGTAACATATTTTTTCATATGTTACATGTAAAACTTAAGAGGTAGAATCCACACGGACTTAAAATTAAAAAAAAAAAAAAAAAACTCCATTTGTAACAAAGGATATACATACTTTATTATTAAACGATGTAAGTCGAGGACTGCCTGTATTGTTTATACTCAATAGTAATAACTGAATATGTATTGTTACAGATAAAAACACAGATTTTCCACACATGGACACTGATGACAGCGATGACTTCCCATTGAATTATGAGGCCGGTAAGTAATATTTTTTATACTACGATACAACCAAACTCTCTCCCTCCCCCCTCTCCCCCTCCCCCTCACCTCTCTCTCCCCCTCCCCCTCACCTCTCTCCCCCTCTCCCCCACCCCCTCTCCCCCTCTCCCTCTCTCTCTCCCCCCTCTCTCTCTCTCTCTCTCCCCCCTTATCCCTCTCTCTCTCTACCCCTTCTCTCTCCCGGCCTTATCCCATTTTAATTGGGGTCATACAACCATTACCGTATAACCAAACCAATAAAAATGCCGTTTAAAGACATAAGTAGTGAAAAGATGTTTTTTATGAATACATAATTTAATTTTTGATATTGACGTCATCCACAGATAATAGAAGTGAAACAGACGTAAAAAAAGAGGTGATAAGCAAGAGTAAATCAAAGAAGACTAAACCTAAACAGACCAAATCGAAGAAGAAAACAGAGCAGACTAAGAAGAATGAATCGGGAGATGCGGGCAAGAAAGGTAGGTCGATACATGTACTATTATATTGCGATAATATTTGTTATGGAATTTGTAACGAACTCAACAGATCTTACTGAGCTAGAGTTTACAGAGTATCCTGCATCGTCGTTCCTCTTTTTCCCGATTGGAAAATCCCTTATGGAGACCCGTTCGTCGCAGGGTTGGACTCTCTTTTCCCCCTCTGCCCTCTCTTTCCCCATTCTCCCCTTCCCCCTCTATTCCCCATTCTCCCCTTCCCCCTCTCTTCCCCATTCTCCCCCTCCCCCCCTATCCCCCTCCCCCTATCTGTTTCGCAGGTACTTTGAAACATTTACTCGGCATTCCCTCTCTTAGTGCCTGGGTCGCGGGATCGTTTTAGCAATCGACCGAGCTGAGCCCGGGTTCCACTCTACGTGGTGAGATATTTCTTAGTTCCTCCGCCTCCCCCCACACTCCCCTCCTTTTTCCTTTTAACCATCCACACATGTAACACCTTCCTTAAAATATTACCGTTACAAATTCCATACTGTATCTATCGCATGACACCGACTTGCTGTTTGTTCGTCCATTTGCTATTTGTGATCTGCAATATTTTTGGTGTTTTTGTAGTGAAATGAATATCATTTTTTTTTCTCATATAACTATCAAGTCCAGTCAGCAGGTATATTTTTAATATAGATTTTATAGAATTTGGTGTTATTTTGGGTTGGTATTTATATATTTGGTTAGTATATTTTATATAAAATTCTCGTATAGTTTTATTCCCATATAACGGCTTGACCGATTCTCATGAAATTTTGTTTGAGTAGGTCTGAGAATCGGCCAACATCTATTTTTCATCATAAACAACGTTTGCCGGGACAGCTAGTTTTATATAAATTTATAGGCTATATGTTATTCTGATGTAAAAGCTATATTATTTTAAAGTTTCATCAAAATCCGTTCAGTAGTTTTTGCGTGAAAGAGTAACGAACTTCCATCCATACTTACATATAGTGTCATTTTCATTTACAATATTAATAAGAGTTTTGATTCTATCAACCTTTAAACTTTAAACAGTCATTCAATTTTAAGTGAAGTCCTCAATCCTCCAAAAGGTAAACCGTTTCTGATATAAGCGCACACAAACGCACCGACAGGAACAACACGGGTTCTATTACGTTTATAAAATCCTCTAGTAGTTTTTCTCATATATATATATCTTATATGTACAGACAGGGTAGTTACTATTTTATTACCACCAGCATATGCTATTGCTTTTGCAACAGCATATGAAGGCGGGCACTTTTAAAAATTATTCTGTATTATTGTAAACATGTACAACATTTATTTGAAAAGAATGCGGGGCTGTTTCTTGTCAGTTCTTCTCATCTCGAAATCATTCCGAACTAACGGTAGATTTGACATATCATCAGGTAATAGACCTACATGAATAAAGATATTTTGAATTTGTATTTGAATTAATACTGTATTAACGAATGAATGGCAAGTCGGTGCTATTTATGGTGTTTTTTTTAATATCTTTCTTTTTAATGTACCTTTATTATACTTTATTTGTTATCTTTGTGCAGTAAAGAATTATTATTATTATCTATAACATTACGTTTTTTATATATAATTAAAAAACAAAATACGGTATTACGTCACAAGTTCCACAGATATTTATATTGACTATAGAACGCTAGCGATATGTTCAATATCAGAAGCATAGACAAATTAAAATTGATCACTTTTACTCGTTTGAACAATTATAATCAGAACCACAAACTAAATAGAATTTATCAATTTGACTCGTTCATATTTTGTCATCGAATTACTAATTAGAAATTCTTTCAGTAATTTCTAATTTAAGAACATCATGCTGTATAAAGGTATTCTTGGTAATATTACATTTGCGTAGGGTACCTTAGTTTCACCTTTTCTGCCGCCAAGCACTTTGCTTTGTAAACTATTTCGGTTGAAGTGTGAGGTAAGGCAGTGAAATTACAGGATACGACTCATGACACTGTAGCGTTATGTATAATGTGGGGAAATGTCGCTACATAATATATTGTATGCTAGCTACACAACCCCGCTTCTCACGGGTGTACATGTATTATACATATAAACCTTCCTCTTGAATCACTATCTATTAAAAAACCGCTTCAAAATCCGTTGCATAGTTTTAAATATTTAAGTATAGCGATGGACAGACAGCGACAGCGACTTTGTTTTATACTATGTAGTGATTGTAGAGTCTAGGTAGTGAGTATACAGGTGATATAATTGTACTATTTATTGTACATTAGTAAGTTTTTTCGATAGTGTGCTACATGGCTTATTAGTAAAGCGTGCATTCGACGCGGCGTCCTAACGTGGACTGATTTACAACTGAACTTAAATCTATGTGAGTGGAGACAAAAACTAATGGAAGAGTCTCAAGTGTTGATAGAAATATTACAAGTGTAGGCTTAACACCTTAGTCCTCTGAAATGGTATGAGTGATACCTCGGTCGTTGCAGGTAAGGCAGTGAAATTACAGGATAGAGGCATGACACCTTAGTGAAGGATAGAGATCAAGACGACGAGCAAAGAAAAAGGCACCCATATAGTCGTAAAATATTATATGACTTATTATTATTTATTCTTTAATAAAAAAAAAATTGTACAACAGGCGAGCTAGATACCGTATGGCACTCTCTCCCAGCTAACCTTAGGGTATAAACAGAAAGTGTAGTGGGGTATTAGCGACTTATGTCATATATAAAACAATATAGTGTTATAAAAACATAGATAATAAAAAAGATATAATTTTTTTTGTCTGAATTGACAACGCATGAGTTATACCACGGTCGTTGCAGGTAAGACAGTGAAATTACAGTATAAAAGGCACACCTTAGTCCTCTGGAATGGGAACGTCTAAATGATAACACGGTCATGTGATAACATGATCTGTAATACTGTTCATGTATATAGGCGACAGTTATCACCTTGTATTACAGAGGCTCATTTGTTATTGAAATTATATTAAAAATCGACAATTATTATAAATATTGAACCATTTTTTACTCTTAAAAATGTGGTATTTTTCTAGTTTTTAAGAGCGTCTTGACCTAGTATTAACACCTCTGAGTTACACTCGAGAGGTTGTGAGTTAAAATCTAGATACAAAAAGAACTGACTCCGGTGATAAAAATACTGATATGAAACCAAAAATACAAGAGACGGCGGTGGGCTCGCTCCCTGCCACGTTCGATTTTCTTATGGATGATAATGTGCAGGTGCACCCGCCTGGGCTAACGGTTTATACTGGCGGGGCACCAGTGGAGGATGATAAGATGAATATGAGGTCAGGTCAGTTAGCCCATCGTGATAATTCATTCATTTATCACGATGAGATCCCGGTGGTTCCCCATGGAGGTCCTGACATGGAACATTATGAGTTATGAGGTTTATTCCACATTACTAACAATCGTCCAATGCCACGTTAGCTTCAAATATACTGACCATAATGTGGACATGGTAAGTGGTACGTTCACCACAACATCGACATATGACAATATCTCTGGCTACCCCATATAGGATTGCTGTCGTACTACATTGTTATTTTAATACGTTACTGTATTGCAAATAACCTCATCACACATGCAATAACCATATTGTATGTGTGATATTACCATACTTGCATATCGAAATTAACGACGTATCGATAAACCGATAAGAAAAATTACTCGCTGCCAAACGAAACGTGGGCATGTCAAGTCAAGTCTCGCGTTTACCACAACGTTGACTGAATGCAATGTCTCTGGCTACCCCATATAGGATTGCAGTCGTAACGGTCTTTGTTATTTTAATATGTGATTATATTTCAACAATAGATTTTTATTTAGCCATTATATGGAATACAAAAGGTGACATTAAACATACATCAATTTAATATTTTGTAGACATATGTGGTGTTAGCATACTTACATATCGAAAAACATGCTAAATTATCGACACACCGATAAACCGATAAGAAAAATTACTCTGTGCCAAACTAAAAATGGGCATGTCATGGTCTCGCGTTCGATCATCGACAGTTGACACTACCTCTGACTACCCCTATGTAGGATTGCAGTCTTAACGGTATCTTAGTTATTTTAATATGTGATTATATTGCAACAAAGTAACTATATATTTTTTTTATTTAACCACTTAGTGAAATAAAGAGTATCATTAAAAATGTATGTTTTTTAATAAATTGTATATGTGGTGTTACCATAGTTACATATTGAAAAATGACTAAATTATCGATGTACCGATAAACCGATAAGAAAAATTACTCTCTGCCAAACGAAATGTCCGCTTGTCTAATCAAGTGTTGCGTTCACCATAATTGCCTCTGATTACCCCATCTGGGATAATGGTCGTGACGGTATCTTTATTTTTATTTTCTCAACTTCTAGGTGGATCAGAAAAGATTCATTTCCTATTTATATTATAAATTAGGGGTAGAATTTATCAAAATCCTTTCTTAGGGGATGCCTACGTCATAGTAGCTTTATGCATGCAAAGTCTCAGTCCGGTCGGTTTAAAATTGACAAAGATTCATACAAACTTTCATCTCTTATTTTATCCCTTTGGGGGTAGAATTAATCAAAATCCTTTCTTAGTGGATGCCTACGTCATAAAATCTACCTGCATGCCAAATTTCAGCCCGATCCGACCAGTGGTTTGGGCTGTGCCTTTTATAGATCACTATGTCAGTCACCTTTTAGTTATATATATTTAGATGTAAATTCTATACTTATTTCTTAATGGTTGATAATGAAATGGTACTTCATGTATTTCTACTTGTATATTTGAGTTGAATGTAGAAATGTGATGATGATGTCTGTGATTTGTGATTAAAATATTGAATTGACCTATATGTTATGGTACAAGACGCACTTTTAGTTCCTGGTTCAAAACTTTGCATTAACGAAATCGGTTAAAAATAATTATTTATACACATTTGCGGTTGTTATAATTATAAAAAAAAACTAGCTGATATGACATAT